ACAAAATGCATGAGTCACGGATAATTAATAACTGTCAACGGTTAAATTTCGCTCACGTGTGATCGATGCTAGCAAAATTTAAAATGCATTGAGAGTAATTGAGTAGGATTAACTGAAATTTTATATACAGTTGTACTTGGTACATATGAATTGTGAATTTTGGGGGAGGGGGGGGGGCCTGGATCGATCTTCCAGATAGCTACTTTGTGAATTGTGATGGATTAGAGAAAAAGAAAGATGGGGCTCTTCTCTTTCTAAACTTTGTTCTCAGGGAAAAAAGGGTAATTTGCTTAGAGGGGAAAACGATGTTAGAACTACATTGATTGGAAAAAGCTAATTTAAGGAGGAGGCATAGGAACCACAACTCATTCTTTTCCAATTTTCTTTCTTGCCTTTTTCCTTTTCCAATCTGTTTTCTTACTTTTCTCTTATTTTTGTTTTTTTTAAAGATTCCTTTTGTTCTGAAGTAACTATTGATGAGGCTCTCCTCTTCTATATTTCCATTAGGAACAATGACACTCCAGTAAAAGTTTCTTAATTCAAATTTTGAGATTTTGACCTTTTATTTTATTCTTTCTTTCTTTATTTTTAAAAATTAATACTAATTACATAATTTGGGGAGATATATATTGGTTTTTGAATGCATTGCATGGTGGTATTTTGAGTTCCTAAAATAAAGGCTATTAGAGGCGGAGTTAGAATTTTATATTTGAGGGAGGGTAAATTATAAGACACAAAGCACGATGGTATAAACCTAATAAAGAAGTATTACCTACAAAAGTACTACGTGGAAGAAGAATGATTTTTTATTTTCATTAGCGTAGTATTATATCTTCATTTCAAAATTTAATTTTGCACTATATATTCATGTCAAAATATAACTTTGCAATATTTATTCATGTCAACATGTAACTTTTGCAAAATATTTATTGGTGGCTAGGGTGCCATAAGCTTAAGAATGATTATTCTTGCTCACACATGTAACTATACATTATATATGCATAAATAATCTTTCTACAAATAAATTAAGCAATTAAATAACTCAATAATATTAGGGTCATCAAATTTGTTTATGTTTGACCGATGAGGTGTTAGTTGGATTGGCCTAGACCTTTGGTGTGGTCCCAAGTGATCCTCGATCCAAGACCCCCATGGTAACTTCGGCAAAACAAAAATAAAAAATAAAAAAGTTTACATTTGGAGTAACAATTGAGCTCAAATTGGAAAAAAAAATGATACACTAGAAACATGATTGGTAACACAAAATTGTAGTAACCAGATTGCCGACCTAGCATACTCTAAAAGTCGTTATAAAATTCTTATCCATAGAATTTTAACCTAACATAGAGACTAAATATCACCAAACTACATGATCATTGACATTAAGGAAAGATATTCGAACCTCCTTTCAGAGAAGTACAAGTAGCTAGCAGATAAAATCTCCAAACTTTTCTTCCCACGATCCATTTATCCGAACTAAGAAAGCATGCTAATAGTTAGGAAAGTCAGATTTGGCTGCTAACCACACATGGGTTTTCTCAAATTTTCCCAAAACAAAGATTGAACAAGATTATGCAGTGACTTTATCATCTCATTAGATGTAAAATGACAAATTTGTTTTTTAGCTTTTTGTCAACTATAAATAGTAATCGGATAATTATGAGCATGCATGGCTTGAAGTTATTGTTCAAGTTGTTATTTGCGTCATGAAGATCTATTTGCTTATCTTGCTAGCATATGACATTTGCCTATGAACACTCAAATTGGAAACATCGATCTACAAACACGCTGCTCTTGTACTAATACGGCCAATGTCTACATGGCCCATCACGAACTTGAACATGCTTATATCAACATCATAACAAAGGGGACTGCAAAGTCTTTATATTTCTATCGTTGATTAAGTTGTTGTAACTTGTAAACTTGATGCATCAAGAGATATAATTAAGTTCCTTAGTGATTGAATTGTGCAGAACTAGCCCTCGACTCTTCGGGTGCACTCTATATTGAAATGTAATGCGTAAGGTGTTAGAAAATGTGATACAAATATATTATAGCCAAGAAGGCTAGGGAAATTGAAAAAAAGTCCCCCCTCAAAAAAAGAAAAAGGAAAAAAGAACCTTGTAATTATGCAGTCACCTTTTGAACTTAACCCAAAAGGGTAAATGACAACTAGGTGATGAGATGCCAGATTTAACCAAAAAGCTACATGAAAACTCTTCCCAGCTATGATTAGAAGTGAAATTCCTTACCATAAAAATCAATTAAGCAACTCAAATCTTTTTAACCAATTTGACAAAAGCACAGCAGATCAGAAAAAAAGAAAGATAAATAAACAAATAATAGACAAAAGATGTTACAGAAAAGATCTGAGTAAAAAGGGCAAATGATGGTTCAAACTTAAAAAAGCAAGAGACTGATGGGCTCATTTCATTTGCAATTTGCATCCACTCTTTTATTTTTATTTAGTTATTTATTTATCTTGCTGCTTAAAAAAGTATAAAATAAAATAAATACAAAAGTGGAGGGAAAAAGGTAGAGGGAGGTTGTTCTGACGCGAATATACTGCGCGTGCATATAGCGCCAAGCACAGCCTGCCCTGCTAGCTTGCTTCATCTTTGGTCAGCCTTCTCTCAAGGAAGCCCCTGAATTTCCAATGGAAAACAACTGTTTGCTCCTTTTTTATTGGGCCGTGCTTTCACTTTCTTTAAAGAAAGCATGCAGACAAATTTTTTTTATTTTTTTTATTTTTTCCTTTTTCCGTTTGGTGGAGTGTAGAGAAAAAAGCTATTTGTAATTTGTATAATCAAACTGTTAACTAAGATACATGTGGTTTTTGTGTCTCTATATTTTTGTTCACCCCTATATTTACTTACAAATAATGGGAATGGGTAGAAGGGAATTGATTTCAATTTCTGACTTTCCCTATATTTACTAGCAATAAGGAATGAAAAAAAATATATGGGTCCCATCTTAAAATCGGTAATCACACACCCTCAAAATTATGAATAAGATCAACTAGAGGGGGGCAATTGATCATATCCCATTCATGTTCTTCCTTATCGCCTTCCAAAAACAACCTTACAACTTTACGATTTGTATTCATGTGTTGATTCCATATGATTAATAAACAACTTAATGAGAACGACTTCTTCCCGTACCAATTTATTACATTCTTAAATTCCATGATTCCTTAATTCTCTCATTCTTGGTAAGTAAACATGTCATTAAAATTATAATCTATTAAAAAATAGATAAAGTTTTAGCATATAATTTCATTGGTTAACAAGCTCCCATGATTGGATGCAAGGAAGTTGTAGTCTAAATATGTGTTTTCAATTTTGCTGGTTATGATTATTTTTTCTAATATTTTCTGGCTTGAGTTTGAGTTTGGGTCGAGCCATTTCAAGCGTAGACATTATACTAGACCGAGCCTAGTTGATGTTGGGTTTCAATGCTTCCGCCCTCGACCTGCTGAATGTACATTTAGTTTTTATTTATTGATACTAAATTATATTGCATATTGTGGACTAAATATAATATATCTTAAATTAAATATATTAAAATTTAGACTAAATATAATGAATAATATGGGCTGGCTTCAGCAGGCTAGATGGATCGAGCCACATTGGACTCAAACGGATCAGGTCGTGGATTGGGCTTGGGTTGCAAACCCATAGCCTAAGTCCTACCCAATATGAATACAACTTATTCAGTGACCAAATGCAATAATAAGTTGCATTTATCTGGAGAGAATATGCATAACCCAAAAAATGATTAAAATCTCCGAATTAGCAACCAAACGTACAAGTACTCAAACATGCAATAAAAATTTGCCGCACAATGACATAAACGACAAATCCGTATCGAAAGCCAAAAGCCAAAAGTCAAAATAAAATAAAATATCTTAAATAAAAAATCAAACTAAATCAAACTCTTAAAGAGTTTATGAGAATTATTAGACTAAAACAAACTAAGGAACAATACCATTGCTCCACATCCTCTCAAGCAACCTGATGAGAGCCATAACATCATACCGACTAAACCCATAATTTTGCACCAGCTAATCCCGAATCCGACATCATTCCTTCTTCGTAGCTCCAAATCTACATCGAAAGTTGACAACTTGAAGCCAAATACTTACATGCGTGGGCCAAAAGACGGCAACTATATCATGGCGACTGCTTCTACATCACCCAAAAAAAAAAAAAAAAAACCAAAGAACAAAAGAGAAAAAAGAAAGAAAGATGATGAAAGATGAAGAGAGGAAAAATGGGAGGGAGTAAGAAGAGTAGGGGGCGGCTAGGGATTTTTCTTTAGGATTTTTCTCAGATAGCAAAAGAAGGGGGATGGGACAAGTTAACCAACGTAGTAAAGTCTAATTGATAGACCCTTGCTACATTTTAGCCAAATAGTTAATACAAGAAAAGAAAAGAAGAGAACAGAAAAAGAGAGGAAGAAGTAAATAAAAAAGAGAAGCTAAATAATAAATAAAGAAAGGGAAAAAAGACAAGGTTTGTAAAGGGGAAAACCCCCAAATAATGGAGGAGAAGTGTGGAGAGCCATTGGATAATACAGATGAAAGAGAGAGAAGAGAGAGAAGAGAGAGAGTGTGTGTGTAAGAAGAGATGGCATGGAGAATCCCAATGCTCAGAGACACTGAGACACAGACAGCAGAGCCCTACTGTTCACTCTCCCTTGTGACCAATTAAAATAATCCCAACCCACATCTCCATTTCTGCATATCACACCCACCTCTCTCTCTCTCTCTCTCTCCCCCCCTCTATTTCTCTCTATCATCAAAACCCCCAAATCCAATTCACTCTCCCAGAGCCCATAACTTGATCTGAATTAAAAATTCAAAACAGCAGCAGAAAAAAAGAGAAAAGATTCGATTTTTGTTTTTGATATTTGTGTTTGATCAAACACCCAGACTCAGATCATCCCAAATTCAGAAACTGATAGCGAAACTGAGAAGAAAAAGAGTGAGAGAAGGGCTTATGGGGGAGGACCCTTCAATCCCTTCATCCTCTTCATCCCAAATGTCCGAGGACGACGACCGATCTCCGCCGTTTGATCTCATCGACGGTCAAATCGCCTCCAACAAGGCCCGGAACTGCTCCGGAGTATCCGGGTCATCCGGGTCGGGCGGAAACTCCATCGAGTACAGCGTCCCCTACTCGGACCAAGTCCTCGAGAATGTTCTCGAAAACGTGCTATGCTTCCTCACCTCTCGCAGCGACCGCAACGCCGCCTCATTGGTCTGCAAGTCGTGGTACCGTGCGGAGGCCCTCACCCGATCCGAGCTCTTCATCGGCAACTGCTATGCGGTCTCTCCACGCCGGGCCACGGCCCGCTTCACCAGGGTCCGGGCCGTGACAATCAAGGGGAAGCCCCGGTTCGCCGATTTCAACCTCATGCCGGCCCATTGGGGGGCCCACTTGGCGCCATGGGTCTCTTCCATGGCCAAGGCTTACCCTTGGCTCGAGAAGCTTTTCCTTAAGCGCATGTCTGTGACGGATGACGATCTTGCCCTCTTGGCTGAGTCGTTTCCTGGGTTTAAAGAGCTTGTTCTTGTTTGCTGCGATGGGTTTGGGACCAGTGGGCTCGCCGTGGTCGCTAGCAAGTGCAGGTACTTTGCTAATTTCTTAATTAGTTTCAGGTTAAATTCATGGGTTTTGGTTTGCGTAAACAGACGTTGATGAGATCCGTGAAATGGGTATTGGATTTGGAGTTGAAAAGCTGAAGCTTTAATGGGTATTGTTTGGATCTGATTAGTGTTTTTAGATCTATTACGGTTTTGAGGGTTTGTGTGGATAGTAATGGTTTTCTATTTCCCCTTATTAAGTATTTGAATCTCCAAAGTAATGCTTTTTTCTCCCCTGCATGAAGTAATTGAATACCCACTATCAATAAGGTGCCTAAGATAATGTGATATTGCAATGGGGATCCAATACTGAGGTTAATAATGTTGTATTTTGCAGACAGCTTAGAGTGCTTGATCTGACTGAATCTGATGTTATGGACGATGATGTGGATTGGATATGTTGTTTTCCGGAGACTCAAACCTGTCTCGAATCTCTGATGTTTGAATGTGTAGAATGCCTCATAAATTTTGAGGCATTGGAGAAGCTGGTGGCTAGGTCACCTTCCCTGAAGAAACTAAGCTTGAACCGCTTTGTTTCAATTGGGCAGCTATACCGTCTGATGGTTCGAGCGCCCCAACTCACACACTTAGGAACTGGTTCATTCAATACATCAGAGGTCATGGTTCAGGGTGATCAAGAACTCGATTATCGCTCTGCTTTTGCTGCTTGCAAATCCCTAGTGTATCTATCTGGGTTCAGGGAAATCTTGCTGGATTACTTACCTGCAATTAGTCCTGTTTGTGGTAATCTCACCACTCTGAATTTCAGCTATGCGAATATCAATGCAGAACAACTTAAATCAGTCATATGCCACTGCCACAAACTCCAGACCTTCTGGGTATGTGTTCTATGTACTTATTTTTAAGCATTTTGGAGAACTTTGGCTTGTGGAGCTTACTTTTTTTTATCCTCATGCAGGTACTAGATTCAATATGCGATGAAGGACTTAAGGCAGTAGCTCGAACTTGCAAGGACCTGCGTGAGCTCCGGGTTTTCCCAGTTAATGCTCAGGAGGATATTGAGGGTCCTGTTTCTGAGGTGGGTCTCCAAGCAATTTCTGAGGGTTGTAGAAAACTGCGATCTATTTTATATTTCTGCCAACGTATGACAAATGCAGCTGTGATAGCCATGTCAAAGAATTGCCCGGATCTTGTGGTGTTTCGTCTCTGTATAATGGGGCGCCACCGGCCTGACCATGTTACCGGTGAGTCCATGGATGAAGGTTTTGGAGCAATTGTTATGAACTGCAAGAAGCTCACCCGCCTGGCTGTCTCTGGTTTACTGACTGATGGAGCTTTCAGTTACATTGGAAAATATGGAAAATTGGTTCGAACTCTCTCAGTTGCCTTTGCTGGTGACAGTGACACAGGGTTAAAACATGTGCTTGAGGGCTGCTCTAATTTGCAGAAGCTTGAAATCAGGGATAGCCCTTTTGGGGATACAGCATTGCGCTCTGGTTTGCATCACTATTACAATATGAGATTCCTCTGGATGTCTTCGTGTACGTTAACTCGCCAAGGTTGTCGTGAGATTGCTCGAGAACTCCCCGGTCTAGTGGTGGAAGTAATGAAAAATGAACAAGAGGAAGACACGGGTGAGCCTGAGAATGTCGATATACTATACATGTATCGATCCCTTGAGGGAGCCAGGGATGATATTCCAAAGTTTGTTGAGATCCTATAAACTTTGCACTTAGAAGTTGTTTCTAATTGTATTATGGCGGCATCTGAGCAAGTTAACCCTTGTTTTCGGGGTGGGGGGGAAGAAGTGTTGTGCGGGTGACTTTTATATATCCCGCGAGGTGACTGTTGCACAAAGATGATTAAACAACTCTGGTCCTGGGCTGGGCTTTTGCAGTGACAATCAGGCACCACATGTGCAATGGCATTCAAAGGAGCACCGTAGACTACATTTAATTGCTTTGGTTCTTCAAGAGAACTCGGGGGAGGGGTGCGGATGCCTCTGCAAGGTATTGGATTATCCAATGTTGTATTGGTACGCTTCTAAATTTAATGTTTGTTTTTGCTTCCATATTCATTTGATCATAAACAAAGGCTGCCAGAGGCGAACGGAGGGAGGGTTTTGCGAGCTGATTAGAGATTGATAATTTATCCATCTTCAAAGGAACCATATTGTTTATCTTTTGTCCAGGAAATGGAGATAGTTCTGGGAGTGGATATTCGGAACAGTTTGAATTTCCACGTTTCTAGCCTCTTGTGTGCCACCAGTAGAGAAGTAAAGGAAGAGAGCTTAGTCTGTTTAGTTTTTATTCAAATGGTAGTTTAGTGTTTAAGCTGTAGCTGGTGAGATTTAAATGCCTAAACTGATACATCTATCTCATTCTCTCTTTCTTTCTCTTTCTCTTTCTCTTTCTCTTTCTCTCTCTTTCTCTTTCAAAGTGTTTGTTTCTTTCAGATGTTTTGTTGTAGCACCTGACTGTTGAATTTATTATTGTTATTGTTAGCCAATGTGATATGGGTAATAAATGCCAAAATATGCATGGACCATATACCATATATATACTTGGTAGGTCTGCATCTTTGCCCTTCTTTTTTCCCCCCCTTGATTGTGGAATGATATATTGAATGCATCATCTCCTCTAATCTCCTAGCCAAAAGAAAAAAAGAACCCCTGGATCAATATAAATCACCATGCTTACACAAGTTTTCTGGTCAATGAAGAAAACCATTTGGGATGAGGAAAAAAACTGGCTTTTACAGGTTTGGTTGCACCTACGATTTGCTGTTGAATTGCATTATTGATTTTGGTATGACCTGTATATAGTTAGGAGTGGGACCCTTTAGTTTGATGACTTGTCACACCCCCGTGATTGCGTTATAAAGCGGCCAAGTCCAATGACTCACCATCTCTCTCTCTCTCTCTCTCTCTCTCTCATAATTAGAAGAGAAAAATCTATCTGCATTCGTTGTTGGTATTCCATTTAGCAAGATGGTAAAAGCAAACTTATCATCAGAGTGGGATCTGACTGTGCAATTGATCAAGTGATTTGGAACACAAAGGGTTTAAAAAAAAAAAAAAAAAAATAAAAAATAAAAAAGAGTTGTTTCAATTCAAGCAAAGCTTGTTTTACTTTCTTGTCGAGCGATTGGAAGCTCAACCTAATGTTGGGTTCAAACCAAAGGATTGGCATCTCTCTCTCTCTCATCCATGTCTCTCGGATTGTCATGACCACGATCCACGAAGATCTTGAATTGAAGTTTGATTTGCTTACGGATAAGAGTGTGTGTATGTGTGCGCGCGCGTTCAATAGAAACGATAAAAGAACATTGAGTTTTTCCAGTACTTTTGCTTATCCACATTGCATATGGTGGGAATAGTCTCTCGGATGACCACTGCCTAAGAATGAAAGAATGATAGCCTTTGCTTTTTGATTGTATCCTTCTAACAGTTTGCTTTTTTGTTTTTTTTTTTTTTTTTTTTTTTTTTTTTTTTTTTTCTACGCGACCCTGTCCCCAGCAGAGAAAAGTGAACAACAAAAAAAAGTGGGGCAAAAGAAAAACAAAAAAAACTGATGGGGACCTTACACAAGGACGAGGAGTGACAAATCAATAAATCTCAGCCGTCCAATACATTAAACGACCCCTTGTGATTGAGCCATCTCACCAACTTGCACACATCAACCCATCATTTTTTAGATAAAAACTTCACCAAATTAAATGGTCCTGGATGAAATAGCACACCATCAACCCCCATTTGCTTAGCACATGCTTATACTGTTTGCTAAGCAAACACATTAACACATTAAATACATTATTAATTAATATTTAATAATAATAATAATAATAATAATAATAAAAGTTGAGAGAGCTTTGTTTGGAGGTGGCTGATTGGTGAAGAAGAAGACCCAAATCAAGGTGTGGCCCACCAAAGTGATCATTGAGTATGTGGGTCACGTGTACGGCATGAGAGCTTGCTGGGGGATACCATTAATTATTATTTTATTAATTAAAATTAGACATTAAAATATGAAAGTTACACCCTTTAATTATAAATAATCATGCTTTTATTAACAATAATATCATTGTTGTTGTTATTAAAGTAATGCAGAGAGAGAGAGAGAGAGAGAGAGAGAGAGAGAGAGAAGAAGCTAACGTACAAAGTTTAAATTAAAATTATATTTAAAATCTAATACAAACAAACAAACAACAAAAACCATCCAAATGACAATGGCAGGTGTTTTAAGTCCAGAGAAGACTCAAGTGGTGGATAGTGGGTGCTGCTTGTGCTTGTGGTGTGGTGGAAAAACCACCCAAAAAAACAAAAGTCGGTGAAGCCAAAAGGGTTTACGGTTTTTTGGCTTTTTATTTATTTTTTTAATTTAAACTTTTGACTGTTAAGCACATTCATGGCTGAACTAAGCACGAGGTCAACCACCAAATCTTGTTTTTTGTTTTTATTTTTCTCTATTTTGCACTCTTTCCCAGCATACTTTTCTTTCTCTAGTTTTCAAGCCACACAAAATCTTCTATATAAATTTGTAATTAATAATCTCACTTCTGCTGTTACCTTATTCAAACTTTCTTTTTTTTATTTCAAGTTTGGTTTGATAATTGTTTAATTCATATGCGATTCATACACAGATGTATCTCATAGGAGGGAGTTAGACTCTGTATCTCGAATATTTCAATTTTCTTTTACAATAATTTCGATACATTATGATTCAACATGTTTATCGTGAAATTAATGTTTGTGATTAGTCATGTCCTGTCTTTAACATATAATATTTCTAAAGTATTAAGTATGGCAATATAACTTTTAAGCACGCATGTCTGCTAGGGTTTTACTATATAATTTAGTTCTGAGTTGTTCTTAGCATAAGTATAAAGAAAACTTTGGATCCGATCATGGAGGTGACCATGTTTCATTTTAATATTAACATTAGGTTGCCGACATTTTAGCTGAACAGAAAACTCGGTTATTAATTTTAAATCATATAAATTGAACTTATAATATAAACTATAAATATTATTGAAATGGTGTTTGGTATCTTAATCAAGCTTGGCATATTAATTTCTATTCACGTGCAACATGTATATAAATTTATCAATTGGCAAAGCCAGTGAGACAGTGGCGAAACATGGCATATGCCAACAGGCCGATCGAAGCCAATTCCAAACTCCAAAGTTGAAGAAAAGATGTATAACCAATTCTCTTGGAAATTGTGGGCACAACCCTCACATACAAACAAATTTTATGTTTATGCTTAAACCTAATATATGGCTTCCACTTGGATGGACTGATGGAGGATGCAAAATACGTGATTATGATCATAAACATATGATTAGCTTATCACTTGCATTAATTCCATGCACCCATATGCACACTTCGATCCCGATCGCTAATTTAAAGATGACATGATGAGTATAAAACGAGCTGTAAATTTAGACGTTATACATTTAGAATTTCATTAACAAAAAGAGAGAATGATAAAGTCGAAGATATCTGTTGTTGGACAAAAAAGATAGTATCGTATGTTCCTTAATTTGAAAGAATGAAATTCTCATAACCTTAAAGCGAGTTAAAAAGAGGTTGCTTCAATCGGCCGTTTGATAAAGTTTTGTTCTTATCAAATGGGGCTTCGAGTGCAACTTTAGCCAAATTTGATATTCAAAGGGAGTTGAAGCATCATTTAAAGAAGGCTAGACATTTGACTAAAGTTTAGATTTTTGTAAAAAGAAGAAAATGGATGGGTATTATTAGGGGTTAAACTATAGCTATATTTCGTCAAAAATTACCAATTTTCTTAATTGAATTCATGTTGCCATGCAAGAGCTTGTAACTCAAATTGTTAAAAATATTCACTTACATTTGAAGCTCGATATTCAGTTTTTCTCTCTGAATCATTTGTTTTATTTATTAAAGCGGTAGTCTAAATTAAAAGAGGAAGAGGTTTTCAGCTGTAGTATAAAAAGAAAAAGAAAAAAAAGCAAGCAAGCAAATCCCATTAGAGGACTATAATTAGATGTTTAATAAAAATAAGACTGAGAGGGTTTCTCAAACACACTCCCAAAGTGTCATGAAGTTTAGAATATGAAACTATTAATCTACAAATTAATGCATTTTTTTACTAGACTAAACCATATTGGCCCTCTCAGGACCATCATTTGTATCAAAAGAGTGTGAGAATCGCCAATAATTCACAGCCTGCCCCATGTAATTCCTGAAAAGACACAACCAAGTCATATAGTAAACCGTTAATATTCCTTTAATGCTCACCCAAAAGTCATAATACATAGGAAAGCAAGCAAACCAAATGGGTCAGTCTCCCATAACACAAAGTGCCCCCCTTGGAGGAGAGTGTCTGGGGGCATACGTGGCACTCTCTCATAGATTCTAGAATAATGGGTCCTCCCTCACCTCTTCAATTTTTTTTAGTTTTTGTGTTTGTTGAGGGACACCATAATTTCCTATTGGAGATAAGATTGAACCCCACTTTGGATGTTTGTTTTGTACATTCAAAAGTTGTTTGAAAGGAAAAAAAAGTTTCAACTCCTTTGAAAGCTCAAGAAAATGGTACACCAATCCACAATTCACACACCCACAATGATGATTTAAGCTATTGGGCACTACCATCTGAATTTCAAATCATCTTTCCATATATTAATCATAAAATCCATTCCTTCTCACCAATTTTTATGTCAGTAATTTTCACACTTGTTTTCTTTGCCAGAATCCAAGTTTTGTGTTTTTGGTTTTTCTATTACTGCGTCATCCTAATTTTATGGCAGTAGTTTTCACTATAAAATAATAGCAAAATGTTGGCATAATTACTTGTACAGATGATGTATGAATTTTGGGCTAACGATAAAAGATCTCTTGAAAATTTGGGGTCATTCTCATTCTTCACAAATAATTTTCTTAATTTTGTGAATCAAGGCTCCGATTTAGTGGGATGCAATTCTGTAAATTTAAAGAGAAGGTTATTCTTTAGTTCCCTAAGCACATAAGAAAACATTCATTAGAAGCTCAAGTGTTTATACGTATTCATAAAAAAATTGTTTTCTAATTATTTTTTTCTTTCAAAAATGCGCTCTCTAACTCAAAGGATACTAAAAAAGGACTTATATCTCTAATGATTAAGAGCGGTTACATTTATACATTATTAGTTTTTAATTATCTAAAAACGCTTACCAATAGAAACCCAAAAAAAAAACAAAGAGGGTTTATCCATAGAGCCCATAGGTGCTTGCTTACACACATTATCATCCTTAGCAATTAGAAATTCCAATGAATTATCAACTATTAGTTAAGGACGTGGCCACTCGCAAAGCAAATTGGCTGCTGAGGGGTCATTCAAAGAGACATTCTCAGGGGGGTTCAATGGCCCTCAACTATATCCATTAGCAATTGGCATAGTAGAAATATTGATATATCAGAAAAATGCTCTTGTGGTTTATATAAAACAACTTTGTCCACTTGTGGAATACATAAAAAGAGGCCCAGGCCTTTTTAGATGCATGATTTTAAAGAGAGAGAGAGAGAGAGAGAATCTTCTAATCATTTCTCCTCTAGAATTCTTTTCAAAAAAATTCCCCACCTCTTCTCCTTCTTCTTTAGGATCTTTGTGATATTGTGGGTGATGTGTAAACATGGCACAGTCAGAGTCCCCTTTGAATATTTTACTCTTCTCTTCCATTCATATATAAAGAAGAAGGAAAATCAACAACCCAACCCACCTCCCTTCTTCAAAAGAAAAAGTGAGTGGTGTGGTCAGCTTGCATCAAATTGGCCTTTGAATGATATAAAGTGCCAGCCTTCAGTTTCTCAGCTGGTCAAAAGATCCTTGAAAATAATTTGTTTTTTTTTGTTGAGTTTTTATAAGTATATCTTTATTTTCATGGTGGAGCCAAATTCTGGTCAGAAATCATGATCATACTACCACAACACTCAAATATAAGCAATATTAATATTAGGAAGCCTCCAAAACAAAGACAGTAGGCTTTAAGCAATTTGGAGAGTTTAAACTTAAACAAACTCAATAATTCTTTGTCCACCATTTCACAGACTATCATGCTCCCATAAAAGTCTGCAAAAATTTAGTCTCCCATCTTTAGTAAAGCATGATCAAACTCAATTGACAAGAAGCATGCATTAAACAAACCTCCAAAAGTTTAAGATTTTAGCAAGGGCTTTAAATATTCTTACGAGCAAAAAGAATTTCTCCTTTCTTTCTGTTTAATTTTTGGGCCACTGTGATTTTAAAATTATAAATTTTACTATTTATGTATTTGTTGTGGTCATCAAAGGCAAATACTTGTTAGTCAATTATGAAATTTGAATAGAAACAGTGTTAACTTTTTGATCCACTAGCAAAAGCAATATCCATCTTGCATGTGACAAACTGTCACACTTCTAACTCCAAACATAGAACTGCAGCCAAGCTCCCATGAAGTGTGGCTGTGTTCAATGATGGTCATCACATTTAAACCTCGACAAATCCTCGTGAGGAGACAATGACAAGGTTGAAACCCTATCACAATCACCCTCACGAGTATATGATCACCCTATCCTATAACTTTTGCTACAGAAGACACGGTGACAAAATCTCCCAAAATTCATCACAGTTTATAGTTCCGATAACTCCAGCGATAGTGAGCATTTGCCCCATACTTGGGTCGAAGTTCGTAACTTCGTACCTCATCTGCCCCTCTTGACCTCCTTTACATAAAAAGAAAAGTTAACCTAAATTCAAATACCCTTCCTGCATTCAAGCCCAGGTGATGCCTCAAAAAATTTCATATAAAAGGAACAAAAGTTGAGCTAAGACTTACCTGAACGAAAGTACTAGAAAAAGAGGTAGAACAGGCAGTGTGACTAGATTATAGGGGCTAGATGGAAGACTGCCACTACACTGGAGGAATAGGTGTTTTAGGTATGACTGGCTGATTCATGGAACTCTAAACCCCAAGTCCAAAACGAAACATCTTGAAGAACATACAAAATAAACTTGAGCTGTTTCTTCCAAGCATATACATTTCATCATACAAAGAAATATTGCAATCTTCCGGTGGCAATTTTGACACTAACTATTCACCAAGGCAATGGTACTGTTCCAAACTTTTGGCACAGATCTTCGTATGCCCATAACAATGTATTTCACTATTCATGGCTACCTGATTCACCAAATCGTTTATAACTAGTCTAAAATGTTCCATTCATTGGAAACACTACTACAGCACAGTAGAAAATGGCAAATGAATTCAATACCACATGGATGATTGGATGATTATGCATTGTAAGTGAGGACATAAGCTCCATCTTAGCAAACAATTTTCCAACCCAACAAAGTTCATGTGTAATATATTCAATTGTTTTATTTTATGACATTTGATGCTTATTCATAGGGCAAACAACAAATTTTAACTTTGGGCAGTGTGCCTTCAGAATAAGACCAACAGCATTCTAAATGTACATGCTCGTAACTTACCTACCATTACATTACACATGGATGTTGGTTGCTAATAGAAGAAAGAGAACAATGAAAAAATAATAGGGGCCGTAATGACATAGTAGACAATACCCTGAAAGAACCTCACAATGAAGATGCTGAAAATACTCATCAGGGAGCCAACCGCTCAATTTTCCACACTTGTTGTCCATTGATCTCCTTGGGAGAATATTGCAGCCTATCAAGAAAATATAATTTACTCTGAGAATTTCGAGCTAACTACACGCTGTTCTTTTGTTTTTTTCTTTCTGTGGCGGGGGGCAACAACATAGATCAATATATATAAGTATTCAGATTCCAACAATATGATAAACAAATCATGGAATAATAAGATTTCTATTTATGACCACCACAGAAAAGAAAAATCTTTTAAATAAGTAAGACTATCCAAGATAACAGGATTTAAGATAACTTTTTTGAAATAAACTAACAGTATCAAAACCCAAAGGTTTGCTAGAATAAACTCAATCCATCAAAATGGTTTGGACCAACCCAACTCAACTTATATCAGAGTAACAGTTCATATCCAAGCCAGAGAAAGAATAAATTCTATTTAAGTTTCAAGTATCCACGATACAGACGCCAAAATATTTTGATGTTTTAGGCACATATCTGCTCCATTAATTTGTTACAAGCCATCTGTAGATACTATAGAGAAAGCAATGTAATAAGAACCACCCATCATAAAGGGGATAGAAACCACCTGTCATGCAAGCGAGACTTTTGGCCTTGCCAAAACTCAAACAGCTCTGGCTTAAGTCTGTACCCTCCCCAGTTTTTAGGTTTAGGAATTATACTTCTGCACACAGAAAAAACAAGTGGAATTTAATTTCATATTGCATAAAAAGAATGCAAATCTGTTTCATTTTACTTAAAGGTTGTTCTGAAAGGAAAGTAAACACATTGCAAAGATTACACCCACACTCCACGGCATATAAGATGGTGGAAGGGGATTGGGCCAATGACTTACCCATCAGAGAACTTTTCCTCTAGCTCTTTGTATTGGTCATACAAAACACGCCTTCCAGGAAGTACAGTGCTCTGGAGGAAGAAGATGCAAATTATTTAAATTATTATAGAAAATTAATAGTATCAGTAAAATTGAGAATGAAAATGGAATAATAGTAAAATTAATAATACATAACTACCTTTACCCACTGAACCATGCAGTCATCCAAAATCTTTCACATTTATCTTCCCATCTACTGTGTAATCTTTGTTTTACATATTAAACTTTTGTAATTTATTTTTTGGTGGTAGGTTTAAATTTTGACGAAATACAGTCGGTGGCAGTGCAATTACACTAAATTTGGTTTGATAAAATTGGAAAGAAAAGGGTTGAAGAAACATGAAGACGAGTTTCACCAAATGAAGTTAATTATCTCCCTTATTGATCAAATAATATTAGTTTAAATTTTCTCACATTTTTTACTGATTCTTAAAGAGAACTTGCGAGCTTCAAAATTTATGCAACAATCAAGAATGAATGTATTCTGTCACGCTAGTGCTCAGGATATCAGAGAAATTTGAAAGAAACAAACCTGCTTACTAACTATTGCTCCAATCTGACTTCCTCGAGGGCGGCTATGGAAGTACTGATCAGATTCCTCATCAGAAACTTTCTCTACAGATCCTTCCACTCGTACCTACAAATCACTGATAATGTTAAGACATGATCTTCATCCACAAACATCATCAAAGAGCAATGCCCCTGTAGTGCAAAGGCATGAAAACAAACATTTGCTTCTAGATCAAACGTTGGTAGTTCAGTAAATCAAAAATCTATTCCTTAACATCCAGGATGAAATCCCAGAATCACTACTAATGCTCAAGGTGGACCAGAATATAGGATCACATCCGAACTGCACTATTAATTGAGGGTGACTATCCAAAAGGAAGTATCCAAAAGTAACAGGACTCATAATCCAGAGAAGGCACCTAATTATGCATAGAAATAAGAAAAAGAAGCAAACATTCACAATCCAGAAAAGGCACCTAGATAACCCGTTTTTTAAATACAAGGAACACAAACTCCTCCCCAAAGAAAGAATAATTGCATTAAAAGGAATGAGAAAATAAGCAACAGTACTATCAACAAAATACTTAAGTTTACTATCAGTATTCCAAATTTACAGAGCGAGTAACATCAGAGTTACTGAAACTTCAGAAGCAATTAGCATAGGGGGGATGCAATTGTGACTTCTTTTTTTGGGGTGAAATAGGGGGTACAAGACCCCAAAAACAAAGAACAACTACACAGACATAGCGATACCCACCAATCTGATCTAAGGAACTCCTAACAAGTCCTCCACTAAAATAGAGCCGAGCTAACTAGGAACAAAATAAAAAAATTACAGAGACCCAGATCCATATTGTAGCTCCAATTGTGACTTCAGAAGTCGGTAAAAAGATTAAATCAGAACAACAACAAACCCAGTATCATCTGAATTTTCATTGTGCCACTAAAGTTTTTACCAGATGCCAAGGCCAAACTCAGTTCTGAAATAAACCATGCAAAATAAACCCTTCAAGCAGGCATTCTATCATTGACTACACAATTACCAACTTTAAAAGTTCGTAAGATATACATACTCTCTCTCTCTCTCTCTTCGGGAGGTTATTTGTAGCTCCTAAGTTAGCGGGAAAACAAACAATAACATCATGATTTTTTATGACAAACAATAACATCATGATAATTTATGATAATGTCATTTTAACTTCTTTAGAGGAGTGCATAGCACAATCAACACAAAATATCTCATCGCGAGAGCCCAAACAAGGATATGGCATACATGCTTCGAGATCAGGTGTATGTGCACTAATGTGGTTTTCTTTTACCCAGAAAATCACCATTATTCTACTTTGCAAAGGGAGTGGATATGTAAACAAAAACGACCTCCCTCACCCAGTTTTTCTAGTAACAGTATTTAAAGCATTTATTGAAAAGGCACCAAGGAGGTACAACCTACATCGGGCCAAAACAGATAAGTAGGTGTAACCCATGCACGCAAGCACTATATGCCCAACATTCTAAATAACTAGTCTCAAAGTGAAAAAACACAGCTTACCTGTCGATTAAGACCATCCCAGTAGAACAGAAGAGATGCATGAGGATTTTCTGACAATTCATGTGCCTTTCGACTTTCATAGTTGGTATACCTGCATACATTAACAGCATTGAATTAAGAATATTACAATCATTTAATGAAAAACACCATTCACGGCATTGTTGATGTATGCACAGCCTTAAACAGACAGATACTAACCAGACAAAACCATTCTTATCAAATCCTTTGAGCAATACCATGCGAGATGAGCTGTAAAAAAAACTAAATTATGTTGAGTAAACTAATAAAAAATCAACAGGTCATATATGAATAAGAAAAATCATATTAAAATCCAAAATGATAATTGCAGAGAGGAAATTTTAAAACTATAGCAAACCAATAAAATGTCATCTAACATGCAAGAACAATATGTGAAACATAGCTTAGTATTAGTAAAAGAGACATAGTAACAAAGGAAACAGATATTACGGTTTTCCATTCTTGCTAGCAGTTGACAAGGCCATAGCATTTGGTTCCCTCAAGCCAGCAGCCACTACATCATCGAACCATTTGCGGAACTGTAAAATAGTTAAAGGCTTGAAATATGAAGGGAAGCTTTGCAACTAAATGTGACAAATAAAAATCAACTGCGCGTTTAACTAATCTGTACCTTTTGCAACCAAATGTGATAAAATTGAAATCAATTACGCATTTAACTAATCTATACCTGATCAAAAGGATCAGCCTCCACCTGTTCCTCGAGAAACTCAGGAGAAATATAGTTCTCTCTTAGAGCCGATATATCAACTTGTGCTGGCCTTCCAATTCGGACACACATAGAAGTTCCAGGATATGGTGGAAGACGAAGCTTATATTTATCAGCAATAGATGGTGGGACAAATCTACCACCCAGAAAATGGTGTGGACCAAAAAATTTCTTTGCACACAACTTCGGAGCAGTCAGAGAAACCTGGAAAGTAGCAAGTTTTCATCAACAAGATTGTTCATTATAAATAAAACAACATACATATACATGTAAATACACGTCAAATTTCTAAACAAAACTCAAAGTGCAATGATGTATAGGAAAGACGAATTGAGGTGTTCCTCAAGAACATACCAACATGTCAGGTTTGATGCCTTCAGCACCACCATCCCCTTCAACATGCCACCCAGATGGAATATCTATGGAGACAATAGCGGAGGACTTTTGGTGTGTTTGATCATAGTTATTTATACAAACAAGCTTTTGGATCAGATTATCAAAAGGGGGCCTTGGGGAACCTGAAGCATTACAAATGAATGCAGTTAGATATATCATGTAGGCAGTTAAATAAACACCACAATCGTCAAGAGTGAAGAATTTATAATCTGGATGAGACTTATCAAGTGGTCAGATGTCAGGGTCTACATGAACAAAAAGAGAATAGACCTGAATTGAGAGTTTTTCAAAGGACAATGGCTTATCTAAGAAAATTGAGCATGTCAAAGTTAATCCTATGAAAACACCAGAACTATCTTCTGCACTGAATTCTTATGAAGTTAATGTATAGCAACATGACAATTTAAACATGAATGAACTGAATATGTGGGAATTTACTAGGTCCAATATGAATGCATTGAGAATTACCTAAGTTGAATTCCAATCTATGATCCAAAAGGGAAAAAAATGAGATGTCATCAAGCTGTAGAACACGTAAAATCAGCACACGGGAGAAATAACAACCCAGACATTATTTTGAGAGATTGCCTAGCAATTTCAGGCATCAAATGTTCATATGTTCACAGAGTTTTTAGATAAATGTAAAGTATTTCCTACTTATCATGATAGCTCTTTTACACACAAGACAATAATCGAACGAGAATCAGAGTGGTTGTGTCAAAAAAAAAAAATTGTATTGGCACGGTGACTACATAGAGAAAAAAATAATTTTCCCAAAACAAAAATTTAGTAATTACCATGGAATGAGAAACCCAAACATTGCGTCTACAATAATATCAAAGTCCTTTGACAAGTCCAAAGGTAGATCTTCCACTGAGATGAATGGGACTGACAGTGATTCCAGCTGCAAAATTACTCCATAAAATAAGAATATCTTCTAAAACAAGCCTCCATGGAAAATCCAACAGCCCCCATATATATGCATAATATAACCCCGCATTCAAAGAGTTTTCAACTTTGAGTTCTGTTCCATACTTGAGTAACCAGACCAGTATAAAGAGGCTTAGCAGTACGCTTTGGATAACAAACAGATGGTTTATATCCAAAGTGATTCAGGTGTCGAGCAGCCACGAGACCATCACCACCATTGTTTCCAGGGCCACAAATCGCAAGGACACGATTATGCTCGCTCGGTTTATAGACCTGTCAAATAAATCAAGCAACAAAAATAAAGCGCCATATAACATGAATGAAGTTCCTCACTCCCACTAAATGAACATTGCAGTAAGTAGTAGCGTATTGCAGAATACTTAGATGAAATACTCTCATTGCATCTCAACAGAATGCTAGAAATATCACATCATTCAGTCATAATGAGAGGGAAACGTTATAACACATCTTCTATTAGCAAATTAAAGATTACAATTTGAATTCGTGAATGTGCATGATCATCATCAAAATAGCATATCAAACTGCAAATACAATGAGCTCATATTCAATTAATCTCAATAGACAGAGAGAAAAAAAAAGAAAAGCATTACCTCTGCTATGGAAGTGGCCACGCTCAAACCAGCCAATTCCTGCAAAGTCAATAAAAACGAAACTTTATGCGAACCCATGATTAGGATTGTGAAATAATTAACTATTAACCGAACCCATGATAAAAAGTTGCTTATAAAACCAAAAAAGAGACTGACCATTAACTGGTCGACACTGAAGCCGAGAGGACCCATGAGAATCTCATCAATCTCAGCAGCTTCACGCTGCGTCAGGTACGATATATCCTCAGTCATGCTGGGTAAGGACCCAACTCCCACCGCGCTACTGGGTTTTGAACAAAAAGCACGAATTGCAGGGCTTCGAATTGGATAAAGAAAAGCCTAGAAGATGAACATATGATATGAATTCATTGAATTGCTGGTTATGGTAAGAATAGCTTTTTATTGAGAGAGGCTTAGTAGCTTACCAAGGAGAGATGGGAGATAGAGTTGTGGAAAGAGCGAGAGACACTGTAATTGTAGTAAGTGTGAGAATGAGAAATGGGTTTGGGATTGGAAGAGAGTGATTGGGTCAAGAAGAGGAGACGTGTCATTTTTCTGCTTCTGCGTGCCAATGGCCACATTGGTCGAGAAGCAGCGTTTGCTTCCTTTGCATCGCTTCTTCTTCCACTTCTTTCTGATAGTGAATTGTGAATTGTGAATTTGTGATGGCCCAAGTGTTTGTTTTGGTTTATAAAGTTTCTGGCTTTTGGTGCAGTGACGTTGCCTTTTAGCATTAAGCTCCAAACGACTGACCACAACTTGTACATACATAGACTAGGCAAAGTTCTTGTGCCGTGCGGTAATGTGTTTAGTCATTCAAAAGAAACCACATTTTTTATTATTTTTTTCTTCTAAGAATGTGATGATTTTTTGATTGTTGATATTTAATTAGCAATTATCACATGTGAACAATATTTCTTCCCACCAGTATTGCAAAACTCTACCACATATTTTAGGTGGCAATTTTTGACATGACACGATTCAAATTAGACATAAAATTAGTGAGATTTTTGATTTAACACATGTTAATATGAATAATAGATGGATCGGTTAATATCAAACACAAAAATTTCGATTTTGACAAGATAAGCACTTTAAACTAGTATTAGGTGAATAGAATTATTTATTTTCTCATGTGTATGAGTAATGGTATGATTATAGGCTTTTCCTTATAGTTTTGTAAGGCAGCCTTCATATTTAAGGTAGCTTTAAACTGCAGGATTATGTTTAATCAGATCCAACCAAAATATTTTCCAACGTAGAAGGCGAAACCCATTTGATGGGATGAATGCCCATTTTTTTTTAAATATGGAGAACTCTTTTTTCCCACAAGTTCACATTGGTTTACTCCCTCATCAATCCCATTATCTCTCTAATTCTAACTTGTGATCAAGCGGGATATTGGCGTGTGGTTCCAAAAATTAACACCATGAGGTATCAGATTTTACTAGAATCAGAGTTAACGTCTGGTACAATTGGTTGTGTCTTTAAGTTGTCATATACTTTAAGCGGTTGCATATATCTTAACTTAAGATATGTTTGGTGTCTATGAGTTGTCATTTTTGGGTCCTTAGCTGAGCGGAAATGCACAATAGAGTTGCAGACTCAACCCTAAAGTGCATACGGCATCAATGATTCACAATGCATGAGGATGGGAAGATCCTAACTGAGGAGTACCCAAATATAATTCCCGAAAAACTCTATATATTGTTCTTATGAAATTAAATTTTACACAACATGGGAAGTAAATGTGGTTTTAAATGGCACCAACATATTGAAGAGAGAAAAAATAGATTTAAGGGGCATTATTGTTACTGTTGGTCTTTCTCAGTCAATGCCTTTTGAATCTTGTCAATGAAGCTCATCATGGTCTCTAAACCCTTTTCATCAAGCCTAGGTACTGTATGACCCTTGGGATGATGAATGATTGTAGGTTCTACACAGTGTTCCAACAGCTCAAGTCCATATGGCTTCAAGAAGTCCGTCTCTCCTGCAAACATATAACACACTTTGATCAATAATCACTAACCAAAATTGAATGATTATGAACCGTTAATTAAAATGGGTCTTGTAATACAAAATTCAAGAACAAACAGCCTTCACACACGTGCATAGACAACATTAAATAAAGTAGTCCTGCAATAAAGAAACCCAACAAACTGATGGACCGTTCACATGCGTAAACCACTATGAATCGTTGATTGAAATACGTCATCAATGTAGAATCCCATTTTCTTTATGCATTTGGAACTTTGACCAAATAAAAAAAGAAAAAGAAATTACCTAAAAAGTGAAGGGACGGACATTGAATGGGAGAAGCATAAGCATCGTCAGCCACTGCTGGGGACTTGAATTGGCCCCTCCAATTATGATGAGAAATTTAATTTTAGGCACTTTAGTCAATGCCACCCCCTACAAGCAAAGCATAAAAAGTAACGCAAAACAAATCAAAAGCCAAAACAAAACAACAGTCCCAAAAATCAGTATATCATTGTCAAAATCCCCAGCAAATCAATTCTATGAAATTTAAAACTTGTTACATTATAGCTTCTGTGTATACCTTCGCTTGTAGCCCCGGCAGCGCAGCCGACAATATTGCACCCTGCATTTATTCATTTCCAACCAACTAGTGATCAAAAGATTGTAAACACAACAAAAAAAGAGTTAAAAAGGGAGGGCATTTATAGGGCTTTTGATTTGGACACAATTTCTTTCTTTAGGAATGCAATACCATCATTTTGTGATTTTCAATATCTCATTTCCAAATTGCATTTACTAGAAATGAAAAATATACACATATTGCTAAAATTAAATCCGAATATTAAAAGAGGTCACAAATTCGAATTTCTGCTCTCGATTCATGAAAAAAAAAAAACCATTAAAGGATTTTAATAGTGGTGAGATAAATACCTGGGAAAAACCAACTAGCCCATCAAATGGTCCCTGCTTTATAATGTAATCTTCTATGTATTCCAAACACTTGTCAAAGTTTGTGTACTCAGAAAATTCCTGCGTAAAAATAAAATAAAATCAAAACTTACCCTTCTACAGAAAAACAAAAAACAGTACATCAGAATGGGAAGGATGAATCTGGGAAATTCTTTTTTCTTTTCTTTTACCTTGTTGAATTGGAACCACTCATAATAAGGAGGATCAAAAATGCCCTCAACGTCAGATTTACCTAGGGCCGGAAAAGGCCCATCAAGATAAACAAGGTCGAGCTTCTGCAGCACAGATTCAGGCCACTTACCCACTTGTTTCTTCATGATTTCTCCACTGGTTCTGAATCCATGGAGGCAGAGAAATCTGGGTTTCTTCAACAACGACCCTCCTTCTTCGCTTCCCTGGCTACCCATGTAATTTCTTAGTTTTTCTGGGGGTTTTCTGTAATAATAATAAGAAGAAGAATATGCCAATGGGTCGATGAGTTTTTTCTTCTTCTTCTTCTTCTTTTCAGTTCCGCTAGTGTGGGAGGAATGAAATGTGCATTGAATTTGAATCGGGTGGTGGCTGAATTTTAAAGGCCAAGGTTCGAGGCAATTATTGTTGACTGGAACGACGTCGTGTGGGAATCTGCCTCGTTCAATGTGAACGGCAGCGGACCAACGAAATTGAGATATCATCATCTGATTTAATAGAGCCGCGTGTACCGTGAGCGTGGTGGGGTGGTTGATATGGATGGTAGATGAAGGGGCGTGCGTTTTTCAATCGACGGTGGATGATGTGGGGTGTGACGTCATGTCACTCGAGAGAAAGAAACCAAGGGTGGATTCAAATGGAAGGAGAACGCAAGTTTTGACCCGCGTTCTCTTCCACCACGTTGTCTCTTAAATTTATATTCAATTTATTTCTATTTTATTTTATTTACGGACAATGTTAATCTCCACTTGGGGTGGTGCCAAGTTTTGCGTTATTCACTATGAAAGGAAAATCTCGTTCAGAATTCAAAGTATTTTTTTTCTTTTCTTAACGATGGAAGTAAATTTAACCATTTGGTGAACCGTAATTCTAATATATTTATCCACCAAACCTCACCATTTAGCTAACCCCATGGGCTTTAAAATTGATGATTATATTAATGGGATGCTTACACAAGCTTGAATTTACAAAAAAAGAAAAAAATAAAAAGGAAAAGACATTCTAATATAAAAAGATATAACAAATGCAAACACTAGAAAAATTTGTAGACAAATCACATGCGGGTAACATAATAGAAGTTTTTTTTATATATATTAAAATGCATGTTAAAACAATATAATTGCAACAAAAAAAAAAGTATCTACACGCGATTGGAAAAAAAAAAAGAATGCTCACATCTATTCCAATTATGCTTTGTTTGGTTTATGGAACGGATTTGAGGGGAAATCATTTCCCATGTCATTTCCCATATTTGGTAATCCTAGGAAAGTGACCAATAAATACCATTTTATATTCTTTCACATGTTTGGTTTGTGTAGGAATGTAAAACAAACTTTTTAATTTTCCAATTATACCCATATGAAATCAAATAAAATAATAATGCATTTAATGCTATATTGTAATTCTAAATTATTAATGGGGACAATATAGTCATGAAACATATGTATTTAATGTTGGCTCATTTTCCCAAATTTTTCCATGAGGAGAAAAACAAAAACCCAAGGGGGGGAGAATGGCTTCACTTTCCCTCATACTTTTCCATGTGCAAGCAACGATTTTCTATGCCTAGACTTACCAAACATAGAAAAACAATTGATTTCCTATACCCAAGTCTCATTTCCCATGAACCAAATGGGGTCTTGGAAGAATTGATTTGAGAAATTTAATAGAGTCGAATATGAATCGTCTTAGTTCCTTACATAGCTTTTTCCTTGTGGAGTTAACTCTTCATGCTTAAGACAAAAGATATCTAGTAAAAGGGCTTGTAGTTCAATTGGTTAAGAACATTTATTTTGCATCCGATATCCTATATTCGATTCCCTCCTCCTCCAACATCACTTGTATAGAAAAATAAAATAAAATAAAATAAAATAAAAGATATCTAGGGTTAAAATGGAAAATATACGGACCTTAATAATGGAAAATGGAGGAAAACTACGGGCCACTTCGGTAATTAAAAAAAAAAAAAACAAAAAACCAATGTCCCAAACAAAAAAAAAATTTTTTTTTTTTTTTTTTTATTGATAAAAAAAAAAAAAAAAAAAAAAAAAAAAAAAAAAAAAAAAAATAATATCGTAGGAAAAAGTTTGTTTTGTTTCATTTTAACGAAATATTTGAAATACCTCGACTCTTTCCTCAAAACAAAAGCTTCTATCCTCCTTCGTCTTACGCGCGAGGTTTCCATTTCTGCTACTTCTTTCTAACTTTTGTCAGGGGCCTCGCTGTTGTCACCCTTCGAATCCCCTGTGTTGTTCATCGAGGACGGAAGGTATTGCCATTGACATATTTTCTCTTTTATTTCTTTTCAAATCATATGCTTTTCTTTCTTGATCAGATTTGATTTACCAGTTTCAGAATTCGAAATTCATCCGTGATTGATTATCAAAATGATTATATATGTTGGAATTTGTTAAAATCCTTTTGTTTGGTTTGCATCAAGAGATTGGGGGGACATGCAATTGAAACAGAGCCCTAATTCTTTTGGCTAATAAATTGGAATAAGGGTTTCGGATGGAGATCATATTTTTTCAGTCATCAAAATTGGGTTTAGCAGGCAGGGCAGCAATTTAAATTGGTATTCTCTTTAGGGCCTAAATCCTAATGATGGCATGTAGAATGGGTCTGATCAGCAACCTCGAGCCGGAGTCTGCCGACCCGGGCCTTGTGATGTACTGATGTACAATGTGAATTTTGTGTTGAAGGAGTGTGCTCTAGTAGAATATTATCTTCCCCATTGAGTGGTTCTTTATTTTATTGTTTCTTCAAACTCGGGCACTAGTTTTGTGGTTGAAGCTGCATTGTGCATGATATCCTCAGATAAATTCTTTGTGAATATTTTATATTTCTGGCTTATTCTACATCTCTTAAGTACGTGTAAAATTTACTTATGTTTTGTGGTAGTCCATCTCCTTCAAATTATGGTTTATAACAAAAGTCCATGCATGGTCAGATATTCGAGATTCAAAAACTAACGGTGGGCAATCATCAAGACAACATCATCACCAATTCAATTTGAAATAAAAGAAGATTGTTCATAGAAGCCAAGTCAGGCCAGCTCACCAAACACAAACTCTTGTCTCTCCAATGGCAGCCTATGGCAATGCTGCTCCATACAGATCAAGGTATTCTTTACACTATGCAATGTTTCTATTTTGTTTGATTTTGTTTGATTTTGTTTGATGTTGATAAATGAATGATGGTTCTTCAGGGAGGGTCTTAGCACAAGACCAGCAGCTAGCTCTGATGAAATCCAATTGAGGATTGATCCAATGCATGCCGATTTGGATGATGAGATCACTGGTCTCCGATCCCAAGTGAGAAGATTGAGAAATGTATGCACTCCATTTATCTTTTATCTTCTTTTTTATTTTTTCTTTGTGTGTTTTATTTAGGTAACTGAATTTATGTTTGTACAAATTGGTTATAGTATTTTATTGTTTGTATGTACGTATATTGGCCCCATAATTGTTATATATTGACAGTTCTGTTACATTGTTCTCAGTGCATGCGTATTGCTTGATGGTTTAGAGACAGGTCCAAATTAAATGAATTATACTTGACCTTTTCAAAGTTGGACGCTTCACTTTAACTTTTTGTTTCTAGTAGCTATAGGATGTAATGCTTTAAGTGAGCCATATGTTTCTCATTTGAATTCTCAGTCTTAATTACTCACTTGCATTGCACCTGTTGTCGTGGTCTTGAATATATTGATGCTTGCTAAATGTGATAATGTTACTAGCTAGTAAATCCATGGTTAATTACTACATTTCTACTTGTTACATATTTCCTTTACTCTTCATTGCCATGCATTACTCTTCTGAATATGGAATCTGTCCTAATGTTTTAGTTATATATGTTATATTTGTGCTTTCTCTCAAAATTTCTCTAGAAGTTTATTTATTCTGTGTACAGTTCTATTTTGTCTTTATTGGTTTGCTTGTAAATGTTGGTTTTTGTGGATATGTGCTTGCATTGTATTTCTTTGCTTGGTTATATGGATATATAATGGAGATAGTCGCTGACGCCTGTCTGCAGACTCGGGCTTTTACTATCTTGTCCATTAGGACTATATGAGTTTTCTTGGAATTTCATCTTTTGCCTTGTAAAATTGTTTATTTCAGCAATTTGATTACAACCAAGTTATAGATAGCGTTTAATCTTGTTCTCATATTCTGGGGCAGGTAGCGCAAGATATAGAGGCGGAAGCAAAATTCCAGAATGAATTTCTCAATCAACTGGTATACCATCAACTCTAGACATTGCTACTTGCATAATTCACTTTATTTTGAACTGCCTGGGAAGGATGAAATGGATTACTTTACATTCTACATTCAACAATTTTTGTTAAAATTGATGGATTAAAGGTCTCCATCAGTTTGACTTTATTTGTGTGTGTGTGTGTGTGTGGAGATGGTACAGCTTTCTGAAACCATTATATGTGTATTGTTCATTACAGCATATGACGCTGATGAAAGGTCAAGCAGGGTTGAAGAACAATGTCAGGAGATTGAACAAGAGCATCGTCCAGAGTGGAGCAAACCACGTTGTCCATGTAGTGGTTTTTGCGCTAATTTGTTTCTTTATGGTATACCTTTGGTCCAAAATGTTTAGATGAAGATTTCAAAGGTACTTCATGCCTTCCAAACTCTTTTGTTCAAGGCTAAAACAGGATTCTGGGGGTACACAAATACTAGTTTCATTGTAAAGTCATCCTCATCCTCCTATTAGAAAACTAGTTGAACATCCTCAAGTATCTCAAAATTTTGTGCTTAAAGCTTGACTCTTGAAGAAGTGATCTATGTAAGAAAGAAACTTGATGCCATTGTGAAAAATCCCCACAAATCTTTTCAGCAGCATGAGTCTTCCAATTTTTCTGTCGGATGTGAGGTCTTTATGATCTTGATTTTTCTATACTATTATCAATTTTTACGTGGAGAATGAAATGATGCAATTCTATTCATCAAATGCTTGTTACACACACACACACACACACACACACACACACACACATATATATGCTTACGAAGTTTGTAAATGAATGACTGGTTTAGGTAGTTAGCACAGGCTAACATTTGAATGTCTCTGAGAACTTTGGATGAGGACTGTTCTTGCCCACTTTGCAAAGTAGGTTTCATTGTGGCCAAGCTGGCCGTCTTTGTAAAGGAGAAAGCATTCTAGTTGTTTTTAAGGGTCTGGGCATTCCTTCTCGGTGTGGGGGTCCCACCATGCACATATGTGCTTCATGCCGGATTGGTCTGCCATCCAATGATAAACATTCTGGCCGACCCCGTCAAGCTTCAACCATCCGTTGGGGAAAAACTCCATTATGATACTGTTTCTATCCGTGAAGAGCATGTTTGTTAGCTGTGCTCCATGTGGGGATGCAAGGATGTCTGTGTTGGTCATTACATTAGCTTAACCTGTTTTAAGATCACCAAGTAGAAATCATGCATTACTAAGGGAACAGTTTTAATGCACAGTGCTCTAAACTCTATAACGCGAAATTCTTGGCTACAACCGATCCAGTTGTATACTGTTTTAAGTCAAACCTAGTTATCAATTAATGCTAAAATTGCTTGAAATAGCTCTCATCTAGCTCATGTGAACTCACCTGCAAGCGTCTCTTTTTTCTTTGGTCAACACAACATGTCTAATACTAGGAACTTTGGCTCTTGATCAAATGGGAAGGGGAAACATGAACTAATTAAAGGAAAAGAGAGAGCAAATCTGATCACAGAAATTCAGATCTTCAGACTGAACCACCTCTAACATGCACCCATCCACGATTGCACACTGCCTTGAGAATACATTAATCCCAACCGTTGGATCCTTGAATGATCTTGAACCTCTCCTCATCAGCAATGTCAACCTTATACTTGGCTGACCTCTCACATTCACCTCCTTCCCCCTACCTGCAGGGTTTATGCCACAAAATTCTCTTGCTTTACATCTCAACAAGTCAGAGACCTGAAGCTTCCTGTGCTTCCCTATTTTTCCAACATTGTGCCTCATCACAACTGCCTTCTCAAAACAATAAGGCTCATCATCTCCTTTTTCAAATACTTCAACTGGCACCTGCCCAAAACTTGCTTGCATGACATTCTGAATCCACCATCCCATTTGGTCTCTGAGCTCTCCCCAATGGAAAAAGTACCAACCTTGATGGCTTTGAGCATCCATTTTTCATAGACCAACCCACAAAAGGAAACATTGCAGTGAGCCCATGCCACAAGTTTTTATGGTCATAGAATGTATCAGACACAAAATTGAGGCCCTTCAAGAGTGTGGTTGAGTTTTGTAGACCTTCAGGCCATGCTAAGGCATATGAGTTTTTGGTGCCATCTCTTTTGTCATTCCCTTTGAGGCACAGCAACCTTCTCTTGGATGCTTCTAAGGGGAAATAGAGATACTGGGATTCATTTTCTTCATATGTGTCACTCAAAGAGTTGATAAACCATGTGTTCCCCTCCACTGCAGTCTTAGCAAACCTTATGTCTTTGAGAGGAAGAAACGTGACCGAGTCTTGGAGTTTCGAGCTAAGATTGGCATCCATTTCTTGAAGAAATCCCATGAAGCAGAAGAGGTGGACAATGAAGTAAACCCAAAAGGAGAGGCCTGTGCATGAAATAGGATGAGAATCAGAAACAGAGAAAAAAGGGCCAATGCTGATGAGAATGGTTTTGCACTTCCGTAGTTTGTTCTGTTGAAGGTGAATGAATGGCAAGAAAGAGGCACATTTGCGACTTTTGAATGTTAAAACAAAAGATTTAGCCTCGAGAGATTGAGAAAGGACATGCAGGGCGTGTTTCTTTTTTGCCTTGCACATTAAGGATTAAAGGTGACAATGAATTGGCTTATAGAAGGCATGTCACTACCTATATTATAGAAAGCTATATATACACTTAAATGTAAGTTTTTTTTTAAGTTGGAGCTTAAAAGTAAGTTAAAAATCACTCTTCAATTAACGGTAAGTATCTTTATGGAGCATACGCTTCTACCAAAAAAAAATAAAATAATAATAATAATAATAACGGTAAGAAAAAAAAAGGACCCTAAACTAGGTCTTTTAAATTTTTTTCCCCTGACTTTAAAGAATACCTACGTCTATAACGTGATGATCAGAGCATATGTGTGTACAAAAATCAGTGCTGCGGATGAAACTCTTTCTTCGTTTGGGTGATTTTTGCTGTATAAGCAAATGCTCTGCGATGGCATTTCCCCTAATTGTCTCACTTTTTTGTTCCTTGTAAAATAATGCACGAGTAGGGTTGATGGTGGCACAGGCCGGAGCTTCCATGAACAAGTCGTTAAGTATGGGCTCGACATGATGTTTTTGTTCAAAATTCGATGATTGGTATGTACTCTGCATGCGGATTTCTGAATAGTGCACGTACATTGTTTGATGAAATGTTGGAAAGGGATGTTTCGTGAAACTCGATGATTAAGGGGTATTTGAGAAGTGGGAATCTTGATGAGGCATTGAATCTGTTCGGGAAGATGAACAAGAGAAGCATTATTACTTTGAATTCCTTGATTACTGGGTTTGTTCAAGGTGGTCGGCCAAAGGAGGCCAGATCACCAGTGGTGATATGGTTAGACCGGATAATTATAACATCACCATTGCCAGTGTCCTTGCAGCTTGTGCTCATCTTGGTGCATTTGATCATGGGATATGGGTGCATGGGTGTGTACCCATGGAGAAGTGGCCTGGAGAGTGATGTGGTCATTGTGCGGATGTGTGGACAAAGCGTATGAGGTCTTTCAGGAAATGCCCAACAAGGATACTTTGGCATGGCCGCACGGCTATACTTTTTTAAATTTCAAAAGACCCAACGTATAGCCGCGCGGCTATACTATTTGTAATAAAAAAGGCCCGCCCGGGTCCTAGCGCCAAAAAATAGTATAGCCGAGTGGCTATACTATTTTATAATAAAAAACCGTAGTATAGCCGCGCGGCTATCGGCTTTGAGTATATTATATTTAGTAAGATTATAGCCGCCTGGCTATACTATTTATTAAAAAATAATAATGACCCTTCTAGTTGCATTAATTTATACTTTATAGATATTAATTTGCTTGTTTCAACATCTCCAAAGCAGATATTGAAGAGAGAGAAATTACACGGTAAATCAATTTGAGAGTTTAATTTTTTCTTTTTCTTTTTTTGTGGGAATGTTTGCCTTTGGTCTACCTCGTTCTCTTGAGTGCTACTAAATTTTGTTACTACACACATTATTTATTGTAGAGAATTGCATGATGAGTTGGAGTGTTCTTGGTAATTGCTTCACATTTCAAACAACACTCTCAGTTCTAGTGTAGTAGTATGTGTATGTACTGCACCATTCTAAATGAGTTATATTGCTCACACACATCACCTATTAAGATATAATCTCATGGACAAAGCCATGAGAATTGTTTCAGTTTTCATATTCCTAAGCATTGCAACCATTACCATTAGCTTATGCAATGGAAATTTGGGTGTGCCTTGTAAACAAAATGAGAGACAGGCACTTCTAATGTTCAAGCAAGATCTAAGGGATCCTTCAAATAGGCTTTTATCTTGGGTTGGTGAGGGAGATTGTTGCAATTGGACTGGAGTTTTCTGCGATAATTTAACCGGTCATGTCCGTGAGCTGCACCTTGGAAATTATTATTCAGATGAGTATTTGAATTACAGTTTGAATCAAGAAAACTCTTTGGGTGGCAAGGTAAATACTTAAATTTAAAGCATCTGAGCTACTTGGATCTAAGCAACAATGATATTGGAGGAATACAGATTCCTAGCTTCTTAGGTTCTCTTAAAAGTTTAATTCCGCATAAATTGGCAAATCTCTCGAGTCTACGCTCTCTAGGACTCCAGAGTAAAAGCTACTACGTACTGGATGAAGGTTGAGAATCTCCAATGGCTTTCTGGTCTTTCGAGCTTGCAGAACCTGGACATGAGTCGTGTAGATCTTAGCAAAGCATCTGATTGGTTTCAGGTGACAAACACACTCCCCTCTATGCTGGTAGAGCTGCATATGTCCGGTTGTGAACTCAATCAAATACTAGTTGCAAACATGACAAGGCTTGAAGTTCTTAATCACAGGTGGAACATCTGGGGTACCATACCTCAACGGTTATACACTCGTAGCAATCTTGAGTCCCTATCCCTTTATTTGAATCTCTTGCGAGGTGATATTTCAAGTTCCGTTGGAAACTTGACAGCCATTGTCAATCTTGACTTGTCTGCTAATCAACTTGAAGGGAAAATCCCAAGCTCATTGGGAAATCTTTGTAAGTTGACGGTTCTTGATCTGTCAAGGAACTATTTCAATGGAAGCGTATCAGAAATATTGGGAAGTTTGTCAAGGTGTAGTTCAGGTCAAATGGAGTCACTGAAGCTATCAATAAATTATTTTTCAGGTCCACTATCCGATCAGCTAGGAAATTTCAGACATTTACGCTTCCTTGCTCTTTCGAGTAATTCAATATCAGTTCCAATTCCAGAGTCCTCTTGAAATCTGTCATTCCTAGAAGAGGCAAGCATTTCTGAAAATTATTTTAATGGAACTTGGTCGACGCAAGATGTTAACAAAAGCACGGTGCAAAGAGTATGGCCGATCGGCTATAATATTTATAAAATATATTCATATTAAAACGACGCCCGTAAAGCCGACCGGCTGTACTGTTTTCTGAAAAAAAAATCCAGCGTCTAGCCGCGCGGCTATACAAAGGGACCCGCCTCCCCCATTTCGCCACGTGTAAAAATTGTATAGCCGAGCGGCTATACCGTCTTTATTAAAAAACCACGAGGGGAGCCGCACGGCTATACTATTTATATTTTAAAAAGGGACCCACCTGTCGCCTAGCCCATTTGGCCACGTGTCAAAAATAGTATAGCCGACCGGCTATACCATTTTTATAAAAAAAACCACGAGTTGAGCCGCACGGCTATACTATTTATATTTTAAAAAAGGACCCACCTGTCGCCTAGCGCCCATTTGGCCACGTGTCAAAAATATTATAGCCGCGCGGCTATACTCTTTTTATAATGTAATGCTATAGCCGCGCGGCTATACTGTGATATGGAAAATGTTTGATGACGATCTGGCGGGCGACCGATCCTTTGCAATTTGCAAAGGTTGGTTTGCAGGAAGAACGGAACAAATTTTCCACTCTAAAATGAAATGCTGTAGTATGTATGTGTCTGCATGTATAGTATTTTGAGCTGTGGATAAGGAATTTTTGTGATTTCAGATTTGCTGGCCAAGTTTCCTCCAAATTCTATGAAGATGAAGCAGCCGTTCTGTATGCAACCTTGGGATTCTTCTCCAGAGATTGTCAAGAAACTGTTCAAGGTATGTGAATTGCAAACTGTTTGAGGCTTGATTTTGTTAAGTTATTTTGCAAATATAGGACATCCTTCGTGAAAGATGTCATACACTCCATCTGTATTGCATTTGCGTTTTCTTATTGATGAGGTCTGTTTTCTTATTCATGATTATACGACCTACAAAAGCTTGGAATTCTGGAAGAGACCGCTAAACCCTTTAACATGGACAGAAATACTGCGTCAAGTACTGGTTGCCGCTGGTTTTGGTTCAAAGCAAGGTGCAATGCGAAGGGATGCCCTTAGCAAGGTCTTCTAATTTAACTCCCATAGTTGCAATTGATTTTTCTAAGCTCCATTTCCTCTCTAGTAAATGTATTTAATTATCAACACATCTGTATTATCAACACATCTAGTAAATGTGTTCATCACCCAAAACCTTAAGCATTCAAAGCCTTATTGGCAATAGTCATTTAAGATCTGTCATTATGCCGAATAATCTGTTTCTACCTTGAGGCAGAGCCCCAGTTGGATAGATTCATTTTCCATACTAAAGGACCAAAATCTGAAATTTTAGGTTTTACATATAACATGTAGTGATTGAATGTTAAAGGAAATAGTTTCTTCAGTTTTGTTTGTCTTCATTCTGAATGCATATAACTGAATATAACTGAATGCATTCAGTTTTGTTTTGTTTGTCTTACGTATAACTGAATGCATTCCTAGCAGCCTTCATTCTGGTTCAGGGGCGAAAATTAAGAGGTTATCAACTAAACAACATGGCATGCCCAGGCCAACCTGGGTCCATGCAGGACATATGAGTGGTGCAAAGGAAGATTATACATTAAAGTTTTACCCCATAGATTCTTCAGGATCAATCTCAAAGTTCTTTGACAAGAGATTCTCTACTGAAAAGAAAAAATGGAAAAGAAAGAGAAGTGCGGTTTGACTTACACCCAATGCAATCTGTGTTTTTGGGGTCTGATCATAGATTCAATAGATACTGGCTTTTCTTGGGCCCTTGTAATGCATATGACCCAGGACATAGAAGGGTTTATTTCGAATCTTCAGAAGATGGTCACTGGGAGGTGATTGATGCAGAAGAGGTATTCTGCTGAACTTTTGTTATACGATCAATGTGATTGTAGTACATATTGCTTGACCTTGTATAAGTTATAATATTTACTTGCTTTTTCTCAGGCCCTGTGTGCTTTGTTGTCAGTTTTGGATGACAGGGGTAAACGAGAGGCTCTTCTTATTGAATCCCTGGAGAAAAGAATAGCGTTTCTGTGCCAAGCGATGTCAAGTAGAATGGTAAAGAGTGATAGAATTGACAACTTGGTGCAATCTGATCAATCTGAGCTGGATAGGTTAGAGAAGACACTTATTCACCAGTATCTGATGTAGACAACAACTTATCTGGAATTGCAAATGATTCTCTGCCTTCATCTGGAGTTGTGGTTCTTGAAGTTAGAAAGAAAGGAGAACAACAGAAACAGAAATGGAGCCAGATCCAAGCATTTGATTCATGGTTATGGAATTCCTTTTACCTAGATCTGAACGCTGTCAAACATGGTAAACGATCCTATTTTGATACACTTACTAGAAGTGACAGTTGTCATGATTTGTATTGGAGAGATGAGAAGCACTGCAGGATTTGCCATACAACATTTGAGCTTCATTGTGATCTGGAAGAAAGGTATGCCATCCATGTGGCCACATGTAAGGAGAAAGAAGCGAGTGATACTTTTCCTAAGCATAGGTCCTCTCATCACAGATCCAATCACTAAAAGCTGCGATGCATGCAATTGAGGTAACCTATCATTTGGATTTTAGCTTTGCATTTTGTGATATATGTTTGTTATAGTATTGAAGATGTCCTCCAGTTAAAAAGATTTCAAGCTACACCTATCTTTGATAGACTGGAGGAGATAGGACTTCAGTTGAGGATCAACCTAGGAATGAATTAAGTGTTCATGGTTTGGATAATTAGAATGTAACTTTGAGATTTATGTGCAATCAATTCCGATAGCTTTTATATAATTATATAAATAAATAAATAAATAAATAGAGAAAATCTCTGAAGTGCAATAAGATTTTAGATGAAGGGATGCGGGATGGCAGGAAAACAAGGCCAAAAAAGGAATTTAGCGTGTGCTACTGAGAAGGGATTGATGAAAATGGAGCAGAATGATTGATTAGTATCCACCTGCCCTATCTGATTAGCTCGGGCCTCTGGTAGCTAACCCTAAATAGTGGGATTAGTTTAGTTGGATTTTGGGGCCTGAACCTTTTGATTGTCTGATGCTTAAAACAGGTTTTCTAGGTTATATATCGAAGACATTTCTATTTGGCCCAAAGTTTTTAATGTTTTTCCGTGCTATATTGATCTCCACCTCCCTCTGCTTTGTGCAGTCAGTCATGCCAGAAGATGCTTTGTTGGGTGCTTGGAAAAAATCTGCTCATAAGCTATGGGTGAAACGACTAAGACGTACCTCATCTTTGGCTGAGCTTTTGCAGGTTTTCTATTTTCCCCTTTCACACTATCTATTTTTTGTTTATTTTCTAGTCGGAACCATCAGTTTCTTTATTGTTTACTCGTGCAGGTTCTTGGTGATTTTGTTGGTGTCATCAACGAGGAACGATTATGTGAATGCAATAGTGCAAGGTTCTTGTAATTTTAGTGAAGAACTGATTGCGTCCTTTGCATGTATGCCCCAAACCACATCTGCAGTTGCACTTTGGCTGGTGAGATTGGATGCCTTAATTGCTTCATACTTGGAAAGAGCCCATTCTCAGAAAAGGCTGGAAATTAGTGTCAGAGGTAATGATTGAATATAATGCAGATTGGTGCTTGACAATTGAGTGACTTCTTAATTGTTTTCATAGCTGTTCAAATTTTCGCCATCTTAAAAGCTTCTTTTACTTCAGGGAAGCATGCTCCAAAGCAATAGCACCGCCTTTTTTCAGTAGATTAGCCAAACTCAATCCCACATTTTTTTGACAGATTGAGGAGCATTTATATGTCCATTGTACTGCCAGAACAGTGGAACTGTTGCGGGCTTTGAAACTGCAGTACTTTGTATGAAGCTATGCTTCAAGTTCTCTCTTTAGTTGCCATATATGGCGATTGAGTCGTTGAGATGTACAGCATGAGGGAAAGTTGGACGTTTAATAGATTCAAGAGTTTCATATCACTGAAGCCTGCTCCAGAGAAATATCCTCACGTTTATCCTATGTTCACGTTCATTTAGATTCAAGAGATTCAGATTTTGTTCATGTTTGCTTGTTCTAGTTTTTTAAAGCAGGAAAAAAATGTTGTCAAATGTACATTGTTGTAAAGAAAAACAAAATACTGTTAAAAAAAAAATAGAAGATTTGAAAGTCGTCTTTGTGATAATCTTTTTTAGCTAGAACAATGTTTATTGTAGTTGAATATCTTCGACCTCACAGTTTGTTGCCAAAGATTTGTTGGTTTATTGAAATTTGTATTTCTTCATTATGGTTTTCATAGCTATTGATTGGTAAAAAAATAAACATTCCCAAGTATGCTCGAATTATATTACACAAGAAATAGCACAAGATAAATAAAACATTTAGGGTTTGGCTGTACTTTTTCTATGGCGTTTTTTAAGATAATAGTTGCAGCATAATTTCACGAAAAACTCCATGCATTCCTCGAAGCCTTCTTTTGGGTTTCGGTAGCAAGTCTCAGTGCCTTGAGCAACACACTTTATATATGCCTCAGTCTTTGTAGCCATTTTAACCTTAAACTTATCAGTTGAAGAGGAAGGAAGAAACTGAGAGGGATGATGCAGAGGAGGAAATAAATATGGAGAGGAAGAAATATCTTTATCTTGCACAAGGCTTTGATGAAAGCTACCAATCCCAACATAATTATCACCTTGAATAATCTCAAATGAGTTCTCTCCATGCTAGCTTTTACAACTTGTTTTGAGAGGTTTGTATATTTTGTTTTAAAGTTGAATAACTATATAAAATGTACTTATGAAATTTATTTTAAAGAATATATATGTTGTGTGTATAGTGACTTTTTTTCTAGTTTTTTTTTTTTTTTTTTTTTTTTTTTTTGGAACCTAATTATTAAAATAAATATAAAAATCAATGAGAAGTGAAAAATAGTACACGTCTTTGTTAGTCTTAAGTTATCTTTCGGTGTTTATTTTTTTTCTTACGGATTAAGAATCAAAGGTGATCATTAATTGGCTTATAGAAGACAGGTCACTACCTATATTATAGAGAGCTACATATACACTTAAATGTAAGTTTATTTATTTATTTATAGAGCATCTGCTTCAACAAAAGAAAAATAACGGTAAGGACCCAAAACCCGCCTAGGCACTAGGGCACATTTCGCCACGCGGTTATACCATTTATAAAATGAGGACCTGCCTGGCGTTAGGGCACGTTTCGCCACACATCACAAATAGTATAGCCGCCCGGCTATACCCTTTTTAGTAAAAAAAAAACGGCGTATAGCCGCGTGGCTATAATAATTATAAAAAGCTATAAATAATCGACATCGCGCTGAAAGCAACAGAGTCTAGCGTCGTCCAGATAACTCTCTCTTCTTCCTTGCGCTGAGTCTGAGCCTCTTTGGCTGTGTTTCCAGACATGGGGAAGAAGACGAAGAAGCCAGGAAAAGGCAAAGAGAAGGCAGCGAAAGCTGAGGAAAAGAGAGCTCGCAGAGAGACCAGAAGCTCTCTCCTGAGGATGACATCGATGCCATTTTGGTAATTTCATATATATGTGTGTGTGTGTGTGTGTGTGTGTGTGTGTGTGTGTGTGTGTGTGTGTGTGATTTTGTGCTTGTTAATTAGAGTTATGGATCATTTGAGAACAGCTGAAATAGTTTGTGGGAGTTTTAAACAGTGTTGGAAAAATCAGCCTAGGCGCTCGGCTGCCCATTTTTCGCAATTGTTGTCTGTGATTCCCATATGTATGTCATTTTATGTGCTTGTTAATTAGAGTTATGGATAATTTGATAATAGCTGAAATAGTTTGTGGGAGTTTTAAACAATGTTGGAAAAATCGGCCTAGGCGGCCGCCTAGGCAGTCGGCGTCCCATTTTTCGCAATCGTTGTCTGTGATTTCCATATGCATGTCATTTTGTGCTTGTTAATTAGAGTTATGGATAATTTGAGAACAGCTGAAATAGTTTGTGGGAGTTTTAAACAGTGTTGGAAAAATCTGCCCGCCTAGGCGGCGACTAGGAGCTCGGCGGCCCATTTTTCGCAATCGTTGCCTGTGATTCCCATATGTATGTCATTTTGTGCTTGTTAATTAGAGTTATGGATCATTTGAGAACAACTGAAGTAGTTTGTAGGAGTTTTAAACAGTGTTGGAAAAATCGGCCTAGGCGCTGGGCGGCCGATTTTTTGCAATCATTGTCTGTGATTCCCACCCAAGATTCCTCTTTTGTTATTGTTTTGAAGATTCTGCTCCCTATGTTCTATCTGATAGTTTATTTGCACCAAAGGTATGATGATTGTGGAAATTCAGAATTCCCATCTAGATTCATTGCAAGAATTTCCTAAACTGTACGTATTTTGCAGAGAGACTAGAACTTAAGGCTTTAATAATATATGTTACTGCCTCAATCTAAAACTATTATTCTACTCAAGTGTCAATGGAGACCACCTTTTACATCCCAAAAGATAAGTATCTTGCTGTAATTTCATTGATATTATTTAATCTACTATATCAATGTAAATTACAATTTTCTAATATATATTTCTGTGATGCTTTGCCGGAAAAGTAGTATCCATAAACCAAAATTTCCAACAGACCATATGGCACTATCATGGAGGGTGTCAAGTTGGGAGGGTTGTTGATAAAGGATATAGAGTTCTTGGTATTGATTCTCTGAGGGTTATTGATGGTTCAACGTTTTATCATACCCGGATGCTAATCCTCAAGCTACTGTCATGATGTTTGGAAGGCAAGTATACTTGGAAAACATATCATATATACATAATCTTCACGAAAATCTTATACTAGTTGCTGATTAAACCTGCATTTTGGTTTCGTTTGTTGTGCATGTGGTGCAGGTACATGGGGCAAAGGATTCTGCATAACAGATTAGTCCATGGATCAAAAAAGAAAAATTGATCTGGTCACTTATGTTTCCCAAACGTAAAGTCAATTAGTGATTACTGGAATATATGTCTCTGAGATATTTGATTAATATTGTAGAGATTGGAACCTAAAATTTTAAAATCTATATAGTTGATGTCATGTTTATTTACCTATCATCACATTTGGTGTTGAATTGATCAGATCTGGTATGGTTCAAGCAAAACTTTCTGTACCCAGCTTGACTAGATTAGCCTTCCTGTGATTAAATATATGCCTTACTATTAAAACTAAATTAGCTCTAAAAATAATTAGTTAGTTTTTGTTTATTTTGTTAAGGGTGTAATTAGGAAGGAAACTAGTAAGGAGGTAAGGATGACAAAACACAACTGCAAGCACTTTCAGAACTTTTGATCACATGGGCTGCTCTAACTTCATGAAGTCCTTCAGGTAGGCCTTATTTTTCTTTAGTTGTCATGATTTTTTTGTACATCGTTCGCAAAAGAAAGATTTGAAAAATGATTTCCAAATTAACAAATGAGGCATTGCGCACAATCATGGCATGGTTAGAAAGAGATACACACAGAAGCACCGAAAGTGCAACAGATTAACTAAAGTCAAACTAATTTGGAGATCCTATAATGATGGCTCACTATTAAAGTGAGACTCTTTTGTATTCAAGACAGAGATTACTAATATACAGAAGTAGGCAAAAAAGAAAAGAAGACGAATAAGATTAGGATATGCTGTTAGCCCTTCTTTCTCAGCCCCTTATAATAATATGGGGAGGCATCTCCTTTCATCTACTTTTTTCCTGCTTCAACTTCATTACACATTTGCATGGACACAGAGAGTGAAAGAATCTCATTTTCTAGGAAAGAGTGCTTTCAAGGCTCGGATAAGGAGGAGAAAAATCTAGCAGCAGAATAAGCCCTGGCCCCAACAAAATCCCTGAAAAGCAGCCCTTGATGGATGTTCACAGCATAATCCTCAGGATATGCCATTTGTTCTTACTGGTTTATTCCATCTCTTGGAGTCTTTGAGCCCTTATATAACTTGTGCAGGGCCATCATTGAAACACAAGTAGAAGCAGCTATACATACTGGAAGAAGTATACCTGTCAAATAAGCAAAGCAGTCATAGGGCTCCTCTTTCTTGGCAGGCACTGGTGACTGATGCAGCTACAAATGTACAATCACTTTCATTGACCTGCCAAAGAAGAGTTGCCCTACGATTGCTTTGGCTTAATGAAATTTGCAGCCTGTCTGATCATGCAGTAGAGCCCTGTCATGCAAAACATAGGCAAGGTATAATATTAGGCTAGGCTAGCCAGGGATAACGTAGGTTTTGTCATATTTCAAAATAATGGTATAGGTAGAACTATAATACTGAAATTATTTTTGTTGTACAAAGTTGTTCTGCTTTGTGACCAAGCAAGCAAGCAAATTGACTTTACCATGTGGCTTTGCTTACCATGTGGCTTTGCACGATGCAGGGAAATAGTATGATTTTATATGGATGGAATGGAAGGTGGAAGCCATATATACAAGCAATTACTAATTTCCCTGATCCCTTTTGTCAGTTGTGGCCGTATAGCTTTGTCTGAGAGGATGTTCTTGCTATGTGCTTAAACAGTGCATATAAAAATAAAACAATTCTGTATAAAAGACCAGTAAGTTTCTTTGCTACAGCTATTTTTGACACACCCAAGGGAAGTCTAGCCGACCATGTCCGTGAGCTGCACCTTGGAAATTATTATTCAGATGAGTATTTGAAATTACAGTTTGAATCAAGAAAACTCTTTGGGTGGCAAGGTAAATACTTCTCTACTAAATTTAAAGCATCTGAGCTACTTGGATCTAAGCAACAATGATTTTGGAGGAATACAGATTCCTAGCTTCTTAGGTTCTCTTAAAAGTTTAAGATATCTTAACCTCTCAGACTCAAAGTTCGCTGGAATAATTCCGCATCAATTGGGAAATCTCTCGAGTCTACGCTCTCTAGGACTCCGGAGTAAAAGGTACTACGTACTGGATGAAGTTTGAGAATCTCCAATGGCTTTCTAGTCTTTTTCGATCAACAATGGCTTTCTAGTCTTTCGATCGGCTATGATATTTATATAAAAACGACACCCATAATGCCGCGCGGCTATACTATTTTAAAAAAAAATCCAGGATATAGCCGTTAAGAAACCATATTATAGCCGTGCGGCTATACTTTTTTAATTAAAAATAAAAACCGAGTATAGCCGATCGGATATACTAGTTATTTAAAAAAGGACATTTCACGTAGTATAGCCGCACGGCTATACTCTTTATTTTAAAAAAAACCACGAGTCTAGCCGTGCGGCTATACTATTTATATTAAAAAAAGGACTGGCCTGTCACCTAGAGCCCATTTCGCCACGTGTTCAAAATAGTATAGCCGATCGGTTATACTATTTTTAAATTAAAAACCATAGTATAGCCGTCCGGCTATACGCATTTTAAAAAAAACCACTAGTAGAGCTGTGCGGCATACTGTTTATATTAAGAAAAGGACCGGCCTGTCGCCCAGCGTCCATTTCGCCACGTGTCAACAATAGTATAGCCGCTCGGCGATACTCCTTTTTTTATAATAAAAACCATAGTATAGCAGGCCGGCTATACTGTTTTTTTTTATTTTATAAATTTAAAAAAGCCAATCCTGATGCTAGAGATTTTTTTGTTGACATGGGTTTTGCTAACGATTAAGTCAAGTGTATGATTCATTCCAATTTGTGTATCGCGAAAACCAGTAACTCGAAACAGAAGATTGCAACAAAAATGTGATTTAGTCTATATTGCTTGTAGATATGTGAGAAAGTCTTTTGGGATGATCATCTTTAAGGTCGATTTGAGTGGTTACCTTTAGAAAGTTGTCTGACATTTTGTTGCCTTTACAGAAACAGGGATGAGTACGAAATAAGGTACAAGAAAAGACGAAACATTTCGTCAAAAGGAGAGAGGTAAGTGAAAAAAATGTTCTTGGAAATATATGGTTTAAGTTAGCAGATTTAGCAACATTCACTTTGCTTTTGGATGCAAGGTGGAATCTAACAATGAGAATCAGACTCTGCCAAGCAAAGAAAAATGTGAACTTACTTTGGAAGGAGCAGGTTCCCAAGAACACTCGGATAAGATTGCAATGCTTGTGGATGATGAAGAGCTGGAGCTGAGAGAATTGCAAGGAAGGCCAAATGCACTGGGGTGCTATGATCATTTTACTACTAATGGTTGGAGATCATGCCTGTTCACTTTGCAAAGGTTGGTTTGAAGGAAGAACGGAACAAATTTTCTTGAAAATGTTGTTATCATAATCTCTAATGTTTTAATCATTAAGTTGATACCAGCCAAGCACAGCATTCCACTTGAATTAGTGATGGACTTTGTTTTTGTTTTGCAGATTCTGAATTGAACCTTTCCAGTGGAATAGAGGAACTAGAGTCTTTAATTGGTTCAACTGTTTCAAGTGTATTACATTATTTGAAAATATTTCATCATCCGCATATCGTATGCGTATTAATTCTTCTGAAAAGGAAGTGGAGGAATCCCAATCAGATATCGAAGACTCTGGAGTAGTTGATGATGACCTCGGTGACAGTGGTACATGTAGTAGTGATGATGATTCTGGGTGCAATTCAGGAAATTCCAAAATTAAAAAACTGACTTATAACATGGTGACAGTATACACCGAAATTGATGAGAGCCATCCAGGAGAAGTATGGTTGTTAGGACTGATGGAAGGTAAATATTCAGGATTTAAGCATTGAAGAAAAGTTTAGCGCAACAGTGGCTCTAATTGATCTTCTTCATGCAGGTTCTAGTTTCAAAATGGAGATAACATATAGAATCTTTGCATGGACGTTGAAACCTTTTCTTTGTTTTTGTTTTTCCCCTTACTATGAGGTTGCCTTATTAAATGGAACGTGTTCAGTCCTTTGTAAGATAATATCATTTGAATTGTGCAAACTGCATTATACATAAAATATTTTGACAGTAAATATTGTTTAAATATTCAATGAGATTCAAATAGCCGTAATTATTGTGGCAGTTTATAAGTTTAATATTGGTTCGTATTATTGTTTTCCTTGAAATTGGATCTACCTTTTGGGTTGCACATATGTGACTTGACTGAAGTCCTGACGGGTTCATTACGGCTACCTTCTTTGGCTTCTCCAAACAAAACAAAAAAAAACAGAAACTGATAGCTTCTTGTTGTCTTTGCTATTGTCATGTATCATGTATTTCTCCACTGAGTTCTTAAATGTGCTTCAATTGTAACTATAGTTTTCAACAGCATTTAAACATGCATGGTATTTAAGTAATTGTCAGCAGATTAAACCTGTCTCTCGTTTTCTTCTTATTCCTTTATAGGATCCTATAAATGCTATTGCTGAAGGCATTCCTAGCAGCCTTCATTCTGGTTCAGGGGCGAAAATTAAGGGGTTATCAACTAAACAACATGGCATGCCCAGGCCAACCTGGGTTCATGCAGGATACGAGTGGTGCAAAAGAATATTATACATTAACCCTATAGATTCTTCAGGATCAATCTCAAAGTTCTCTGACGAGAGTCTGATCGTAGGTACAAAAGGTACTTCCCAATGTCTTATGTGAACCGTATAGCCGCGCGGCTATACTATCAAAAATATTTATAAAAGACGACCCCCGTAAAGCCGTGCGGCTATACCGTTTTAAGGAAAAATATCCCGTGTATAGCCGTGCGGCTATACTTTTAAGACTATTTTTTGAATAAAACCGTAGTATAGCCGATCGGCTATAAGATTTTTAGTCTAAATTAGTATAGCCGCCTGGCTATACTATTTTTAATAATACAAAACCTAGTATTGCCGTACGGCTACTCTCTTTGAAAGATGGATACGTAAACTATTCTTCTATTAATTAATTCTTCCTGTTTGTACCTGAAAGCATTTTTGCTTTTTCTTGTTCTAAAAAATCAATTGAAAATAGAAAAGAAAAAGAAAAATAACTGCAGACTCTTCCATACACACACATCAATAACACATGCACACGGAATTCTTTATACTACACACGACGACCAGATATATGATCAACCAGAATTTCAGAAACAATAATCTGGAGTGTGTATATATATATGGCCATAGTATTGATCATGTTTTGGTCTTTGTTATCGTTTTTATGAAAACATATTATTCATTATTAATTACTAATAGCTACCTTTATGAGAAAAGTTCTATAACCATGGAAAGAAATAGCTCTTCGTAATTAAATACTAGTAGTTGTACTCAAACTAATAAAAAGATAAAACCTATGATCCATTTTTAATTTGGGAGATTCACTATTGTACTCAATATAGGAGCCTAAATTATAATAAAAAAACCCTATTATACCCAGAGTTGGAGTTTTGATACTAATTTGATGGTTTAGTATTTATTTTCCCTTATATGTGTAACTGTTTTGCTTTACCTCCTACATAAATGTTTCATTTATTTATTTGCAGACCCGAATCGGAAGTTGTTGAAGATATTGTAGGAATGAGTTTCACTAGATTAAACCAAAAATTCTGTACAATGGATTCATATGGGTTTCTACGGATGCATGATTTGCTCCAACAAATGGGTCAGGAAGTTGTCCGCCGAGAATCTCCCGATGAGCCCGGCAGGCGTAGCAGGTTGTGGAACCGTAAAGACGTCAATTATATCTTGAGCCAAAATGCAGTAAGAGAATTTAGTACAAGAACGAGTTTAATTGCTATTGGCTAGTATATCATATAACACTTTTCTCTTATGTTATGAGCTTCACATTTATATACTCATGTTGATTAGGGAACAGAAACAATTGAAGGTATAATGGTGGACGTCGAATACCTAGGAGTTGTCCACGTGAACTCTAAATCCTTTTCAAAGAAGAACAAACTCAGATACCTCAAGCTAATGGGTGTGGACCTCCCCATCACGGCTTCCTATCACGGCTTCTTCGACTTCACTATTTTTTTTCTCTCTGCTTCCTATCACGGCTTATTCGACTTCTACTACAGCTGCTCCTCTCTCTGATTCTTCTTTCTCAAGTGTTTCCAATTTCATTTCTGTGAAGCTTGACCGGAACAATCTGAGCAAGCCAACATGAATAGTTTTTGCGGTCAAGCTTCACAGAAATGAAATTGGAAACAAAGAAGAATCAGAGAGAGGAGTAGCTGTAGTAGAAGTCGAAGAAGCCATGACAGGAAGCAGAGAGAAAAAAAAATTAATAATGAGAAGAGACAGTAAGTCTTAAGCTCTTGATACCATGAAGAATTTCTCGAAAATGCCTTCTTATTCAATTCAATGATTTCATATGGTTACAACGAGATAGTTTTTATATAGAAGGATCAGAATATTAAACCACTATGGAATGTTAGATAACGTGGAGTGGACAGTCAATTATCCTTTAGTTTTTGATGTCCCTGAACACCAGATGTATGGCTCTGAAGATCTTGATAATATTGGACGAAGAAATTGCCCATGGCGTCGGCTTCCTTTCCTCATTAACACATTTAGATTTAAGTAGAAATCCCTTTGTTAACCTCCTCTGGAGCATCGGTCAACTTTCTGGGCTTGTATCTCTTGACGTGCACGATTGCAACAGGCTTCAAACATTGCAAGGGCTTCCACTTGGTCCGCTATTTTTACGCTTATAATTGTAGTTCACTGGAAACATCTCTTTTTCCAACATCTGGAGAAGCAAGGCTGCATGAATGTGGATTTTATTCCACCTAGGTCAAGGTGTGAATTTGTGGTTCCTGGGAATGAAATTCCAGAGTGGGTGAATCATAAAAGCGTGGGGTCTCCATCAGTCAGTGCAGAGCTGGATCCGGGTTGGCTTACTGATCATAAGTGGATCGGATTTTCGCTGTGTGTTGTTTTTGCTGTCCCTGAACACCAGCTGTATGGCTCAGAAGAAGATCTTGATAATTTTTTGTGCAAACTGAGCATCAATGGAGAAGTCGGGACTCCGTCAGTGAATTATGCATTGGAATCCCTTCTTCCAGATATGTCGAACCATCTTTGGTTATGCTATCTCCCACCTCATGAATGCTATTTCTATTTTTGGTGTGAGAATATTTACTCTAATATTGAAGCTTCATTCGGATTCATTGGCTCAACGGTGGAAGTGATCGAGTGTGGGTTCCATTTAGTATACGAGGAAGATTTTGAGGTTCTCGTTAAGAAAACATAGCAAGGCAGAGCAGCAGCGTTAATTAGCAACAAATTATTAAGGAAACCAACAGCAGCAGCTGTACCAGAATTTCAGGTTGTGGCAGGCATTGCCAAGCCAGACCTCGAAAGCTTTGTATAGAGATTTCACATTTGACCTCGAATATTAAGGAAACCAACAAATTATTGTCATTATGCTGTTTAGGTCAACGGTAGGGCAGCATAGTGTGCTTTATATTAATGGATGGGAACGAAATATATGTATTATGGTTTTCTCATTGTTGTTTATATATCGCATCATTTTTACAAAAACATGTTAGACTAGAATTCTTCTAGCTTTCATCGGTCAAACATCCAGCAACCGAAGGGCCATTACAGTAACTACAGAACACAGTTAAGTTGCAAGAGGAAAAGGGGTTGGAGAGGCCTAAAAACAATAAAATCAAACCTGCCGCAACCAAAAATGAATTAAGTGCAATTTTAAGTATTAAACCTAAATTTCGATACTTAAAACGTGAAATCGAAGCGATTATCTGAGATTGGAAATCTGAAGTCTAGATTAACTAGTCTAGGACGAAAAACCTAAAGTTAAGAGTCTAGATGTTATCAAAGCTGAAAAAATTAATTGGAAGTGAGCATTTTGAAAACATGCTCACTTCCAATTAATTTTTTCAAGTCAATGTTGAACAAAGATTATACTGTTTAGGTCAACGGCAGAGAAGCATACATCATGTGCTTAAATTAAAGAATGGGAACGAAATTTATATATTTCGGTTCCCTCATTGTTACATATGGCATCACTATTACAAAGAATTAGAGTTGATTTACTCCAAACTCTATTAGTCAAACATCCAGCAACCGAAAGGCCATTACAGTAACTACAAAAAGACTGTTGAATTGCAAGATGGAAAGGGGATGGAAAGACCTAATAACAATATAACCAACCCTGCTTCAGAAAATTATACCAACACTATATTTATCTATGTTACAAGTGACACAGAAAACATATCATAATACAGTACAGCATTCTATTTACACATTCTGTACAATGGATTCTCTCAGTTCATCAGGTTACAATCATTATTAGATTAAAGTAAGGAAATATGAAGGAGAGAGAAAGAATGAGTTGCAGAGGGATGATTTCACAGACAATGCTACAATGACACCCAAATTACCGTCTTGGTCCGGTTTATGTCAACTTGTTATCTTTTGCTCACTGAAAATCACCAGGGCAGGTTATTTTCAATTCCCCAGCTTAAAAGAAGAGTGTTGAGATAATGGAGATTTCGATGGTGTCAGTTTGTCAGCAGGATCAAAATGCTTTACAGAGGTTGTTAGCTTTCATGTTAGATGAACACTGCTGCTCAATTGGACGACCTTTGGGACCACATAGCCTGCTCCTTTTCGGCTCGGAAATTCTCACGTGGGAAACTGCAGTGGCAAGTGCATCCACTAAACCACAATCATCCTGGTCTTCTTCTGAATTGCAACTATCAGATGACGAAAGGGGACCTGAAGTTTCACTGAGAGAGCCATCTACTGACTTGTTTAGACATGCTTTTAGTCTGGGTGGAATGGCAAGTTGGGGGCAAGGCGCTCCTGCTTGGTTCTTCAATCTTGATTTAATGGGAAGTGCCTTTAGTGTTCGCTCAGTATAAAACAATATCCATGGATGCCCTGTCAAAACACCAAATAAATGTCAGTTGCTTGGAGCTATAAAACTTGCAAAAGAAATCCTTAGTTCAATGATCATCAGAAGAATCAAATACTAAAATGCAGAAATTGGTTGGAAGGAGCATGCGCACACTTTGTGACAATGTCAAGAAATACAAGGAAACAAGGGCGGCAAAGCAAAGAACGTTCAGTAATCAAGGGTTAATTAACAGTTTGGGCTACGTAGTTGATCAACCAACAATTTGTGTGGCTGTGACAAAATAGGGGTGGAAAGAAAGGCATCTTTAGACATTTTAAAAACATATTAGCTGACACGTATCTGAGCAAAAGCATCTTAATAGGAGAAAATGTATGACAAGTTATTGAAGTAAACCTTTAGTCGTACTTTCCCCTTGACACAAAAAACCTCTCAAATAAGCCTAATCCCAGAGAAAGAAAATGTAAGTTTTTACAAAAAAGAGAATGGATTGCATATACCTAATAAATGGGGGTGCATATGCTTAAAATTTCTCATATTTGACAGAACCAGAAACTTACTCAGTACTTCATCTGCTGTGATCCGTACTGAAACATCCCTTGTCAGCATTCTCCCAATAAGATCCCGCGCAGGCTTCGAAATTGACTCCCATATCCCTGTATGGAAATCAAGCTTCACAGTCTTGATTGCTTCAAAAACTGCTTCTAAGGAGTCTCCTTGAAATGGAAGGACACCAACCAAGAGCGCGTGTAGGAGGACACCAGCACTCCAGATATCCACCTTCTCAGAATACTTTCCTAACAAAACGTCTGGTGCAACATAAGCCGGACTTCCAGCCAAACCAGTCAGATTTTGCCCTGCAGTAAGCATGAGAAAACCTTTCACTTAACTAATCCATATAAAAGAGAGGAATAAAAAGTATGATTAACACTTCCAGAAATATGCCAACAGCTTACAAAAATTGCAATAAAAATTACAATCTTGTCTACAACTAAATACGCATAATGTTCATTAAAAAATTTGACAATAGAGACATGTTCTCCCCACTTATCACTATCAAACTCCATATCATATCACACGGAAAAAAAACAGAAGTTACAAGCGCAATGCAGTTAGGTTTAATAATTTTAAGTACCTCAAATTTAAAGAAAAAAGAGACAGAAAATACTAAACGTTCTTGATAGCACAGAATGCGGTATCAACAGAAATCATGGAATGAAGCCAGGAATCGTAAAATCATATATCCGCACATCTCATTAATAAATTTATAAATAAAAATTGAAAGGGAATCCCAATAAAATGATGACGGATGATAGATATAATGTTCACCTGGGTGGAAGAACCAAACACTGAGAACATGTTACGATGTCAATGTTGCATTCGAGGTACATAAGCTTAAAGATTTAATATAAACTAACTTCAGAAATGCAATCTAAAACAGAGCTCTGAACACTCTATCAATTTCATAATGATGGACCCAGACACCCAGCCAAAGGATAATAATAATGCCAGAACATATTTCCTGCATAGAATTGACAGTATCTATGGTTATAATCAAAACATCCCTCAAACAGTCTAACCTCAGAAGAAGATACGAACTCATCTTAAGAGCATCAGAACTTAAAAAGTCTGACACAGTTTCTTAGTCTTCCGTGATACAGCCATACGGCTGACCCAAGCAGTTTAGGATCTTGCATATAGATGCTCAAGACTAATACGGGAAGCTCAACTATAGCCATAGAGAAATCTGAACAAATACTTCTTACATAGAGATTGTAGTTGAGTTTATCCTCAGGAAGGATAGATGTCATGGTTTAATATAGTCATTATGCCTTATGCTAAATGCAACTTAAAAGCTATCTTACTAAGAATGCTGGATTTATTTATTTTTACTCTTCCATGGAGATCATACTGCGACCTTCCTCACACCCCTACAATCTGTGCTTGTGATAGTTGTTGATGTTATGAAAAAGCCTTTAAAACACTTTCTTCAAACTCAAGATCCCCTACTCTCGGGAAAAAAACATATACTAAAAATGAAGATAATCCTTGAAAGAAGAGGTAAGGTGCTCACCATTTGATATTCTCATAGCCAGCCCAAAATCTGCAAGCTTTATCTTTCCTGCTTTTGTGAGAAGAATGTTCTCAGGCTTTATGTCTCTGTGTACGACCCCCATATCATGACAATACTTGATAACTAGCATCACTTCCTTGAATATCTTGGCAGCCCGGTGCTCTGAATACTGAACCTCCTGAACCATCTGATCAATCAGGCGCCCTCCAGAGCATAACTCCATCACAAGATGAAAACAATTTGACTCCTCATACACAGCCTGCAATGTCACAACCCCCGGATGACCAGACAAATGCTGCATTATCTCCACCTCCCTATGAACCGTCTCCTCCCCTTTTTTCAGAGTCTTACATGCATACTCAGCACCACTAATCCGGGACTGACACAACCAAACCGACCCAAACTTTCCATGGCCAAGCGTTTCACCTGAAACATAATCTTCCTCAATCTTATTCTTCCTACCCATCTGGGTAGCAACATCTATACACCCTATCTTCCTCTTGATACCTCTTCCTGGAGCAACCAAAGACGAAGTCCCACATGGCGGAGCAGTGGCAATGCCTGCAAGCCTACTTTTATGCGACACCACAGGTTCAGTGCCTCCATCATCATCATCATCATCATCTTCTTTGCACCGCTTCTTCAACCTTGTATAATCCTCTAGTGAATAATGTGATGTAAGGATCGATGATCTTGAATTGCACGCCTTTGATGTCACATCTTCCGGTAGATCTAGGCATGGGTCAGCCTCGCCACCTTTCCTCTTCTTCCTCATCAATTCAGAGTAAACACTACTTTTACCCAGAAGCACACTATCAGTACATTGAAATTGCAATTCACACTTCTGGGTTCTGTTGTTCCTATATAACAAAAATTATTTTTTTCTCAAAACAAAATTCAGTGTAATCAACTAAATACGCCTTTTCTTTTTGTTTCCCAGAAAAGAAAAACAAATCAAGAACAAAAGAGTTCCTTTAGTTTACAACGGAATTTCGAGTGAAAACAGACGAACAATTTGACTCGGAAAACTGCACAACTACATTATACCCAGTAAATTAAAGAAATGACATTCAATTAAACAAAGCAGAAAAACAATTTTCTTTTTCTTTCAAAATCTCGGAAAATAAATCAAAACCCAAACCCATCAGTAGGATTGAATCAGTGAATACGACCGAGAATGAAGCGAAAAACTTTTAAAAATTGGGAAAAGAAAGAATCTTTGAACTCACCCAATACCATTCACATTTCAGAGCTGACGAAAGAGATCAGAGCGAAACCCATAAACAGTCAGCGGCGTTGGTCAACGAGTATCAGCGAACCCTGGACTGTGAGAGAGAGATTGATCGAACCAGAAACCCTAGAAATTTCCGATTACAAGATTTGATGAGGAAACAGGGGCGAATTTTATCACGGTAAAGAAAACAATATATAAGAATTGACGCCAAAGGTTTGGGGTTTTAGTCTTTTGCGCCTTTTTACCTGTGCCGACGTGTCCGCTTTTTATACGACAGGTTTCAGAATCCGAGTCTAATTGGGAAGGGAGTGTGGGGTGGGGTGATCTGGTGCGGGCGGTACTACGGTGCGGCTGCGTGCGAGGCGATGAAATCGGGCGGTGGAATTTGGTGCGACTTTGACGACACGGGGATTTGGGGGCAGCTGCGTGTTTTGCTTTGGGAAAGACTGGCAGTGAGCTTTTGACGCATGTGATGTGATATGTCATTTCACATGGGCGCCAGACGACGCGTGGGAGCCGTGAGCCTGAATAATGTAGAATACTATTTCATGCTTTATCGATGGGGACATGTTATTTGGTACGGATTGCGAACCCTTATCTTGTCTATTTTGGTTTGGTTTGGACTCCAAATTTTACATTGAAATGTATCAATGTATGGGTGGCATTTTAGACCGAAAAATCGTAAAAATTAACCGAACAATTATCGTAATGGAACTGCAATTATGGAAAACTGAACCGCATTTGCGGTATGAAGAATCGAACCGCATTTGCAGTATTTGATTTTCAAAACTTGCGGTTATCTCAAACTGCGACTATATTTATAAATAAAGAAAAATTGCATTTTGTATATAGCATTGGTGCTCAAACAACACAACGGAGTCTTTCAAATCCACTCACCACCACCAATACTTGAGTTTGTAACTTTAATTTGTAACATTGATGCATTGCATTTTCCTTTTAGTTTGTAACTTTAATTAATTTTGAATTGGATTTTTCCTTTGGGTTGTAACTTTAATTCATTTTGCATTGCATTTTCCTTTTGGTTTGTAAGTTTAAAGGATTTGGAATTGGAATGCTTGAGAAGTTGAGGTTGTGAATGCTTGAGAAGTTTAACTTTAATTTTAATGCTTGAAATAGTAACTTTAATTTTCTTTAGGTTGTGAATGCTTGAGAAGTTGAGGAGGTTGAGAATTTATATATGCTTGAGAAGTTGAGGTTGTGAATTTATTTATTTAGGTTGTGAATTTATATTTTTTGCTTAAAGTACGCTTGAAATCAAAAGGCTTCAAAAGAAGCATCAAAATTAGGCCTAAAATGTGAAATATTGGATTTTTATAACACAAAAAGAACTTGTAGTTTTAAACCGTTAATTCACGGTAATCGACCGCTTTTTGCAGTTTACCACAATGCTGTAAACCACAAAAAACGGTTGGTTTGCGGTTTCAAAAATCATCATACCGCAAATAGTCGGTCAGTTTGCGGTTTGGGTAAAAATTCGCAATTACCTGACCATAACCACCCCTAATCAATGTTATATTACGGTTTGAATTGGTTGGGTTTATGTCTGAAATTAGTAGTATACTTGGACTAAACCAATCTACTTAGTGATTGATTTGGTTCGGGTCATTCAGTTAATATGTACTTAAGCAAATATTATATATTCCCCTACTTACATCAAAAAGAGATTTACAACGAAAGTTCAATAATAGTTGACAAAACTTTCCAGCACTAACTTAACAAGTCATGTTTTCCGTATTCATGATTGTTTTTTTTAATGGGTTGACACGAATACAATCAGTTAAAAGAACGAATGATACAATATGACTTCTTTCACCTGTTAAGAATAGTGGGTTGCTTTTTTTCCATCATGGTCTAAAAGCGGTTATGACAGCTAAATTCTAATATAAACAATAGTAAAGTAAAATTAATCATTTTAAAAATTCTATTTGTTTTGCAATGGCCTCTACTTGTCTAATAGAGGTGTTGAACGTATTGTGCCAGGGCAAAGTCCATGGATTAGGTTGGGTCGAAGTTTTTAGCTCAATAGGTATGACATGACATGAGCACGAAATAGATCCAAACTAGGCATGACATATCATTTATTTATTTTTAGAACAAGCATAATTTCATTAATATAGGGGCAAAAACAAGGGATATAAAAGAAGAAACACCCCAAAATGGAGGTTCTTGTATACAATAAATCTGGAAAAATAAATCCAGCATGACCATGAGGGACAAACATTACAAATGAAGCCCAACTCACTGAGAGAGATAGATGATTAAGAAGAGTCCTTGCAGCACAAGTGCATAAGAGAGATCATGAGAACAACATATTCTAGTTGAACATGAAACCATAAGAACCAAAAGTGAAAAGGCTTTACTGCTCAACATTCACCCATCCAAAAAGGCCACAACACCTTCAGCATTCCACATGATCTCACATCACTCAATAATGAAAGATCCATCTAGATCTAGCAACTCTATCTCTACAATATAATGATTCAGAAAAGCTAGTCCAAAAGTACTAGATAGAAACAAAATGAGAGAACACATAACCCATCATGAAAGCTGGATCTCTTAATTACATAAATTCTTAACTAGACATGAAATTTGGCATGGATTTTCCTCTATTATACAGATGTTTGTAATTAAAAAAAAGTTAACATTTAAAGTAAAAAACATCTTAATATCTAATTATAAGAAGAAATATAAATCAACTTTTATTTTTGTTTAATGAAACTCCTAGTCCACTATATTGAACTTTTTTTTTCCGTTGGGAAAGAAGATATTGAACTTAAGAATAACATTTTTTTTTTTCACAAATATTGGACACACTAGCCTCGGATTAATCCGTTTGTTTTATTCATTTTTGCTGCCCTATTTTTTTTTATTTTATTTTATTTTGGGCTTAGTTGCAGAGATGTTTCACGCAATCAAAAAGTTGGTAGCGCGGCCTTTAACAAAACCACAGTATATAAGAGGCGCCAACGGCACAATCAGCCACCGCGAGACTCCAAAACTTCAACTGTGAAAATGGCTCAGTATGCTCCAACCTTAAACCCTCCCAATACCCTCATCCCCAAGCTCCCAATCCCCAACCCCTCTTTCTCTTCCATCTCAACCTTCAGAACCCCAAAACCCAAATCCAAAAACTTCTCAACAATCTCCATGTCAGTGACGGCGGGCCAAAATCAACAGCAGCACCAGAAACCACCATCCTTAGACGTTCTGATCAACGGTGCTCGCAAGGAAGAGGTACTTGGTGCTATCAAGAATTCGTCGTCTCACTGCCTCTCCGAAACCAACCTGCATCTCACAGTTCCCGGCCTCAAATCCAAAACTAGAGGCAAGGTATAAAACCCAAAGGAAAAGAACAAATCTTTTCTTCTTTTTGCTGTATTTTGTTTATTTCAATGCCTCTAGTGAATTGCGCTGAATAAACAACTTAGGCTTTTGCTTTTCAAGCAACTAGCTTTTGGGCTTTTGACTTAATGGAAAAAGAGACTAATTCTCTGTTTTCCAGGTTAGAGATGTTTATGACAGTGGGGATTATCTAGTTATGGTCACCACGGATAGGCAAAGTGCATTTGACAGAATTCTTGCTTCCATTCCCTTCAAAGGCCAGGTCTGTTCTTAGTTCTGACCCCAAAGAAATGAATTTCTTATATGTGAATTTTCTGTATTAAATTTAGTTGAATTTTTTATGGAAAGAGAAAAAAGAACAGTCAGAAAGCATGCTAAGTAAAATACTCACTACATGGTTTATGGATAATTAGTAGCAGTATCTGAATTTCTTTGGTTCTGTGATTTCAGGTTCTCAATGAGACAAGTTTATGGTGGTTTGACAAAACTCAACACATAACTTCAAACGCAGTTGTTTCGGCTCCAGATGAAAATGTAACAATTGCAAAGAAATGTTCTGTTTTTCCCGTTGAATTTGTGGGTAAGATGTTATAATCATAGTGTTTAGCACTTTTTAATTGGCTAGTGAGCTACTTCATTGTTTTTGTGCTTGAACTTTCTTTCTATTCTGAGTGAGGGCAAATGCAAGTTTTAGTAAAAGTAAAACTTTTGTGTTAAAGATGTTACATATTCAAGGCATTGGTTGGAAAAAAGAACTGGAGGAAAATGGACTTTCCGATATACTCATTCTGTATCAATTAAATTCTTTTTAAGTGGTTAGTATCCTAGATTGCTTAATGTCCCAGCACACTTGTATTTGAGGAATAGGATTATGGATTCAAATTTCTTTAAAAAAAATACTCATCCATATGTGTCTTATTTTTGAACTTCGGTGTTGGAAACCTCCATTTTACCTTTAGAATTTCTGTTTGGCAGTTCTTTTGCTGTTACCTGCACTATTTGCTCCATTTGTATAAAATTAGCTATTTATGCATATACGTAGTGTTTTGAGAGGATAACAAAACAATATAAACATACATGTGGAAGTTTTGAGAGGAAACAACTATATAGAGGTATTAGATATTTCTTCTTCTCATAATCATGAAGGAAAAGTATAATCTCCAAACAACTTGGCTTGATTTGAATATGAGTACTTGCACCATACATACATAAATTAAGCTGTCTTTACACTGCTTTTGCTTCTAATTTTGTAGTCAGAGGTTTCTTGACGGGAAGTACTGATACGTCACTATGGACAGTCTACAATAATGGTGTTCGGAATTACTGTGGCAATGCACTCCCAGATGGTGAGCTTTTCTAATCAATGCATTGCTTTATTTTCAAACCAAAATTTTAAGTCTGATGGTTTATTGATATTATAGGCTTGGCAAAAAGCCAAAAGCTTCCTGCAAATATACTCACACCAACAACTAAGGCGGCTGATCATGACGTTCCTGTTACCCCAGATGAGGTTTGGTCTCTCTTCGATATCATTTGTTACCTAAAAGGGAAAAAGGAGGGAAGGAGAAGAAATCTGGGTAGATTAGGGATATTAAGCTGTAAACCTAATAACTGATAAGTCAATTTGTGTTGGAGATGAAACCAAGTCATTATGGGATGTTCTGCTGGATTTTCTTTTGGAATGGAATGTATTAATATAACATACATGTACCTATATATAATGTGTTACATGCGGGTCTTCATTTGTTCTCCTCTATACACTTCAGTTCAGTTAACTTGATGCAATTTTCTTGCAGATCGTTGAACGTGGACTGATGACTCAAGCCGAGTATGATGAAGTAAGTAGGAAAGCATTAAGCTTGTTCGAGTATGGACAGGTAACTTGCCTTTCTTGTTATCATCTTACTGTTATGAACCTTTTAAAATTTAACGATCTGAAAACATAATGGGATTATAGGTTTGCTGAATGAGATTGTATTATGGACTTTCTATTTTCACACAAAAAGTAGAATAGAAGAACAATGAGGAAAAGTTGGAAGAGCAAGCATGAACAAATTCTTTTGATAAGTTTCTACTGTCTTTGAATTTTTTTTTTCTTCCTTTTGTTTCAATTTTTACTGGTTCCATATCAAACATGTGGGCTCAGAAGTTTGTGTCATATGCTTTGATCTCTGACTTGAACGTTGTATTCGGTGTCCTTATGCCTGGACAATAGCAAGAATTTTGTGTGTGCGCATGCTTTTGTGTAAGTTTATTGAGCATTCATACTACTGATCAATCCAAATAAGTATATTGGCCAAGGTACTCAACGGTGTATGCTTGTGGGAATGATCATAATTGACTTTAGATACTGACCGAATCAATTTGTTATCTAAATAATAGCTGTCAGCCACACTAACCAGTTTTACCATTTCTTTCATGTTGCAGCGCGTAGCTCTGGAACATGGCTTGATTTTGGTAGACACAAAATATGAATTTGGAAAGGGCCAAGATGGTTCCATTCTTTTGATTGATGAGGTTTAACATTGTCTTTTTCAAAATTTTAGTAGTTCTTTCTCAATCACAATTCACATATTCAGATAATGTAACGAGAATTAAATTTTATTTTTTCCTCCGCTTGCCATTCTAGGTGCATACACCTGATTCAAGCAGATATTGGATTGCACGTACTTATGAGGAGCGGTTTAAGAATGGCCTTGAACCTGAAAATGTTGATAAAGTATGCAATGTATTTTATACTTCATATTCCTTTTACTTTTTTGTTCTTTTGATCTTATAGATGAATTACATTTTATCAGAAGTTGCTGACGTTTAAATCTTTTGATTCTAAGGAGTTCTTGAGGTTGTGGTTCAAAGATCATTGCAATCCTTATGAAGATGAGGTAGTCACATAAACCCCAATTATATTTCCTTTTTGTGTTTGAGCATGTGAAACATCAAATCTCACTCTGATAGTACAAAAACTTAGGTCCTCCCTGATGCTCCTGAGGAACTCGTTCGTGAGCTATCTTGGCGGTATGCCACTTCTTTATTGTGCTTTATCATAATTTATATTATATAATAATGTCTTCTACATGCTTCTTGGATGCTAAGATCCATTTCTTTCCAATGATTTTACTGTTATTGTGATTATGGCTGTGTTTGCAATTGCTTTGTTGATTTTTACACATAAAGTGATCAGCAGAAAGCATAGCTAATGAGTCTATGCATAAGTGTTAAACTACAAATTGCTAGTCAAGTTCTTTGTGATCATCATGTTTTTGCTTGTGTTGTCTTTTAGGATGATTCTATTTAAACCTAGAAATTTGCTCGGGCAGTCTCTTTCTTTTCCCTTGCTTTTCCCTCACTTTTCCCTCAGTTTCTTTGCAATTGCTTTGTTGATTTTTACACATAAAGTGATCAGCAGAAAGCTAGCTAATGATTCTATGTATAAGTACAAATTGCTAGTCAAATTCTTTGTGATCACATGTTTCTGCTTGTGTTGTCTTTTAGGATGATTCTATTTAAACCTAGAAGATTGCTCGGGCAGTCTCTTTCTTTTCCCTTGCTTTTCCCTCACTTTTCCCCCAGTTTCTTTGCAATTGCTTTGTTGATTTTTACACATATCAGCAGAAAGCATAGCTAATGATTCTATCCCTCTCCCCCCCCTCCCACCCCCTCTCCACTAGCCCCTTGTGTCTGAATAGAATCACTCTGCTTGGTGTGTTATTGTTTGACCAACTCATACTGAAGTGTGTGTAAGTTTCAAGTTTTTGCATCTACCGCTAGCAGAACTGACATTACTCTACGATGACAGATATATTTTCTTGTATGAGACAATAACAAAATCAGAATTCAAGCTGCCCTCAACAGAGGTAATAAAAAAAAGAACTTGTTATAATTGATATATTATTATTATGTATAGATTATTGTGACATAATTTTGGCTTTTCGTTCAGGAGCCAATACATGATCGGATATCTCGAAATGTTGCACGGGCGTTATCATCTCTTACGTAACTTCATAGTATGAAGCACAATTTTGTATTGGAATTGACTTTACCCAAAAATTATCAGAAATAATGGATAGTTAATCTTAGGATGAACTTTGTTGTCTTGTTTCAAGAAAATGTCTCTGGTATGGGGGTTAACCAGTGGCTTGTATCCACTAATGCGATGGATAATTGGGTATAATAATTAAGCAAAAATGTTTTAAGCTTATTATTTGTTGGCTTTTCTACTTATAAAAAAAAATTGAGTAAGCTTCCTTTTAAGAGCACTTCAACCCATGGTGCCATGACAAAGGGCAGACACTATTCATGTGAATAGTGATTGTCCTATCCTTTTTTATTTTACTTTTCCATCCATTGCCATGGCAACCCAAGGACAATTACTATTCATATAGGATTATTTTATTTATGTGTAAAAAATTTGCTAGGTATGTATTAAAAAAATATTTCTGAATTTTTTTCGATTTTTAAAAATATTTTTACGTCGATGATGCCATCACCATCAGGCAATAGCTCGGACTATTCTTGCTTTCGAGCCTGTCTAGGCTTGGTGGAGCCCACCATCTGCCCGAGTTGGATTGTTGCATTGAAAATGGTTTTTGAGGCACAGGGGGCCTTTTGCCTGATTTAGGCTGTTGGGTGAAAATGCTCTAAGTGTATCATTGCTCTCATAGTTTTTAATTGCTAACTCACCAGAGGGTATATTACAATTTCATCATAGTAGGCACAAATATAGTGGTAGGAATTGTGGGCAAAAGATGTATGGTGGGCATCCATAATAATCCAACTGATTTATAACATTTAATAAAGCCAAAAAAAAAAAAAAAAAAAAAAAAAAAATTGTGTTTTATATCTCTCCTATGAGATATTAAATATCCTTTTATTATCTTCAAACAATTTTGATAATTGGAATTAAGAATAATTTAGTAATTATTCAATTTCTATTTGAGTCTTTATCTTGCAAAAATATTTGAGTTTTAATATTATTATTATTTTTTAAACTTTAACTAAAGGATGACTCAAGTCAAAAGTGTGTGAGAATTCGTCTGGCCCAATTAATACATTGCAGGTCAAAAAAAGAAGGAAAAAGACTCGAAACATTTTGGTTATATGACTGGTTGAATACGCGTCATGAAGTCTCCATATCTGATCCTTCTAAGTCTTCATATTGCTTCCACCCCAAGCTCTTAGTCTTCTTGATAAAATTAAAAAAAGCTCTATGGTCTTTGGTTTTGACATCAGCAATGACGTTATTGGCTTGGTTAATGAGCTAAGCCAAGCAAAGATTTGAGCCTATAAATTGCCATGTTGAGTTGGGAATATGGTCCCGTGAAAATTTAACCATGTCTGCAGACTCTGTGAAGTTGCTTGGGAATTGGGCAAGTCCTTCTGCTCTCAGAGTCAAGTGGACTCTAAAACTGAAAGAAATTGAGTACCAGTACGTTGAAGAAGACCTCTCAAACAAAAGTCCCCTGCTCTTGCAGTACAACCCTGTGCACAAAAAAATACCAGTTCTTGTGCATGATGGCAAGCCGGTGGTGGAGTCGCTGATTATACTGGAATACATTGAAGAAACATGGAAGCCTAATCCAATCCTGCCAGAAGATCCCTATGAACGAGCTCAGGCGCGCTTCTGGGCAAAATTTGTTGACGAAAAGGTAATAGAACAAGCTATACTGTAATACTATTACCACTTGACTTTAGTTTCCATGAACGATCTGGGATCAACAAGAAGTAACTATGTTCTATTCATGCATTACCAGTACATTTCTCACATAACAGCAAATACTGCAAAAATTTCTGGTCGATAGATGGAGTGAACTATTGAGCAATTTTTACAATATATATATACAAAATTTGGTTAACCAATTTAGAAACTATATCCCATTTATGGTTCTTCATTTCAGTGTGCGCCATCAATTATGAGTGCATTCACCAAGAAAGGGGAGGAGAAAGAGAAGGTTGCAAAAGAAGCAAGAGAGAATCTTAAGATCCTGGAAAGTGGACTTGGGGGAAAGCAGTTTTTCGGAGGTGAAAGCATAGGCTTTGTGGACATAACTGCTGGGTGGATTGGATTGTGGGCTAGAATAGTCGAGGAGATTGCAGAGGTAAACCTGATTGATACCGAGACCATGCCACTGCTCAACGCTTGGTTTGGAAGAGTTCTTGAGTTTCCCATTCTTAAAGAATGCCTGCCACCTCAAGATATATTGCTGGAGCACAGCCGAGGCTTTCACAAGATTTTGACTGCAGCATCAAGTTGAAGTCTTTGCCACCATCTCTGACTGGTTCCTTCATATTTTATCATCATTTCATTCAAAAAAATGGTTAATATGTGAACCAATTATGTACGAGGAATAAAATGGGCTTCAGCTCATTTCATGATATCATATATAAATAACTTGGTAAAACACATGTGAAAACATTTTTGCATTTTCATAAGCATTTAAATGAAATAATTGCCGAGAACTTTTTTTATTTTTTTATAAATGAGATAATTGCCGAGAACATTAATACCTTAAGAATCATGACCAAATATTTTAATTGTTGACTGAAGGAAAAGGATCCAAGAAGCCATCTTCCCTAACAATCTACAACAAGGGCTCCATCTCTTTGTTTCTGTTCAAATAAGGAAACTAGAGAGACCATCTGATCTTTCTTTTTCTCCACCGTAACTAACAAAGAAGCAACTTCCCTGAATCAAGGGACCTCTTTATGTGGCACTTGAGCTATTATGCTTTCGATGTTCAAATGTTATACTCTCTATATTTTTATGAACCATTTCACCATTGTCTTTGATTCAGGAACAAACAGTCAGAGAAGCATAAATTGTTCCCCACGAGCCTTCACAGGAAGCGACTAGAACTTACTGTACAGCACAGATTATAAAGTCACACCTCGAAGGCTTGAACAAGGGCAGAAGTCTCATCATCCATCTCAATCATGTCCTTCTCCATCATCTTAAGGATGTCAGAGGCTGATCTCTGAGCAGAAAGGTGCAGTCTAAGCACTGATTTGTATAATGGCAAACTTGCACAACCCAAGTCATGGATAACTCTGACATACCAATTTGCGTCCTCAATATTCCCATGCCTTTCGAAATAACCAGCAAAGGCCATTATAGTATCATCCGATGGCCTCCAATGACAATCTTGCAACATACTGAACCCTCTTTTCATCGCTTCAATGGCTTTATCAATGTTTTGGCTTTTCAGCCATCCTTCCATAAGGATCTCCCATGTCTTATAATTCGGGTGACCGCCTCTCTGCAATGTGTGCAGATGCAACGACTCAGCTTTCTCTACCATTCCATTCCGCATGTATGCACCTAGAAGGACATTGGAGATTCGAACATCGTACCTTAAGCAGGTGAACTCCCACTCCGTAAAAATCCTCTCTGCTTCCACAATATCACCTAGCTTCACCAAACACAACAGTATATGCATGTAATTAGTGCATGGAATTCTCCCAGGTACCGCCTTACTAGCTTCCCATAAACGCAGGACGTCCTCTTTCATCTTTAAAGAAGTATATTGCGTAATGAGGAAAAAATAACCAAGGCGGTTACAGTCAGACAGCTTCTCTTCAGCCCTTCTTAGGGCCAAACTGGCTTCGTCAACAAGGCCTGCTTTCATATAGACATTGGCTAAAGTAGACAAAGTGCTCCATCCAACCTGAACATTCACATCATTCACCATTTCTTTGTAAACCATCTCTACTGAAGCAACCCCAGATAGCTTGGCACATGCATTCATCCAGAGGTTGTAGGACAAAACAGTTAATGGTATCTTGTTTTTCTTCATTTGAACTACAACAAGGGGCACTTTCCTAAATTGACATGTGCCCATATACAACTTCATCATCTCATTATAGGGATGAGGGCTCACAATCAGCCCCAACCCACCAAGCTTCAGCATCAGAGCCTCTGCTTTCTCTGTGTCCTTTTCCACAACATAGCCATGAAGAAGAGGAAGACAAGCAGCTTTTTTTGTAGCTGTGGCAGCTAAATTCTCAAAATACTCTTCAGCTTTCAACATACCCTTCAATTTTATGATTGATTCCAACCTCGTGGCATGATCACCCGGCGACAGTAGAAAATCGCTTTGAGCCTCCATCCATGCTAGTATCTGATATCCACAGAAAAACAATCTAAAAGTTCAAAAAACAAACACCATTCAACCATTGTGAAAATTTTATTCTTACTTTTTCTAAAGTGACAATTTTTCCAATTTTTCATCTTGAAAAGGAAGAAATTTCGATTGAAAGACTCTACAAAATATCCTAATCTTCAAGCTTTAAGCACATTTTGAGCAAACAAACGAAGAATTGAAACCTGGAGAGCGTGGTCGAAGCGATTAGATTTCAAGAGTTGAATGGAAATGCGACGGAGTTCGAGAACAGAGACCTTGTTGCCTCGGTCGACCCATTTCTGAATCACAGTGGTTGCGCTCCGACCCGGATTTTTTAGCCCAAAAATCTTGCTCTTGAGCTCGTCGTCCTTGCGCCTTTCAACTGGCGAAGACGAAGAGCAGAGCGACGACAGCTGCCTCCTCCACCTGACTGAGTTCTCGAAGTGTGGGGCGCACCGTCTCAGACCGGTGAAGAGCCCACAGCTAGTCGCCATGGAAGTCCAAACTGCAGAGCTCACCGATCCTCTTCGTTGGTTGAAGAAAGATCAGGGGCGTCAGTAAGTAAATATGTTGCCGAACGACACCGTTTTGATCCACTTAACCCCACCACGCAATGTGTTGTTTAAAGTCGCGCCGATTATTCGTTTCTCGATTCTTCTTCTGTCGAATTTCCAGAGCTTCCAATCACAACAAGTTGAGGAGCTTCATCCTTCACAGTAGCCAAACACCTCTAAAATGCGAAAATTGTGCTTACTTGGTCCGGTGAGGAAGACGAAGCGCAACGACTCATTCTGTTTTCTTCATCAATTTCGCTTTATGCTTAGAATTTATATGTACTGAAATGCAGCTTCGGAGGCGTTTGGTGTCGTCGTTGGACCGTTGATCAAGTTGATTGGCCTCGTAGGCTTTCCTCGCTGAGCGAGGCATTGTATCGAACACATGGTGAGTTCCTCGGCTCCTTGTTTTACTTCTCATGCCTGATTGCTTTGTGGTCAAGAGAATTCAGAATTTTTGTTAATGTGAATGCCTTTTAAACCTAAATTGGTTCTGTAGCACTACTTGAAAACCTCTTTCCTTTGGAATATTTCTCAAATCCTGGATATTCGATTGCTTTCGCTTCAAACAATTTGGTGTGATCAAGTGCACAAGTAGCATATGTATATCTATGACAATGTATATTCTCAAATTAACCTTGTCATTTAAGTACAAATTCACATAAACTGCCAATGACAGAAGATGCAGCCTTTCCCTCCTTCGGAAACTCCAACAGAGAAGAAGACATGAAACAACAGCTTGCGCTTTCATGGCCTAAGGATCGAGTTGAGAAACTTCTGCTGTTTCTGGGGTATCTTTCTTTCCTATTTCTACTTCTTTTTCTTTTTCATTTTTCGTCTCACTTTCTTTTTGCTTGCTGTATTTTCTCTCCCCATAGAAATATGAGACAAAACCCCACAGAGAGAGTGCAAGAGCAACCCCCTTTTCTGCTTGAAACTTCTCGTGGTAAAAAATAACAGCTAGAATCTCTGTAACTGGGAGCAGAACAGCAATTACAATACCAGAGAGCAAGGATGAGGCACAGAAGATAATTCCTATGGCTCCCAGAAAGAAACCCTGCCAAACTATTGCACTAAATACAAGCACCACATAGTATCTGCTTTCCCCAAGCTCGAAGTTTCTTGCTTCTCTTGGAATAACCTAAAAAAGTTTAAATCAATGTATAAGACCATTCATTGGAGAATATGATAACTCATATTAGTAATATCCTAGGCATCCGAAAAATTTCTCAATTACAGATGCTAGGACCCTTTTCTAGAGAGCAATTGCTCTCTAAACCACTGCACTAATAGGTCATTTGCAAAAATTTCTCGATTATAACGGGACAAATGACATGACAATTTGTTAATAATGCCCACATTCATCAGTTGGTACCTATAATATTTTAGATTTATTTAATTCAGAAGCAATTATTCCTCTAAATGATCATCATCATCGTCATCCATTACAACATGAGGAATTGCCTTAGGCGACTGAGAAATCACACTATCTCTTCAGAGTGTTATATACTCCATGGAAAATGCAAAAAGGATAACTTGTGGGTTTTTGTTGACTTAAACTTGCAACTTGCAACTTGCAAGCTAGTTAGCCAAAGCTTATCCTCGCAGTTCTAAAAGTCACTTTATAACTTTCTACCTACTTGTTCCACCCTAAATTAAGTGTGTGTGTGTGTGTGTATATATATGTAGTAATATTATCTTTTTATGGCTATAGGCTCTTTACAGTAATTAAAAATTAATAAAATTTTACATTATTACAACAATATTGAAGTATGAGAGAAACCTTGTATTGTGAAATTGAGAATTTATATTATTGTTAATCAAGTAGAGTTAGAATGTGCGGTTCAGAAACAATGAATATAATTAAGGAGATGATTATGATTATGATTAAGATTAAAGTATAATCTCCAACAACTATAAATGATTGGATGATGATGAAGGAGAGGTTAGGATTACCACTAACCTTGAAGTCATTGTTGATGAGCATCCCCACAGTGCAGAAAATAGTAGCAAACAAACACATAACCAATTGAATCTCAAGAACCAAAGCATAAGTAATGGTCTGCTTGGCCTTCTTGTATGTCAACTCCACCAACGGCAACACAAACCCGTACAAAGCCGCCGACGAAAACGTCATCATAAACCCGGCAATATACTGCTTATCCGACTCACCCTTTGGCCGATCAGCGCTAGTGTTCAGACCCAAAACTGCCGCGCCAATAGTCAATAAGAAGACGCCGTTTATCGAGTAAGAAGTGAACTTCTGCTTCACAAGAAGAAATGCAAAAAGGGCAGTGAAAACCAGATGGGCAGCTGTAATTAGGGCTGCCGTGGAGACAGGAAGGCGGGCCACGCCGTAGGCGTAGAGGTAGTCGTCGAGGCCGGTGAGGAGGCCGATGACGGCGGAGGCTATGAAGAGCGGGAGCTTCATGAAGAAGAGTTTTGTTGAAGGGCCTTCAGTGGTACGGCGGTGGTAATAAGCTAGGGCTATGGGGATGAAGATGATTGGCCAGCCGCCGGTTTCGAGCCAGCTGGAAAGCCAGACACGTTTACCTCCATGGATGAAGTAGAGGCGCATTATCAAAGGGCCTCCGCATGCGCCTATTGATAAGAGTACGCAGCTTAGTATGAGAAGGGCTCTCTTCAAGGCGGCGTTGCGTTTTTCCTCATGATTGGCTTCCATGTGCATGTTAATTTAGCAAGAATTGATGGGTTTGGTATGTTTCAGAAATGGAGTGTTAGAGGTAGGGGAGAGCAAGAAGTGGTCTGGCTTTGTGGGAGTGAAATAATGGAGCTGTTGATAGTGACACAGGAATGACAAAATTGGAAAAGACAAACTATGCATATCAAAAGTATAGGAGTCAAATGTGCCGGGTGAGATGATTGAATAGTCAATGTGTACAGCTTTGCCGTGTTGAAAATGAGAGTGATCCAAGCTAGAGGGATTCTGTATTTTATTCGTCATTGATGATAAAAATAATTAAATTCAAATTTGAAGTAATTTATTTTTATCAAAGGAAATAGAATGAAATGCAAAGACTATGAATTCAAATGATATGTAGAATTCATTAGTAATGTACATATAATACAACCCTAATAGATCGATGGATGCATGTACATAAATATTGAGATGAATCTCATTTCTAATAAAGGCCACTCAATGATTTTTTGGAACAACTTTATAATAACAACGTTTTTGTTAAAAGCACTTATGAGCAAAAGCAGTCCCACACAACTGAATAGAAATGACTTTTGCATATTCGGGAGAGAGAAGCTTTTGGAAAATATCTGAGCATAAATACTGATTTTGGTGCATCTAAGAAGCAGGTGTTTAAAGAAGTACAGAGGAAAATATATTGTCGAGAATTAATGGATGGCCAGAACATTATCTCTCTCTTGGAGGTAAGGAAGTGCTTATCAAAACGGTTGCAATGGCTATGGCCAACTATGCTATGTCGTGCTTTAAGCTCCCAACTAACATGTGCAAAGTATGTGGGTGCATGTCTATGGTTAGCAATTAACTAGTCATGCCTTCACGTGCAAAACACTACTAACCATAATAAAATTCGAGAAAAATTATGCTATATTTTCTCAACCGTTGTAATTTTAGGAACTCAGAAATGCATAGCTACCTTTCAACGTTTTATATTGTCCCTTCTTCAAGTCTAACATTCCAACCAGAGATGTGGTATTTATACATATGACTGGATGCTTTGTGCTTGATTGTGTCACGCCTGTTAATAATGGTCAATAATGCACTGACTGATTGTGCCACGCCTAGTTGTTGGCTGGTCCTCCTTTTTCATATTTTCTTGTCTTCTTTTTTAGTACTCCATATATTGGCTCGCCACGACGTTACATATGTGGAGACAAGCGTGTAGACAAAGATCAGTGGCGGCAAATGGTTGATTACTGAGTAACAAATTAAGTGTGATAAAAATGTTGAAAATCGTAAGAAGCAAACAATCAGTCATATTGGACAACAAACCTCCCCATGATCTGTAATTTATGCTTGTGTTTTGTGTTTCCTCTGTTTTTGCTTTGTTCTGCCCTGTTCTTCACAGAGAGAGAGAGAGAGAGAGAGAGATCTTTTAATGTAAACCTTGTGAGTAATATGAGTAAATATATACTGTAAATAAATTTCATGCTTGTCAATAAATTATTCTGTGGATGTTTTAATCTCTTCTTTCTTATTTGCTTCTTTACATTGTAAGGGAAAAAATATAGCGGGAAGGGAACAGCCGTTTCTGGCCGGGTATGTTTTTTTTAGCTATATTGAGGGAGAGGGGAATCGACGCTTTTTTTTTACCCCAAAATATTGGTCGTGAGCGGAGCGACGACAGCTGCCTCCTCCACCTGACTGAGTTTGTTGTGAACTGTGGGGCGCACCATCTCAGACCGGTGAAGAGCCCACAGCTAGTCGCCACGGAAGTCCAAACTGCAGAGCTCACAGGTCCTCTTCGTTAGTTGAAGAAAGATCAGGGGCGTTACCAGAATATCTGAAAGGCAGAAAGTTAATATGTTGCCGAAACGACAGCGTTTTGATCTTCTTAACCTCACCGCCACGCAACGTGCTGTTGAAGTCGCGCCCTAAAACACAAAGCCCTGTCGGCGGGTGAAATTACCGAATTGGACTGTCGCTCCGATTGTTCGTTTCTCGATTCTTCTTCTCTCGAATTTCCAGAGTTCCTTCCAGTCACAATTCTAAACGAAAATCCCAAACCCAAGTTCTGGAGCTTTATCGTTCACAGTAGCCAAACACCTCTAAAATGCGAAATTTGAGCTTGCTTGGTCTGGTGAGGAAGACGAAGCTCAAAGATTCATTCTGTTTTCTTCATCAACTTTGCTTTATTCTTAGAATTTATATGTACTGAAATGCAGCTTCGGAGGCGTTTGGTGTCGTCGTTGGCTGCAGAGTCGACCGTTGATCAAGTTGATTGGCCACAGAGGCTTTCGTCATTGAGCGAGGCATTGTATCGAACACATGGTGAGCTCCTCGGCTCCTTGTTTTACTTCTCATGCCTGATTGCTTTGTGGTTACGTGAATTCAGAATCTTTGTTAATGTCGATGCTTTTCAAACTTAGGTTCGCCCTCTTGTGGTTCTGCAGCTGGTTTCGCTACCTCATTGGGAAATCGTTATTTCCATGCCACAGGTTTTTCACTCTCTCTCTCTAACAGTGAGTGACGGACAGAACTTTTGGGTTCATGGCTTGAAGTTGATGATCTTTGCAGGGTTTTGCTGCGCACCTGAAAGAGACTACTATAAAACTCTCGGCGTTTCGACAAGCGCAAGCCGAGACGAGATTAAAAAGGCTTTTCGTGTGGTCAGTATACAAATTGTCAATTGCACGTAGTTTCTGGAATTGGTTTGTGTGTGATTTGAAGTGTGGTTTATATAGAAGTAATGGCGTTCATGGGGAAAGCAATTGTATTGCATTTAGCATGTACATTGCAGAAACAATGTTAAGATCTTGAGATGTTATTTCATTGTAGTTCCTTTTAAAATGTGTCTGCTTGTTTGAAAGGGGATTGGATGTGGAGGAAATTTTTTGACTAGAATGAATATTATACGAAGTACTAAGTTGAAATGTAAAATTTGCATAATGCTGGTGATGTTTCTTTCTTGATATCTTCCTTTTGCTTTTCATTTTTCTTTCCCCTCCTTCTTTTAATTAGGCAAGTGGGAAAATCTTTATTTGCATAATGCTGAGTCGAATGGTGTCTGAATTTAGGATTATCAAGTATGATCTGACCATAAACTTTCCCTATTATACTCTATTGAAGCCATGCCATAAATTGTTTCTCTATTATACACCATTGAAGCCATGCAAAATTCTTGATTGAGTGAATACTCTTTTCTTGTTCCACAACTTTAGCAAATCTTCTCTTTTCAATCTGTTGACGCTGAATATTTTTGCAGCTTGCCAAGAAGTACCATCCAGATGCAAATAAGGACAATCCTTCTTCTAAGAGAAAATTTCAAGAAATAAGAGATGCCTATGAGGTTTGACTTGTGGAAGGGTGGCAATTTACCCAACTTTATGAATTTTTCAGAGTTGTCCCTCGTTATGTTCTTATCAAATAATTACTAAAATTTGGAATGGTTTTTATGCTTTCCTTAATTTTTATGTGTTAACATTTACATAATTCTCTTATTATTTATTTATTGTTAATTGTAGACTTTGCAAGATCCTGAAAAGAGGGCACAATATGACAAGGTAATAACTCTGTATCTGTCTCTGTCTGTCTGTCTGTCTGTCTCTCTCTCTCTCTCTCTCTCTCTCTCACACACACACACACACATACTTTTGGTGTTTAAAAGTTAAATCTATTTGGTGTACGTCTTCATTTGTGATTGTGCTCCCTTTATGTACTTTGATTATATTTGTACTTGGAAGAAAGAAAATTGACTGGTGCGCATGCTGAGCCTTCCCATCAAAAGTTTAATAGTTTTTCTGGAATCAAAATCCTGAACGCCATGTACCATTTTTAGATCTTACTTATCTTTTCTTTTTGTCTTTCTTTTTTTCCAATGAAGAAGCGCTTAAGTGGGTCAGAAAACGTAGGGTATACTGCTGGGGATGCAGAGGGGTTCAGATATGATAATCAAACTCATGGTGCTGCTGGTGCAGAAGGGTTTAGATATGGTTTTCAAACTCATTTTTCCAGTTCATTCCATAAAATATTCTCAGAGGTATTTCAGTGCATGTTCTATCGTTGATCTTAAGGCAGTCTGTTACTGCAGCTTGTTGAAATCTCAAATTTCGTTACTCTGACAGTGATTTGATACTGCAGATCTTTGAACATGAGTTTGATCAAGTTGCAGCTGATATTGAGGTAAACTTGATTCACATAGGTTACACTTTTTGTGTGGTTTTCCTTCTGTATTTACAAGCTGAAATGATTGATGTTGTCTGTGTTTCGTAGGTGGAGCTGTCACTCTCTTTCTCTGAAGCTGCTAAAGGATGCACAAAGCATCTCTCTGTCGATGCACATGTTCCCTGTGATTCTTGCTGTGAGTCGAATAAATATTTTAAGATTCCATTGCTTTTTACTTTTTTTTCTTCTTTCTGATAGGAAATTTTGTAATTATAAAATGGATCTCAAATATTTATGTCATTGTTTCTTTTGAAAACCTTTCACCACAACATAGATGTCCATTTATTTGTTTACTATTTTATATGGGAAGGGATATTTTTTTTAAGTTCGTTTTTTATTTTATTTATAATTTGATTGCATAAGAGTGAAGACTAATATTTTGCATATGTTCTGTTGCTAAGTGAGCACTGTTGTAGAAGGAACTACTTTTTGGACTCTGATATTTCCCATTATGCGTGACTTTGATATTTGGTCCGGGCACAGAGTCCATACTGGTTCTAGAATATGTGTATATGTCTGAACGTCAGGGTTCGGCATATGGTTTCGATGTTTGGGCTTGGGAGTTCGGAGTCAGGGGTCAGGGGTATGTGGTTCGGGGGGTTTGAGGCTCGAGGTCTGGGTTTGGTCAGAGTCTGAAGTTTTTCTTCGGATTTGGGAATAACACCTATCTTGGTCGGTGGGAATTTTTTTTTCTATGGATCATTTTAATGTTCCTTCCAAAAATTCACAATCTGATCTTAAGTTCCCAAATAAAATACTTTAGCAATATGGTTGTCCCTAATATTTCATGATGCAGGTGGGCGTGGCTCTCCACTGAATGCCAAGACCAAAGTTTGTCCTACTTGCAGAGGTATTGGGAGAGTAAGTTTTAAAGATCTACACTGATGATGGTTATGGGGATATTTCTTCTGAAAGGAGTCAGTTTGTGAGGATTATTATTATTTTTTTTTCTTTTCTATCATCCTACAAGAGTGACAAATTATTGAATTGTCTGTTCTGATGTTTAATCTCCTACCAGGTTACAGTTCCTCCATTCACATCAACATGCAGTACTTGTAAAGGGGCGGGCAAAATAATCAAGGTTTAATGTGACTTCCAATGAAAAAATTCATTATGTTTAATTGTGTGATGCAAATAATATTGTTGGCGTTTATTTATCTGTTGCAGGAATCTTGCATCTCATGTGGAGGGTTAGGGGTTGTTGAAGGCACTAGAGAGGTTAAAGTTTCGATACCAGCAGGTTGGTAATAGATTGTTTGATTTGATGAAGGAAGGTCGCAACATGGGTTTTTTGACATGTGTGTTACATAACTATCATTTGGCTCTACAAATCTTGTATTGTATATTTGTTACTGGGGGCATGTTAAAAATTCCATTGGATACATGTTCAGAAAACATGAAGATCATGCAGAGAGTTTATAGTAGCTACATTTGCTTTCCTTGTTTGGTGATGTTTAATAATATTTGGCATACTCAACCTCCTGTATGAAAATGGTATAAATTATCGACAAACATACTGAGTGCTCTTAATGTGAAACTCAGTGCCCTATAGGATTAACAGAGTGTAATTTCGAGTCATTACGAGAAGCTTCTCTTTGTACATGATGTATCTTTAATGTATAGAAATTATCATATGTTACTTGTGAATTCTGAATTGAACTTTATTATTATTTTTTCATTATCCAACCTCTCTCTCTCTCTCTCTCTCTCTCTCTCTCTCTCATGGCTATAGGTGTGGATTCTGGAGATACAATCCGTATTCCGGGGGCTGGGAATAGTGGGGTACGAGGAGGTCAACCAGGCTGTTTTTACATTAAACTAAAGGTACAACTTTACTCTCTTTTCTTGCATGTTTTAAATGATAATGAGTGTTTTGGAAGACTTAATTCCTTGCATTACCCGTAAAAATGAGGATAAGCTGGAATTGTATGCTAAGTTGGGTTGAGATGTCATTTAAGCACATGCTATGATTATAATTGAACTTGATCAAATGATGACTTGCATTTCAGTGACTTATTGGGTAGAAGCTAGTGTGGTTGTGAATATGTATCCTGATATGCCTTCTCAAATTTGGTTTCTTTTTGGTGTAGGTTGCTGAAGATCCTATCTTTGCTAGAGATGGTGCAGATGTTTATGTGAACTCTAATATTAGCTTTACGCAAGTGAGAACGATTCCATGCATTGATTCATATCTCTAAATAGTTACCTTGTTTCCATATGATGTAATATTTTCTTTTGGCAACTTATGGTGCTTTCCACTTACTGCCATATCATATCATCTCTCCATTTTACTTTGTGTTTTCTTCTTTTCCAAACTTACTTTTGGCATCCCTGTTATTATTAATTTTCTTGTTCTAAAAACTCAATAGTTTCTTCTGTCAACTTCCATGTTTGCTCTAGATTATTTAATGGTCTTCCATTTCCTTAAATTCATCGGTAAAGTATCTAATGCAAGTAGTTGTTCTCTCGAGTCGGCATTGAAGGCAATTTCCTTGTCCTATTGTCCCGTCTACATATTCATTTCTCAAAACCTAAAATATTAATGTTGATGCTGAAAGTTTGAATGTTTCAGGCTATTCTTGGTGGTAAGGTTGAGGTACCAACTTTGTCTGGGAAGATAGAAGTAAAAGTAAGAGTTTTCTCTTTGCGCTAAACCTTTATTATCTAATAAGTGGACGCTTTTAGTTCTGTTGGGCAATTTAAACACTTTTATTAAATGTGGTAAACTTTATGGCATGTGTTTGGGGATGAGGGGTCTTAGTTGAATTGGATCCATGGATGTGTATAATATGGTATAAAGCTGGATATAAGGTGCAATTTGTAGCTCTGGAGTCTCCCCTGCCTGAAACTTTTAAAATTTTAATTTTTAAGGTCAGGAATCTAATGTGTTGTTTGTCAGGCTGAGCATTATTTTTGTGTTTGTTGTTTCTTCAGAAACGTATTTATTAATTTTATATGAGTATTTAAGTACTACAATAAATACTAAAGAATGAGAGGTTAACCTAATATGCTGAATGTTATTAGAAACATCTGTAGTGAGATAGAGAAATTGTCCAATGATGTTTCATCCATGTCTGGCGTAATCTTACCATAGCCCAGTTGACACTTCGATGGTGAGGCGATCGTTGTGGTGACCTTCCTATTTATTTAGAGGCAGATGAAAGAGTGTTTATTAGGCTAGTTTTGTTTTAGGCTTATTTATGTACATGCCCCCTGTGCTTTCAAACTTGTCTCAGATTACCACATGAGCTTTGAAATGTCTCAAAATACCCCCCACACTTTTAAAAACGGTCTCACGTTACCCATTCCGTCAGTATTACAGATGTTCCGTTACGTGCTTTGGGCCCCACTTTGTTTCAATCCTTAACATTGGAGAATAAGGGTTTTTCAGCTTCAGAAAAGGGGAAAGGGGGTATTTGGGTGAGAAGGGGAAATTTGAAGAAGAAGGCTAGGGGAAATTTGTGGATGGGAAGGAGGTGGTGGTGGTGGAGGGGAAGGAGGCAAAGGGGGAGGAGGGGAAGCTGGCAATGCCAAGCCATATGGAGTAGTATCAAGCTCGAATGTCTCGGACTCTGTAAATTGTCCAAGTGTTTCTCCAGTATTCCTCAATGCTCTTAAATAATCCAACTGGGCATCTGCAAATGCTCCTCTAAACCGAACCAACTGTTTCATTAGCTTCTTTCTTTCCTAGCAAACTCGCACCCTCTCTTCCTTATCAATTCTTGATGCAACACAACCCATTTTCCCAAATTTCCAACAACTTCTTCTGCCTAGTGACTGACAGATAGTAAGAACCAGAGACAATAGACCCAAATGCAGGCTCAGTTTTGAGTACTGTTAGACTAGAAAAACGAGTAAACTCATAATGCACATCCACTTTTCAGTTATCATTCAAGCCTAGAGAGTCAGATGATCATCATATTAAGAAATCCAATTTTGACAACTTCCATTCCTAGTCACGGAAGAAAACCCCAACTTTTTCCAAATCTTTCATAAATCATAAGCCCTCATAAGCTGTAGTAAAAGACAAAAAAAAAAAAAAAAAAAAAAAAAAAAAAAAAAAAAAAAAAAAAATTAAAAACAGGTACCTTTTTCTGAACTTTTCTCAAGAACTTCAAGATATAAATTCTCTCTCGTCACCGTGAATTCAAAGTTTTTACACTACATGCCCAAAGATCAAACTCACCACCTCACCTCCAAATCCTGAATCTGCTATCCTCACTCATTATGCATCCCCACTTCTAATGCTTCAAAGGCCCTGAAGAAGACAAAAATAGCAGTAACTAAAGTAACCCACTTCAAAAATCTCCATATCCCACAGAACAATTTCCCCTAGCCTTCTTCTCCAAATTTCCCCTTCTCACCCAAATACCCCCTTTTCCCTTTTCTGAAGCTGAAAAACCCTTATTCTCCAATGTTAAGGATTGAAACGAAGTGGGGCCCAAAGCACGTAACGGAACGTCTATAATAATGATGGAATGGGTAACATGAGACCATTTTTAAAAGTGTGGGGGTATTTTGAGACATTTCAAAGCTTAGGTGGTAATCTGAGACAAGTTTGAAAGCATAGGGGGCATGTACATAAATAAGCCTTTGTTTTATTAGGGTTTAATTATTGTTTCCTTATGGGATTTTTTTGCTGACTACCATTTTAGACTGGCCCATCCTTGTGATTGGATATCGGTTTTGCCTATGGAATTGTTTAGAGATGAAGTGTCCCTACTTTTTCTTTCTGCTCTTGTTCTCTTCCATCATCTTCTTGATTATACATCAGACTGACTCTTCCTTGTAATTATGGATCTCTCAGATACCAAAGGGGGTTCAGCCTGGACAACATATTGTACTAAGAGGCAAAGGTTAGTAAATCGTTAACTTTCATGGCTCAAAAGTTAGTATCTTGCTTTCTTGAAATTTTCTTAGACTGTATGTTTTGCAGGACTGCCAAAACATGGTTTTCTAGTTAACCATGGAGATCAATATGTGCGCTTCCGAGTTAGATTTCCGACGTAAGCTTTCTTTATTACTTTTGGTTGCATGTGGTTATAGGTATAATATGTCAATATTTTCTAAGAAAATTGTTTGAAGAAACCGAACTGATATTTCTGAAAATGCGTGTTGGCACTGGCCTACTTATCAAGTGAGAGCTGTGATGCTTGCTTTTTAACTCCTGTGCTCAAGGACCCACCTAAGTTGAACTGATATCAGCTACCTGGCTCTGCCTCACTTGATAAAAGCTGTAGATTAGTGCCTCCATTTTACTTCCTTCGTGAATGATTTTTTTTTTCCTTCACATTGTAATTACTTCTACAATTGTGATCCAGGAGAATCTTTTCATCTGATTTGTGTTTTTTCCTTTTGATAAAGTGAAATTAACGAACGCCAACATGCTATATTAGAAGAGTTTGCAAGGGAGGAAATTATGCATGGAAACAGCACTTCCAATAAAAGAGATTGGTAAGTCTTTTACATCCAAAAATGTCAGTTATATGATGCCTTTTCTCATCTTCTCAGAAACATAAATATCCATAATACCACTTGGGTGCTAGGTGTAATGTGATATTTTACATTCCAGTTACTAACTTATAGGGTAGATTACACCTTTCACCCCTGTAGTTTCTTAAATGTTCTGATGTTCTTGCTATTCTAATTTGAAGAATGTTAACCTCATGTTTTTAATTTGTTAAAATCTGAATCCTCCATTCATGTTCGTTAAATGTTACTGGTGGAAGGTTTCATAACATGCTTGGCATGTGACTGAGGAATGATGTTTTCATTGTTCAAAACGAAATCGATTCCAGGGAGACCCCTAATACCTCGTTGACATGGAATACCTCAAAAAATTTGACACTGGGTTCTCTGCCAAGCTCTGCTCCTCCCTTGCCAGTTACTTGCTCACATTGAACTGGGCTTAGCTAAGTAACTCAAATTTGGTTGGAGGTCATTGCTTTTTCAGGATTTTGCTTCACCTGTCTCAGCCTGGACTGGAAAATTTTCAAACCCAGGCTAGGCAGCTGCAGTATCTGCTCTGTGGCATGAGAAGTTTGGGGGACCAGATCTTCCACCTCCTCCCCTTTATGTGTTGGAAGACCTTCCTGATCTGTAAATCCAGGTTACACAGTATTCCCTGAAATTAAATAAGATACCAGAACTCTGGTAAAAAGTTCTGGCTGTGACTTGTCGACTCTGTTGAAAAGCAAGTCACAGCCAGTCACTTATACTCTATTTAAGTGGACGATAAGGTCAGCAGTCTTTAGCAAGTCTGAGTTGGTAACCTTCAATGTGGCAGTGGGGAAGATGACAAGGAAAAAAGTCGGCCTAGTTGAGGCTGATGTTCAGCATGGTGCTCTGATTATTCCTGCTGCACCCAACAAGGAAGAATGAGTTAGCATTATGTGATATTGTTTTCCACCAGTTACATTTAACGTATATGGATGGAGGGTTCATATTACACATTCTAAACTATGATGTTGAACATGGTCAAATTAGAGGATGAAACTGAAACAAATATCATCCTATTAGGGAAATTAGTAACATATTTAAGTTCCGTTTGATAATGTTCATGTCTTTAGATTTTAGTTGCCTCTTAGCTAAAGAGAGGGGTAAAGCATATGGGAGAAAAGAGGACGATGAGTATGAAAAATGTGAGGAAGAATACATAAAACCAAAATTTAAAAAGAAAAAAAAAGAAAAGAAAGTATTTTATTATAGTTTTTGGTTTTATTTTTTATTCTATAAATCATTCCATGTGCATTTTATCCCCCTTTCCTGACATCTATCATGTCGCTTCTCACTATTGTCTTATTTTTGCTTCTCTGTCTGTAATGAAAAATATATACCAAAAACCAAAAACCATATTAATAATCTGCCCCAGTTTGGAAGCTGTGTCAGCAAAGCTGACAAAGTGGAGTTCTGGGTTTCAAAAAAAAAGAAAAAAAAAAGTGTTACCAAATGAACCTTTATAACATTAGGGGAAAAGTGTACCCTAACCTATATTCTAATACATGGCCTAGTGCATAGACAGTTTGATGTTTTGCCTCCAGATTATTAGAAATTGAAGTCAAATGAGCATTCATCAATCAGCTGAATTATCGACTAAATATAAGCGAATCTATTAGTCACTTTTCTGATAGTGATGATTATCTTTAAATGGATAACAGGCTTTATCAGCAGCTATCTACTGGTTGAACTTACAGGTTTCAGCGAATACTTGAACATGTTTCGGAGCCTTGGTTTATGCTTGAACTCTCGGTATTCATATTGCTCCTTTTGTTGCTGAACAAATCCATGGGCTGAATACTGGCTCCAGGCAATTTTGATCAAGACACATAGACCAATTGTCAGTGATATAGAGATTGCTGCCTTTTCCATTCGTTGCTGTTCTGTTAATTAAAGGTACCAATCTTCTCACGACCAGTCAGTATATTGCCTCACCCTTGAAGTTAGCAGGAATTCCATGTCTGCTTATTGCTTTTTCTGCAGTCCTTTAATTTTACTTCTTGAATTGGTTGTATTCAAGTGGCATTTGTCCAATTGTTGAATCTCTTTCTTTTCAAATCTTCACACTCAATTTGTCATTTAGTTGTTAACTTTTACTGTATATATGATAGTTTTTGGCTGCTTACATGTGCTGTAATTATGAAGCTAGATAATGAGCTCATGCTATTCAAGACATTTTGGTATTGGTATTGGTAATATGCTTAGCTTAAAATGGGTTTTGCAACCAGTTTCCCCCTATGCCAATTTGGCTAGAATTTTGACTTTATAGATTGACTCTTCTCCATGATGGTTTTCATTGCTCATGAGTAACACAATATGAGATGAAATGCATCCATATGAATTGGTCACAAGTTGTTTGGACATTCGCACTCTTCCTTACACTTCCATTGGCACTGCACCTCAGTCAATCCATCCTCAAACCTAGCAGTACTTAATGTCTTCTTCTTAGTGAAAGTTCAACGTCTGGTGGATCCTTAACTTAATTTTTTCTTTCTTTCATTTTGCAGGATGAAAGTCGATACAGGTTAATTAGAGTCATTGAGGCTTTACAGGAAGGAAAATATTGCACATTGCAAAATCTTTTGGTAATTTTACAATTCAAATGATATGCCATATTTTAAATGTTTGACGTCCAAAAACATATCTTGCACTTTTTATTTGGGACTAATATATGAGCCCTTGTGGAAAATAACTTGTTGAACGAGATGGGTACACTGGGTGCACTATGGCAAGGTGCACATGTGGTGCACGTGCTCATTTGAATGCTTAATTGATTGCAGCTGTCTGGATTCTAAAATTGTGTTGGTTGATATTAGTGTTTCAGAGTCCATAAATGTAGAATTTCTTCTATGCCCCACTTGGATTTTCTAAGATACGACTCATCTTGAGTGGTTGGTTTGATTACTTCATGATGAGGGTCTCGCACTCTTCACAGAGCACTCAGTATGAATATAGACTTTTTGGGTCTCACACCTACTTTTTTAGTGCCTAGCATTTCGTGCTTGGCCCAAACAACTGTATCTTTTAGACAAAGTAGGAAGCTAGGGTTAGGCTGGCCGTTTACAAGTATTAACGACCAGATCAGTTCACAAGCATGTGCAACTGACTCTAGCACTGCTCTTTAGACAAATCTCCAGAGTGTTACTAAAAGTCGCTTTAGACAAATACTCTATTCCTTGTCGCAAGGGACATTGGTTATTTGCATTATATATATTTCATCTTTTATAATCATTCTCATTCCCTAAGCAACTATATGTGTTTTTGTACTTTATGTATTACTCTTTGGGGGATTGTACGAGGCTTTTTGCCATGCATCCATAGACAATTTTAGTTTTATTAGAACATCTAAGTATGTTGGCTGGATTTTGACTTAGAATCTACGGCCAGCTTTTTAGACAGAGTGGTTTCTTTCTTGTTTCTTTTAGCTTAGTTCGACTATGTTGTTAAACATCCTCTTCCGACCAGCTGTCGGTACATTTTCCTCTTCCTCTTCTATATTACTTGAAAACCTCTCCCCCTTGGAATACCTCTCAAATCTGAATATTCGATTTATTTTCCTAATACATTTGAAGCGACAATTTGGTGTGATCAAATGCACAAGTAGCATGTATATGACAATGCATATTCTCAATTTAACCTTTCATTTAAGTACAAATTCTCATAAACTGTCTTCTTTTTTTGGGGGGTCAAATCGGATAAACCGAACTGTCATAAACTGTCAATGAAGTAGATTAGTTTTGATAATTTTGGATTACTATTTGACCTTAATCATACTCAGAATTGAGAGGAAAAGTTAAGTTTTAACGTTTTATAAGCGCACACACACGCATACACTCTTTCTCCTCTTATCTCATTCCTTAAGTACATGAGTAATGAGTTGGTGAGGCATGGCCTGCTGTTTTGATAAAGTATTGGGATGGCTGAGATTTGTTTTCATAATCAAACACATGTACAATAATTAAAGCTTAAGAGGATGACGACATGCTCCCTTTTCTATGTACATACAATCTTTAATTACTAACTAATAATTTTCAACTCGACAAAGATATGAATATCATCGGAAAATAACAATAAAACAAACAGTACATTAATGATAAATTGCATGTTGCCGTCCAAATGACGTGTTCCCTTTTCCCTCCTTCAGAAACTCCAACAAAGAAGAAGACATGAGACAACAGCTTGCGCTTTCATGACCTAGGGATCGAGTTGAGAAACGTCTGCTGTTTCTGGGGTGTCTTTCTTTTCTTTTTCTATTTCTTTTTCTTTTTCTATTTCATTTTTCTTTTCATTTTCTCTTTGCTTGCTGTATTTTATCTCACCATAGAAATATGAGACAAAACCCCACAGAGAGAGTGCGAGAGCAACCCCTTTTTCTGCTTGAAATTTTTCGTGGTAAAAAATGACAGCTAGAATCTCTGTAATTGGGAGCAGAACCGCAATTACAATACCAGAGAGTAAGGATGAGGCACAGAAGATGACTCCTATGGCTCCCAGAAAGAAAGTTTGCCAAACTATTGCACTCAATACAAGCACCACATAGTAGGTGCCTTCCCCAAGCCCGAAATTTCTTGCTTCTCTTGGAATAACCTAAAAACAATCAATATATAAGATCATTTATTAGAAAATATCCTAGGCATTAGAAAAGTTTCTCTATTATAATGGGACAGATGACATGACAATTTGTTCAAAATAAATGGTATTCATCAGTTGGTACTTATAATTTTAGATTTATTTAATTCTGAAGCAATCTATTCTTTTTCATTATTTTTTGTGTGTCTACCATTATTTTTTGTGTCTATCATTATTATTATCATCATCCATTACAACATTCTATTTTTTACCTTTTGCGATATACTCCAAGGAAAAGGCCAAAAGGAGAATTTGTGGGCTTTTGTTTGACTTAAACCCGCAAGCTAGCTAGCCAAAGCTTATCTCCTCTCGCAGTCTATTTTAGATGATGATAAGAATCGTCTCTTGAGGCTTAGATTCGTTTCAGGGTAAGCTCTTTGGTTTGGACTTTGCTCCCTATATTACCTAAAAAACAAAAAGCTTAGGGACCGTCTGGTAACATTTTTGGAGAATGTTTTCTTAGAATATTTTCAGAGAATGAAAACAAGAAAACGAATTTGCATTTTCAGGAAATGAAAATGCGTATGGTAGATTAATTAGAAAACATCTTCAGAAAACAAAAACAATGAAAACGTGTCTGGTAGTACAATTTGAAATAATAATGTGAGTTATTTTTATGAAAACGTTTCCCATGAGAATGAAAACAACTTTTTTATGTTTTCTACAAGTACACATGAACTTGTTTTCATTTTATGAAACATTCTCGTTTTCTGTTTTTGGACCATTGAACGTATTTTTGCCTCATTCTTGTTTTCTGAAAATGAAAACAACCCCTTAAAACATACCGTTTGGTTATATTCGAGGCTAGGCTCTTTACCTTAATTAAAAATTAATAAAATTTTACATTATTACAACAATATTTAAGTATGAGAGAAACCTTGTCCTGTGAAATTTAGAATCAATCAAGTAGAGTTAGAATGTAGGATGACTAGTATTAACACTAACCTTGAAGTCATTGTCGATAAGCATCCCCACAGTGCAGAAAATAGTAGCAAACAAACACATAACCATTTGAATCTCAAGAACCAAAGCATAAGTAATGGTCTGCTTGGCCTTCTTGTATGTCAACTCCACCAACGGCAACACAAACCCGTACAAAGCCGCCGCCGCCACTGTCATCAAAAACCCGGCAATATACTGCTTATCCGACTCACCCTTTGGTCGATCGGCGCTGGTGTTCAACCCCAAAACGGCCGCGCCAATAGTCAATAAGACCACGGCGTTTGTGGAGTAAGAAGTGAACTTCTGCTTCACAAGAAGAAATGCAAAAAGGGCAGTGAAAGCCAGCTGGGCAGCGATGATTAGGGCTGACGTGGAGACCGGAAGGCGAGCCACTCCGTAGGCATAGAGGTAGTCGTCAAGGCCGGTAATTAGGCCGATGACGGCGGAAGCTATGAAGAGTGGGAGCTTCATGAAGAAGAGTTTTGTCGAAGGGCCTTCAGTGGTGCGGCGATGGTAATAAGCTAGGGCTATGGGGATAAAGATGATTGGCCAGCCTCCGGTTTCCAGCCAGCTGGAAAGCCAGACACGTTTACCTCCATGGATGAAGTAGAGGCGCATTATCAAAGGGCCTCCGCATGTGCCTATTGATAAGAGTACGCAGCTTAGTATGAGAAGGGCTCTCTTCAAGGAGGCGTTGCGTTTTTCTTCATGACTGGCTTCCATTTGCGTGGTAATTTAGCAATAATTTATGGATTTGGTATGTTTCAGGAGGTAGGGGAGAGCAAGAAGTAGTCTGGCTTTGTAGGAGTGAAATGATGGAGCTGTTGATAGCGACATAGGAGTGACAAAATTGGAAAAGACAAACTATATATGCATATTAAAAGTGGAATCGTCAAATCTGTTGGGTGAGATTATTGAATATTCCATGTGTGCACGTTTGCCGTATTGAAAAGAGGTTCTCACTTATTTGATTTGGAGACTAGTGGTTTCAGGTTTGAACTTTTATAACCTTAGTAGTATGTATATGAGAAACCCTCTCTTTCTCTTTTAGTTTAATATTCAGAAAAAGAAAAATGTGTTCTCAATTGCGTATTTTTTTTTCACCCCTATAAAAATAAATTTAAGAGTGATCCAAGTTAGAGGAATTCTGTATTTTATTGGTTAATTTGGGATCATGCAAATGTGTACCTTGCAGAAAAAAAGGGTCATTTTGATTTCATGTTTGAAAATTATTGGTAGAACTAAAAACTTACCGTCATTTGAGATGATACAAAGAATTTTATTCAAATTTGAAGTAATTTATTTGTATCAAAAGAAGTATAATGAATGCATAGAATAGAATTAATTATGATAATTTTAATAAAGGGTTTTTAAAAAAAATTACTTTTATCTGGTATGCTATACTATATTTCTATTTTGTACTCAAATGCCAAGGCTCATAAATGAAGAAATATATTGTTGTATTTAATTGGATCAATCAGGAAATTGACTAATTAAAAAAATTGATGTTGAATATATAAAACCAAAACATAAAATCTAGTAAAAATGATGCCTATAACCACAATATGCATCAACGCTTGCATAAAAATGGATGTTATATCATAAACCACATCAGTACTTTCAAATATAATTATGTAATAAGACAACAAAAGCATCAGTTGTTATGTTACAACTGACACCCTTGATGCTTTTTGGCATCGGAAGTCAATATCCATCGCGATTTGCATACAAGAAAGCCTCATAAACATCGGTATTTTAACCTAAACTGATGTCGTAAACGGAATACACATCTGAGATAGATTCTCCGTTGCCTATAACTAGTAAAAGGTAACTCGATTGGGGGCTTTAACGGATGAAAAGACAAACTAGGCATATCAAAAGTATAGGAGTCGTCAAATCTGTTGGGTAAGATTATTGAATAGTCAATGTGTGCACATCTTTGAAAATTAATTGTTCTCACTTTTAATTATAAAATTCAAGTTAGAGGGATTCTGTATGTTATTCGTTAATTTGAGATCATGCAAATGTGCACCTTGCACGAAAAAAAGGTCATTTTGCTTCCAAGTTTGAAAGTTATTAGAACTGAAAACTAACCGTCATTGATGATAAAAATAATCTATTCAAATTTGAAGTAATTTATTTTTATCAAAAGAAGTAGAATGAAATGCAAGACTGGCCAACTAACCAAAATTTAAGATTTTGGTTGATGTGTCATGCTAATGTATGAATGTGTGTTTTTTCTTTTTTGGAATGCAAGCGATAGTCTACAGGGTTATATGGGATTTCAAACATGAGACACAATATAATTTTTTCTTTTTTGGAATGCAAGCGATAGTCTACAGGGTTATATGAGATTTCAAACATGAGACACAATATAATTAGTCTGCAAATCAAAAACATTTTTTTACTGAACTAGACGTTATTAGCCATATATATATATATATATATGTACGATAATTAATACAACCTTAATAGAATGATGGATGTGTGTACATTAATATTGAGGATTAATTAGTACAGGTAGCTAGGAGAGCAAACGGCTGGACTGTGTGTGATGGAATAACAATGTAAATAACGACACAAAAGGGTGACAAAGGCAAGAGTTAAAGCAATGGATATACCTATCAAAACCACGGCAAGAGTCGATTATTGGATATTCAAAGTCTCTGCATATGCACTTTGTTATACATATTATATCGCCGGCATATTGTTGTTTGCGCATATTGACTAATGTTACCCTATTGAGAATCTCATCTCTAACACATGCCAAAATATGGTACCTATAATTTGCTGCTCCTGCAATTGATTGCTATTGCAATCTGTAGTCAAATTCTAAATACACTGCAACAATTGATTGGTAATGCAATATGTAGTCATCAGCCGAATTTTTTTAGAAAATTACCTAACTGATTGCTATCCTGATTGAGGAATGGAGGGTTTATAATACCCATCTTTAATTACTATACATTAAACTAGAAGAAGAAGCTGGAAAAAAAAAAGATTAAAAGAACAGAGGAAGAACCGAGATAGAGGAGTTGAGAGAGGGGAGCGGGGAGAGGAAGATAGAGGTAACGACGTCAGTTTTATAAAAAGTGAAACAAATTTATTGTAAGTGATATGGAATACTCATAAACGTTGGATTATTTGAATGGTTTAAATTTTATGAAATGTGGTAAATGTATCATCTCTAAATGCAGAGGATAGAGATCCAAAAAAAATATCTTTGCATACTTTTAATACACTGAAAAGCTAGCTTTACTGGCAAATCAAATCCACTCCAATCATTGGTCTACCCAGAAAGGCTCATGGCTGCTAGAATTTTGTTAATAGATTGATAATAAAGGGGGCTCCATCTCCATCTTAAATTCATCGAAGGAATTGTTATTTGCACTAGCGCTAGCCTCTTTCTTACAATCCTCACTTCATGTGTGAGTACATGAAGTGTGAGAAAGCTCGAGGGGTGCTACGATTAGTTTTATATTGGTGCATGATTAATTGCTAACTCTAAAAACTCAATTAGTCATGCATTCACATGTCAAATGCTACCTTTCAATTTATATGGTCCCTTCTTCAAGTCTAACATTCCAACCAAAAGAAGTGGTATTTTTGGATATGACTGGATATGTTTTGTGCTTGATTGTGTCACGCATGTTTCATATAAATGGTCAATCATGCACTGACTGATTGTGTCATGCCTAGTTGTTGGCTAGTCCCCCTCTTTCTTGTTTTTTCTTTATATCTGGTTGCAGATAACCAGTGGCGGATCCACCATGGGGTCAATGGGGTTAGACGACCCCATGGCAGCCCTGGAAATGGCTTGGAGGTTCTTGGTTTCTCTTGGCAACCATGGGAGACGACCCCATGGAGAAGAAGATGCAAGCTGCTAGGGAGAAGAAATAGGGAGGAAGAAGAAAGAGAGAGAGGGGGAGGAAGAAGAAGAAGACTGAGGGAGAAGAAAAGAGAGAAGGGGGAGGAAGAAGATGAAGACTGAGAGGGAGAAGAAGATGCGCCGACATAATTTTTTTTTAAAGGAAGATATTTGTTAGTGTTTTTTTTAATATTATTTTAATTTTGTTGAATAGACATATAAATACCAAATGTATAGATGAATACCATAAAGACATCACTTACCATAGTGGTCTTTGAATAGAAATGGACCTTAAGGTTAATGGTTCAACACTCACTGGGTTTTTTTTTTTTAATATTCAAGATATTTTATTATTTGGGTTATTTTTGGGTGAGTTTATTTATTATTTAGGTTGGTGTTATTATTTTGATGAAATTTATGGCTTACATAACACATATATGAGCTTGATTTATTGAATGATGTTTTTGTTAGTTGGAATAAATTTGGTGTGTTTTTAAATTATTATTTTTTTGCATTATTTCATTTTAAAAAGAAAATCGGAACTTTAACATTATGACCCCATAGGGTAACAATCCTGGATCCGCCACTGCAGATAACCAATAAATATCTTCTGGTTTTGATATATTAATGTATAAATATGATGACCCTCTACTGGTAGTGCAAAATGGGTTTTGATTTTGATTGACCACTAACAAGATGGAAGGTGACCCTGAGTAAAAAATAAAAGAAATATATATATATATGGAAGACGAAAAATTACATCAAAGTATGGATATAAATTAATCAAGATGTAAATCTATATATATAAAGCAAAAGATAAAGAATGGTGAAACATTCAAAATACCAGAAAATGTCATTGATTAATTCAAACATTAAGAATTGAAATTATTAATTAAACGAGGATAATATGGTAAATTCATATTTTTTCATATTAAAAAAATTAAAATGAAAAACAAAATCAGATAATAAGTCTTACTTTTATGGAACATAACTACCCATGTTATATTTTCTTAATTCTAAAAATAAAATAAAAAATCAATTGGCACATTGGCTAGTATTATTATGATTTTAGTTTGTGGGGTTCTTTGGTCGTGTAGTTGGACTGCTCTGTTGGAATTGTGTTTATTTTATTAAAGAGATAATATTGTTTTTTGGTTACGCCTAGATGTTATAATTTTATGACTTTTAGGTCAAGAATTGACAACTGATATAAGATATCATATCTTCCAATATAGTTTACACCAAAATTTCAACTCTCCACTTTCCACTTTCCCCACTGTCCGGACCTACTTGTGTTTTTGCCAATAAAAAACCTCAAATCCTTTTCTTGGTACAAATATAGTACAAACCAAACCATGCTCAACCAATACTAAACAGATGCTTTTCGATTTATTGCCCATAACCGAAAGATAAAAAACAAAAACAAAACTCATACCACGCGCAATAGGTTACATCCTTTTGGCTTTGTCAAAATATTATTATGAATCAAAGACCCTAACTAATTGGGATTTAGCTCATGCCACTTGAAAATAACTGTTAACAGTTGACCCTATCTGATTCTCCTCATGAACAGGAGATCATTTGTCGTTGATTATGTTTTCAGAATGCTTTTCTGTTGTCTTTATCTGCATATGATAGTAACCTGTGATCTGGGTTGGTCGATCGACGTCTAGAACCTTTGGGCTTAATTTGTTGTTTGAGAGAAACCATCAAAGGCAAAATCTGTCATCAATCAACACTTGGATTGGAGTTGGAGAGCCAGGCCTTGGAACAACTAAATAATTCCCCATCTCCAATCAGAGTATGTGTGTGTTGCTGATCGACTTTTCAAGATGGGCTTTAACTTGGATTTGGACATTAACTTTTGACACTAATGATGCTTGGAGACTTTCTTCAGCAGGGCCTTCTCTGTTTAGTTTTTCCTCCTGTTGGGCTTCGGCCCCCATTGCACCCAAAAACAGAAGTAAAGGGAACTCGAACATACTTGGGGTTGCAAGGTACATGTAAATTGTAATTGCACAAGGAGAGGACTGAATTTGAGCAAGCTACATGTAATTGTACAGTAACAATGTTAATGATAAGCCTTTCAATATTTCAACCTCAAATACACTAACTAGGTTTTAAGTGGTACTTCTCTTCATAATGTTAAAAAATATCTCAAGTTTATGATACAAAAAAAACCTCAAGTGATTAAGAGTATTTACTCATGCACCCGAGATCTTAAATTCGATTATCTCATCCCTCAATATCGCTTGTATCAATGAAGAAAAAAAAATTCAAGTCTAAATCTCCCTCCTCAATTAATTATTAAAAAACCCCGCTAAATGCAATTTAAATGTGTAACACTTTATCAAAATTAAAATCATGGTGACATTTGATAATATAAAAAAAAATCATGAAGACGAGAAATCAACCTAGACATATATTATAAAAGTTGAGTCCGTGAATTCAAGCCATAATAAATTGATGAACAGTTAGCATGGTTTCTGCAGCCATGAGTGCGATTTGTCACCGGCAGGCCATGCTCAGCCAAATAGGAATTTCTTTTCCCCCCCTAATATCTGTCGTTAATAACTTAACATAATTTTGTTTCCAAAAACGTCCCAGATAAGATAAACCATCCTCCACCCAACGCAACCGCCAATTCCAGGCACGCCTCTGAAAACAAAAAATAATTACAGCGAGACTTGTAGAAGAAGAAGAAGCTTAGCTCTTGATTTTTCTTATTTCTGATAATGAGAGTTTTTATTAGAAGATTAGTTAGCTCCTTATACTGTTAATGACACTTGTCAATAATTCATGATGACAAGTGTCCTATCTCTATATTATCAGCCTCTGGCCCGAGTTTAATTGGTCAAGAGTAATCATCATTTTGCATCTGAATCTGTGTGTTTTGATCATCCACCCTCCAATATTGTTCAGATAAAAAAATTCATCTGAAATCTTAATAAATACGGAATAATAATGAATAAAAAAAAACGCAGATCATGTGTTCGAAGTTACAAATTGACATATTAGTTGAAGATGCTGTTAACAATTTTAGTTAGATCGGGATACTAAAACCTTTATGATACAAGAAAGTAAAAAAATCCATGTGCAATTTCCTTTTTCCTTTTTTTTTCTTTCTTAAAAGAAAAGTCAAGTGCATGTATGTACGTCAAATGTGCTCATGAGAGAGAGTTGAAAAAAAAGCCATACTTAGAAAAAGAACTAGACTTTTTTTGACACGATCTTACCAAATTCTGTCTGTACATCTCGATATCTAGCTGTGCAGGCATATTATCCTTTTCTTAGTTTTATCTTTTATTTTTATTTTTTTACTGTATACATTAAGCCGCCTAAGCTATGATTGCAAGAGAATTTTCAATGAAAACTTCATTAACTTATAATATTCTTTCGCAAATCTCCAGTAAAATATAATAAATTCCACGCCAATTACGACTGTCCAAATCAAGTGATATCCCCTAAAACAATTTTTTGCCTCAGATTTACGTGCTCTTTTTAACTACTTATTTTGTCTTAACCCCAATCGATTACAGCGAAGGAATAATTTAATTTGGCAGGAAAACTGCTCTTGTCTTTATCTTAATGCATATGGTCTTATTCTATGAGGTTATTCACAATCTCATTTTTTGCTACTTATAAATTAGTGTAGATCAGTGTTTATATATGTAAGACTTTTGTTAGTAATGCTTGTATAAATAGAAAATAATAAATTTATTTGAAATTTAACTACTGATTACATACGGTTACTTAGAAGTGTTTCTTCAAGAAGCATCTTATGAGCATCTATAAGTTGTTTCTTTACAAAATCGTACAAACACTTGTACAAATTCAACAGACACTTTTTGTCTAATCCAGCTAAATAATATAAAAATGCTTTCAATTATCTGAAAGTATTTTTGACATTAACAAACAGGCCCTAAATGCGACGTATGTCAATGTAGGTGTTATGATACACATCAAATGTATAAATCATATAATAGTGCAAATTAAAGTTAATTGAGAGCAAGCAAGTGTAGCATATAATTTCAATTAATAACACATGCACTTCTTGTCTGTCACTGACTCACTGTAATGATTGTTGATAATGAACTTATTATAATCCACAATATATATAGCACTTCACATGAACAAATTTGGCCTTTGCCTTCATAGAATCATAGGACACCCCTTCTTATTAGCTGGCCAATGGCCACCACATTCCTCTCCTTTGACGATCCACACAACATGAATAAATACTATATAAAAAATCAACAAATCGACCAAACTTTATTACAAACCCTAAAGAATAATGCAATGAAATCACACTGAACGTGTACGAATATTGCAACTGAGAATGATGTGGCATTATCAATAACTTGGATGATGACCAGGAGGAGCATAAGCTGGCGGCCCAGAAGGCCCGATCTCAGCTGCACCGCCACCACCACCATATCCGTGTTGCTCTACAGGAACCGGTACTGGAGGTGGCGCAGCACCATATGCGCCTCCTCCTACTGCTGGCACTGCTTCTGGTTGATGTTCTTCTTCCTCGATACAAGGAACTGCTGCAGGAACCATCACTCTCTTCTTCTTCTTCTTGGCGAAGCAGAAGAGGCCGACTAAGAGGAAGGCAAGGAAGAAGGCACCACCCAGGGAGACGCACACCGCGATGACAGTGGTGTGGTTTTTCCCTGGTGGCGGTGCCACAATTTCAGATGAAGGTGGGACCGCGTTGAAAGGGGTAGGAGGAGTGTGGTAACCAGGAGGGAATGCAGGTGGGGTCGCACCCTTCGGTGGGTATGCGGATTTTGGTGGCGCTGCCTTTGGAGGGTAGGTGTTTTTTGGAGGTGATGCTTTGGGGGGCGATGATTTGGGAGGGTAAGGCTTTGGAGGGTGACTGGGCTTTGGTGGTGATGATTTTGGAGGGTATGGCTTTGGTGGTTGTACTGGAGGGTGGCTGCTTTGTGGCGGTGATGATTTGGGAGGGTGGACTGGAGGTTGACTTTTTGGTGGTGAGGATTTGGGAGGGTATGGCTTTGGAGGGTGGCTTGGTGGTGATGATTTTGGAGGGTGGACTGGAGGTTGGTTGCTCTTTGGTGGACAAGCTTTCGGAGGTGATTGTGGTGGTGGAATAGTTGGGCTGGGCTTTGGTGGATGTACATGTTCAGGTGGTGGAGCTGTGTGGTGGTATGGTTTTGGTGGTGGAGCAGAGCCATAGGAAGGTTTTGGTGGATAGACATGTGAGTGAGGTGGTGGAGCCTCATGTTTGGTTGGTGGTTGTGCTGGAACTGAGGGTGGTGAATAAGTTGGAGGTTTAGGATAGTCATGGTGATGTGGTGGTGGAGGACAAGGAGGTGGTGGTTTAGGATAGTCATGGTGATATGGGGGTGTAGGAGAAGGAGGTGGAGGTTTAGGATAGTCATGATGGTGCGGTGGTGGTGGTGACGCAGTTGGTGGCTTTGGATAGTCATGGTGGTGTGGGGGTGGAGGTGGTGGAGAAGGTGAGGGAAGTGGTGGCTTTGGATAGTCATGGTGGTGGTGTGGTGGTGACGGAGTTGGTGGCTTCTGATAATCATGGTGGTGGTGAGGTGGAGGAGGTAGCGGTGGTGATGGTGATGGTGGTGGCGGTGGATGGCTATCATAGTGTTTTGGTGGATGATGGTGATGGTGGTGGTGGTGGTGATGAGGTGGCGGTGGTGAGCTTACAGGGTTACATGGCGCAGGTGGCGGTGGTGGTGGAGGAGAGCATGGCAGAGGTGGTGAAGGTGGTGGAGGAGAGTAGTAGGGGTAACTCATCCTTGTTATGGGGGATTCGAACAAATGTGCCCTATGACTCTCTCTCTCTCTCTCTCTCTGTGAGCAAATGCTACACAACAGATGGATAGAATGAATGGACAGGCAGCCTATATTTGTACTAGTAAATGAAGGAACTAAGAAGCTCTTGCAAGTTTCCAAGTCTTGATTTAAATATTTTCAACTTCGGCAGTGACATAATAATTGAACTTGAGAGCTCTAAAGTAAATTCTTTGAGTTGTCATTAATTACTAAAAAAAATATTGATTAGCGACTTTTGAATGCAAAGGCTGCAAACCTACAAGTCTTGGGTCTCTTTTCTTTTGGTTTTTTTATTGGGGGGATGAGTCCACACTGGATGCTCACCACCACCAAGCATACATTATTGGGCAACCACCTTTATAATACACAATCACATGACGAAAATGAGCAAAAATTATCCACTTTTGCAAGCCATCATCGGCGGAAATTTCTTTTATTTTTGCGTTCTAGTGCCCTATTGCTGTTCTATGAAATATATAATATAAATTAAGCAACTAGAGCAACCTTTCCCACAGCAGATTGTCATGTTTTGACGCTATCGCATCATTCCTTCGCATATCTTACTTAACTCCATGTGATTTAAGGAGGTTAGTCAAGTATAAATTTGTACTGCTAACTAGGCATTTGGTTAGTAGTATTTGTTTCAATTTAGTTGGACAAGATTTTAGATTCGACTCACACAAATGACGATGACGATGTATAGTTCTGAGTGTATTCACTCGTTGCAAAAATAGTATATAAATGTTCTCATTTGTGGGAAGAAAAAAAAAAAGGTTTATATTTGTCAGAACATAATTTCATGAAAATTTTAATTTACATTTTCCAAATCCTTCCTCTATAATCTATATTGTTCACATTTTTTCAACTATATATTTCTCAACTTCATGAAAAAGAACTGTGCCCTTATAAGTCTTTGATTGTGATCAAAATGAAGTTTGCAACAAATTAATCTCATAAAAGTTTTCTTGAGCATCTGTTTGGGAGTACGTCCATATATATTCAACCAAACAAAGTTTGCTTGCTCCTTTGGTATATCTTCGGTCAACAAATAAAGTCAAGCCCAACAAAACAAAGACATAGAACCACTTAAATATATAGCAAATACCCTAAAAGACTATAAAGGTGAAGTCAATTGCTGAACTTTGACGGGAAGGCATAGAGGACATGTAGCACTTGGCTCACCACATTAACGTAAATCTTAGCCTTAAGTACCTGTTAATCACTTGGTTATGTCCCCAATAGCTAAGTGTTTTTTTACCTAAAAAAAAAAAAAAAAAAAAAAAAAAAAAAAAAAAAAAAAGTGATTATTTTTTGTATTTGACAAAGAAGAGGGTGAGAATCGAACTTTAATAAAAAGTATAGTAATTTGTGCGATTCATGAATTTCTAAATTAGTTCAAGACAATGCTCAAACGTGGCTATAAAACCTAACATTCTTCTTCTAAATTAACGTTGAGATCTCAAATTCTTAAGCAGACACGCATTTGCGATCGCAACATCACATTGGTCTATTTTTAAAAAAAATTGAAAGAGACATATACTTAAAACCACTATTGAATTTATAAAATTACAGCAAGTAGGAGGTTTTGGACATTTTTATATGTCTGGGAAAAATCATATATTATGATATTCAACAGCGACTGCTTGGACCTACTTATGGTACGTAGCTTAACATATATATCCAGTAATCCACTTGTTGAATAATTTTTCTTCTTCTGAGGTTGCTGTTCATGAATGATGGCTTCGGAAGAACTCATATTATCCCTCAACATCCACATGGCATTAATTGGGGCCAGAGTGTCACTATGAGACCAGAAAAAATAATAATAATAAAAACCTACCTACTCTGTTTTTTTTTTATTTGTTTGCTGATTAAAAAAAGCAACTCTTGCGAAAATTGGGATTGAAAAGTAGAGAGAGAAGAAAATAGAGTATATAATTACATTTTACTTTTAATTTTATATATGTCATGTTGGCAAAACCCTTTTTATATATAGACTTATAATAAGGAAAGAAAATTAAAAGTCACGAGTTACATGCGTTTGCAAGTTATCAAAGATTACATGCATTTAGTATTGAAAACAAAAGAGAAACAAAAACAAAGAAAAACCAAAGGTGGAAGGCATGGTGGGTGCCCATCTACATAACATATGCATGCATTTACAATCCTTTCCCTTAGACTCCGCTTAATAGTAAAATAAGCTTAGTCAAAATATTGTCATGAAAAAATACAGTATAGCATTTTCAGAAGAGTTTCTAAATTGTAGTTAAAATAGCTGGAAAGTCATTATAGCAAATTACTTAAAAAGTGTTTTCTCCAGCAATATTCCCTACTTTGGCTAATCCCTAATATTTTATTATTTCTCTATCCTCCTCTCTAAATTAAAAGTTCATAAAAAAAAAAAAAAAAAAAAAAAAAAAAAAAAGAAAGGTGAGAGAGAGGTTGTGAGCCTTGGGAGAGAGAAGAGAAAGAAATGGAGAACCCTCAATTTCTCTTTCCTCCTCTCTAAATGTAGAGAATTACCAAACAAAAGTAGGGAGTTCTCCAAAATAAAGAGCTAGATAGTAAGTTTGCTGAAGTTGCGTTTTGCCCTCATTCTAGCCAAAATAACTAAAGAACAAAGTATAGCAACTCTGCTGAATATGCTCTTCAATAATGTACATGTGTAAGAATTATGGTGTTGGATGTGCAAAAACTGCCTCTTTAAAATCTTACAAGAAAAAAAAAGATAATGAGACAAAAACATTAGCTAGCGAAGGGATAAACCAAACCAAATCAAACCCTTAAACATTGAACGCAAATATCAACCACAATAAAACCATACATCAGTTCCCAAACAAAAGTGACATCGGGTGGTTTGCCCCTTACATAGTGAATCCTAAATAATACTAAAATACCAACCAAGTACAAAATTAATTTCGAACCAAACCGCCCAAATTAATTTAATTTAGCCAGTTTTAACGACTTGAACGATTTTTGGCTCTACTACACAGAGAAAATGGAAGATAAACATAATACTTTTTCTTGCCCGCCACTACCATGTATATATCCTTAATATAATTAGTATATAACAACCAACCATCATCGTTGACCAAAAAAAAACAACCAATCATCACCGACTATAGAAAGACATATAATTCTGAAAAACAAAATAATAAATTGCTCTGAACTGAAGAGACAAACAAAACTTTGATAACGAAGGTGGGAAAAGAAATGTGAAGGATATATATGCAACTGATGTGTCCCCTGGATGGGATAAGCCAAATAATGATCTGACCAAAGAAAATAAAAAACAGGCCAACTAATGATATGACATCCTATAGCTTATTTATTTATTCTGCCAACATGCACTAAATTTCCATAACGTACACATTTTAATAACTACATTCACATTAACATATGATGTAATTACTAATAAGGGTGAACGTCAGTTCGAAATCAATATAATTTAGTTAATTCACATTCGATTCAATATAGATTGGATTGTATTTTTTCAATTCGATCCATTCATATTAAATGTTTAAATCCAATTCCATCGGATCCAATTGATATTAGATTGGATTAGATTGGATGATAAGTTTTGATAATAGAAAAAGACATTAATGAAATATTACATATTTATTTTTTTAAATATAATCAAACATATTAATAGAATGCAAAATATAAATAAAATATTAGAGAATTTTTTTTTTGATTATATCTATATATATACTAGCCCATTGGCACATGCTCACGCATGTGCCAATTGGGTTTTTTTTAAAAAAAAAAAAAAAGAAATAAAATGAGTAGTTATGTTCTATAAAAGTAGGAGCTATTATCTGATTTTGTTTTTAATTTTAATTTTTTTTTAATATGAAACATGTGAATTAACATAAAATGGTGAAACATTCACAAAAAAAAAAGAAGGACAATATCAAAAAATTAGGACCTATTATCTATATTATATAAAGTAAAAGGCAGAGAATGGTGAAACATTCAAAATACCAGAAAATGACCTTAGTTAATGCAAATATTAAGAATTGAAATTATTAATTAAATGAGGACAATATGGTAAATTCACATGTTTTCATATTAAAAACAATTAAAATTAAAAGAAACATAAGATAATGGATCCAATTTTTATGGAACATAACTACTCATTATCTTTTTTTAACTCTAAAATAAATTTTAATTTTTTTAATAAAAGCCTCTCACAGGCGCGGAAGTGCTTGAGAGGCTAGTAATATATTAAACATAACTCCATTAAATGACTTAAAATATTCATAACATTTCCAACAACAAATACCTACAAGAGCAAAATAAGTATAAAACTAACTTGATTGGATTGGATTCTCATAAGCAAATCCGTCATCCGATCCAATCATGTCGGTTTTGAAAATTACAGATCCTATCTAATCCGTCAAATTTTTGAAACAGATTAAAATTAAATTAGATTAAATTGGACTGATCTGTTTGAACGGATTAGATTGAATCTTGTACACCCCTAAATACCAATCAAATTATCAATGGCAGATTTGGCAGCTAATGGAACATATAATTTAGTTAAATAATAAAGAGATTAGTTTGACCACTAAAATCATTCCGCTCGTTGCTCTTCTGCATTTGCGTAGCGCAAAGCATTCACAAAGCATCGATCGAAGGATGATTAATAATGTTTTAATCGTTTCTACTGATGGCCATGTCAGTTGTAATTAAAAAAGTATTGTTTTAATTTATTGCTTGATTATGATTAACGATTTAATCGACCATGGTTGACCAGCATATGCTCTGGGCCGTGGTAAGTAACTAGGTGAATAGAACTACCTTCTCAAATATCAACATCTTCAAATATTTTGGGTTTGGCATAGGTTTTTGTAATTGTTTGTGCGGCTTTTCTCCGCTCTAATTTTACATTTTTGGACTATTCACTGTATTATTGCAATTTATCTAATGAAATTGTCTATTTCTCCATGAATTCAAATAGGGACGGAACCGTTGCCCACCCAACTTTTTCTTTAAGCTGTCTCTGGCTTCTGGGATCATGCTCTTGTATGTGCTCTCTCTCTCTCTCTCTCTCTCTCTCTCTATGCAGGTGTATTCATATATTTAATAACTGGTTGAATTTAAATATATGCATGCTATGTTTCAGGTTGGAGAATTTCTATTATAGAGTTTTGGTGATAGTTTCTGGATATTTCAACAATACTGAGATTGCAGTTGATGCCCTTTCCATCTGGTTAGTGTTTCGAATTTTCTATAACGTGCTTCAATTTTTTTTTAAATTGTTTAAATCAATATACAATACTAATTGCGTATTACTTTTCTGTAAATTCCATTATTCTCTTTTTGCAGCATAACTATCTATGCTTGGGAATCCATGATTCCGCTGGGATTTTTGGCGGCAACTGGGTATGTTACTGGTTGTAAGTCTCTTTGGACTTAGGAATTAGTTAAAAGCTATGGAAGTGGATGAGATGGATCTGTCTGTACTTTTCTGTGGTCTACATTTGGCCTCATAATATTTTGAATGTTCCAGATAGGATTTACGGCCTTTCACTTTACACTTTTGGAACAAGAGTATCAAGCAAATAATGTTATACATGAAGTTTTTCTTAGCAACTTTGACACTACACTGGTACTTTCCTGATTGATAATGTCATTATGATCTACTACAAGAACCTTTATGATTATCAGAACAGTTATATTAGCATATAAACCTGCATATATACATGTTTCTTTTACATTTTATTGCACCCATGCAAGAAATCTAAATTACTTTTCCCATATTGTTCCAGAGTGCGCGTAGCAAATGAACTTGGTGCAGGCAATACAAAAGCTGCGAAATTTGCAACCACTGTTGCAGTCTTAACCTCCCTAGCTGTGGGAGTTCTATTTTGGTTAATAATTATAGCCTTTAATGAGAAGCTTGCAATGATCTTTACCTCAAGTAGTCCTGTTATCACAATGGTCAATGAATTATCAGTCTTGTTGGCATTTACCATTCTCCTTAATTGCATTCAACCAGCGCTCTCAGGTGAGAAACTAGAAAGAAGCAGTATATATAGATTTCTGTGGTTTGAAATTCATGTCTAGTCTCTGACCGAAGCATTTGTGGTCATATGTTGCTTTACAGGCGTAGCAGTCGGATCTGGTTGGCAAGCAATAGTAGCTACTATAAATATTGGTAGCTACTACCTTGTAGGAGTTCCTGCTGGTGTTGTTTTGGGGTGGTTGCTGTTGTTTGGTTTTAAGGTATATACCTATCCTGTACATACCACCGCATTTGGACATATGTGTTGATTTGAGTATCTGAAGAGTCACACATGCTTCAGATTTTCAATTATCATGGTTTTAATTAAACTGTAGAAAGTTAGAAATGTACATGGTGGCTCATTATTGTTGAATAAACTGCAATTATGGAATGTTTTAACTGCATAGTTAAGTTTAAGTGAGAAATTTCTCACTTATTGCTCCAAATGTTATGCAAATTTGAGAATCTAATCTGATTTCTTGATCTTGCATGTGGTTTAAACGAATAAGTAGGGATTGTGGACTGGAATGATCAGTGGAACTGTGGTTCAGACCTTGATATTAGTCATTATCACCATGAGATTGGATTGGGAAAAAGAGGTAATATATAGTTCAAATGGTGATCCTGTGAAAGACGGTCCTTTTGGCACTTTCTGTGTAATTGAACTTTTTGTGAACAGGCACAGAGAGCTCAAATTCAAATAGCAAAGGAGGCAACTTCCAAACCAGTGATCTCAGCTCAACAGTAATCGTTTGCCGCTTTTCCATTCAAAGTGTTAGTGATTTCTTTGTCCAACTATCTCATGTCTAATTTGAATTATAAAATGATAGTTTCAATCAATTTAGACTTGGAGACTGATATGCAATTTCTTATTATCAGGTAATGAGAAATGACAATAGTGCCACAGAGGTATCAGAATATGATGGTTGCCTGATTATCTCTAGTTAGCTGGTACAGAACAAGAGTTATGACATTATATGGATATAGCGCGATACCACAAATTTTGTTAGAGTGTTGAACAGAGATACTAAATGAACATAGATTGGTAATTGTTGTCTCCAGTTTTGCTGGAGGTCTCTTCTGCTTTCTTTGGCTGGTTTCCATTGCCTTCCAGTGGTTTGAAGGCTTCTGCCACTTGCTGCTATTGGCTACCTCTGCTTTTTGCTAGTATGCCTATGTTGCTTCCTTGTTAGTCTGATTGGGAGTTGTTGATGGAATATGGCCCAGGTTTCTTTTTGCTATTAGTTTGTTTCTCCTGGCCTTTGATGCTGATGTTGGCCTTCTTGTGTTGGGCCTGTTGCCTTACTTGTATGCATTTTCTCTTTTGGCTATCCCAATTTCTGCCTGGTGGTGGTGGTGGTTATTTTCTTTCTTTTACTGAATTTACTTATTATCATAATTTTATAATAAAACAAATTAGTTTTACCTTGTACATGGATTCAAATATTTATAATTTTGTTGGTGTTTCTTTCCTTAATTAAAGAAGGGAGCTTTTTACTGGCATTCCAAACCTTTCTAACCCAAAAAAAGAAAGAAAGAAAGAAAGAAAGAAAGAAAGAGAACCAATTCTACCAGTCTTGTTTAGCTAATGAACCTGAAGCTTTCTTTTGGCCAAAGTTAGAAAGGGGAGGGTGGAAATTCGTGCGCATGGATATTATTGGGACTTGAATGCAGAATTACTTGGAAGTACACCAAACACCTGAGTCAATCCAACTAACACACCTCCTTTATATTGTGTAAATGCCACCCAGACTCTGGATATAAGCTGGTTAATTAATCTATATATATAAAGCAAAAGGAAGAGAATGGTGAAACATTCAAAATACCAAAAAAGGCCATTGGTTAATGCAAACATTAAGAATTGAAATTATTAATTAAATAAGGATAATATGGTAAATTCACTCTTTCATATTAAAAATAAAAATAAATTAAAAGAAAAATTAGATAATGGATTCTATTTTTTTGGAACACAATTACTCATTATCTTTTTTAATTCTAAAATAATTTTTTTTTTAAAAAGCTCTCGCAGGAGCGGAATCGCGTGCGGAAAGACTAGCATGATATAAATTGCATGACTGATGGGCTACCCTACCAAGTATCAAGTACGTCGTCATCACTATTCTTTGTATATTTGAAGAAGACATGACGTTCTTTCATTCAATTTCCCTTGCCTGTCTTCAACCTGAAAAAAGACATATCATTCACTTCCAAGTCTTTATTTTGTACTCGTGGTGAACTGATTCCCATCAGAAAATAAAACAAGAAGACACATATGGAGTCAACATATATGAGGGCTTGAACAAATCTGAGGGCTGAGAAATGCAAAACCCCAACTAACAGTCAAAGAGACATATTTGGCTACCTCTCCTTGATTGACTACGCTATTGAATATTCGTTTATGAAAATCATTCTCACCCAATTTTCATCAATTTGATCATTAACATAATATCTAAGGAATGAACTTACAATCTTGAATTTCCACGACTTAGGAGTCTTTTTCGATATATGTTGTAGTAGGTAAGCATATACGTTTGTAATTTGCCAACGTAAAAGAACAATTATTGACACCGTCGACAAGTTAGGTGATCAGCGGTATGGGACAAAAACGATGACAATGGACATGGTCATTCACAACACAGAAACATCCAACCACCAGTCAAAGTCACACATGCCAATGATGCCATGAGCTTCAATTCCGGTTCCAGTAACATGGAATGATAAAAGATTACATTCTTGTCAACGCCATATTCCTTCGACGAGGGAAAAGTAACCTATAAATTTTTGAACTCCAACTTCTCAAATGATCACAAAATCAAACTATATACAAGACTGAAATCATTCTAGGAGCTCTCTAAAAAATTTAGAAAGCTATTTTAAGAGCTCTCTAAAAAATTTCAACTCCAATCATACTCTTTAATTTGGAGAGTCATAAATGCTATAACTCTTTTTTGATTGGTCCATCTCTATTAAAAAAAAATAATAATAATTAGCATTAAATAAAGATTTGAAATATTCATTAAATAAAGTAGCATTAAATTATAGGGAGCCACTAGGAGTTCTTTCTCTCTCCTCAAATTTAGGAGCTCCTAGAGGACTCTCTATTTTATGAGGTGGATAGGGAGCATGATTAGAGTTGCATTTTTACAATTCATCCCTAAAATTTGTCTAAGGAGGTAGTTTAAGGAGCCCATTATGGATGCTCTTATATTTTTAGCCAAATTTTAGCTAAGAAATAGATAGCATCATTGTAGATGCTCCTCACCATTCTTGGTCTGCTTTGGTGACTGTTGAATTAAATATAATAAAAACAAAACTAACTAGAACTCAAATCAATAAAATATTACACTTTGTCAAGTTTCCAATACACTTGTAAGTTCCCAATACGCTTTTAAGTTCACAATAAAATATTACTAACTCATAATAATAGTAACTCCCACCTTTAGTTACACATTCCCGGTGTGCTTTTATATTAAACAATTCAAATTGAAGTTTTTTTTTTTCAAAGGCTAAAGCTTTTAATATGCACCGAGAAACCAAAACCAGGCCAATTACCACCTAGTTTTCAACATTAGCAATGTTGTTTTGTATTAAAAATTCAAACTTTGAGTTTTTATTTTAATTTTAAAGAAACTAAAGCTTTTAATATGCACGAATAAAACAAAAGCCAATAGTCACTTTGCTGACTTTTTTTGTAGTGTCATATTAATCAACTTTAGCAGTTGGATAATTTATGGCAATCGTCCTTGACTCCTTGTCCTTATATTAGAATTAGATCAACATTCTTAAGCCCTTTTACCTGCAAATCGTAGTTAAAAAACATAAACAAAATTTTGCACAGACGTGTGAAATGTTGATCGGCATGAGGAATGACTCCTTGGGAGAAATTTTCTATTGTGATAGTTACACGCATCACCACATGTTGTTATAAGTTCACATATTATAATTTTGTTGCTAATATTTCAAGAGCGTAGTATATTGTATTAATAAATAAATATATGTGAGATCGCATATTGTATTTTTCTTTAAATAACCATTCTCAAATTTGCATATATATTCAATTAATAATGTATATATATTTAATTAATATTTGTACCACATTTACTTTAAAACACAATATAGTCTCCTGTAATGAAATTGTTTAATTCAGATGCTCCGATTAGAGTAAGCATAGAGGCCAAATCAACTAATAACGAGGTCATTCGATAGAAATTACTTAAATATTCTGATAAGGACAAACATATAAATCAAGTCATTAGAATTATCTTTTAGCATCCTCCTTTCGAAAGCTAAAATCCAGATCGCAGTCTTCTTTTAGCATCCCAACATCTTGTTTGTATCCTTATAAAAAAAAAAAACATCTTGTTTGTACGACAACATAATTTACTAATTGTAATATGCAACTCCTAGGTACTTTGAAATATTTATTTAGTCTAACTTTTATGTATCTTTTGGTGGCATTACCAACTACAACTCTAATTAATCTCTGACCTTGCAAACAGAGCCAGTCCATTGATTTTGGAGCCTGTGCAAATATGGATGTTGAGGCCCTATATATATAAGTAGGAAAAAAAAATCCATATGGAAACAAAAATTTCTGACACGGGAAGAACACATTCGAAAAGAGTTTCCCATAAAAATTTCTTTAGTCACCCTTTCAAATCACAAAGCTGATAAATTGATTTTCCAATTTCAATGCTTGGTGAATTCTCATGTGAATAAGGAAGGGAGAAAAGAACTGTGATTTTAGGGAAAGGGCTAAAGCTTGGGTTTTTACAATCCAAAATTTGATGGAAGACGGTGGTACACTGGTACTGAAGAGAAATTGCTTTATTTTGATGGAGGAGAGTGAGAAAGACTTAATGAAAGATAAAAGAATATTAGAATGGTTTTGTAGTTTGAGAGTTTGGAAGAGGAAAACACAGGTTTCAAATAATAATAAATAAATAAAAAGAACAGTTGCAGCGTGAGAGTTGGGAAGAGGAAAATGAATTAAATTAGGGCCTCTACTCTCTAAGTCGTAGAATTTGTTGATAATTAATATTCAATTCAATTTTGGTTTTGGTTTTGGTGCCTTGCATGTGGTGTTGTGGGGTGATATTTAATATTTCATTTTTATTTTCATGTTTTAGTTAATTTAATGGGTTGACTTGGAAAAATTTGAAGGCCCTTAAATTTTAGGGGCCTTGTGCGGTTGCATACCTCGCACACCCCATGGGCCGCCTCTGCTTGCAAATAAAATAAGACATGATGCAAAGTTTTATGTTCAGCTCTTCAATATGTCATTTACACCCGTCATGTTTGAAAACTCTACAATATTATGTTTGTAAAGATTTAGTACCTTCTTCCTCTTAAAAAAAGAAAACAAAAAGTATCTATTTTGGCTTCTAATCTTGCTTTGCTTGCTATAGTTTGTCATGCAAGTTTGATTAAAAATTAAAATATTCACGACATAATCAGTTAAAACATTATTTCGATTTAGTGATTGATAGTATATTCAGTTAGTTTCTATTGTTATAGTCAGTTACATAGGGTTATTTGAGGGACACATTGTAGGTTTATTTTGTATTCCAATTCAATGATATAAATTGTCAAATTTTCAAGTTTACAATCAAGAATCGTCGATCCTTGGAAATATTTAAACAAGTCAAAAAACAATAAAACATTTAATTGTGGTCAAATATATAAACGAACAAAGAGTAAATCTTAAAATAAGTTTGGTGATAGTCAAATATAGTTAAATAGTTTTCT